ACTGCACGTCCCAATGGTTTCCACAGGCGAACGCATCCGACTACCGGAATAGATGAACTGTTCACTTCCCATTGGTTTCCTTAGGCTTTCCATACCCTGCAAGGTATTGGAAACATGGATTGTAGAACCAGAATCAATCCACCATGTGTTATAATTAATATTAACCATATTGGATTCATAACAGACAAATGCAGAAGGGATACCTTTCTTCTCGAGCCAGGTTTTGAACTTAATGCAGTCCTTCTTCATGTGTCCTTTCTTTTTACAGAAAAAACACGTAGACTCCTTCTTTATAACCCGCTCAGCTGGCACAGGTCCCTTCCCCTTTGTGTCATGCTTTCTCTTTTTGCCATGGACCGTTAGGTTTACTTTCTCACCTTCCTCCATCAGTAGTCTCTCCTCCTCTTGAACACACATGGTCATCAATTCATTAATGGACCATTTATCTTTATGTGTGTTGTAGGATATCTTAAATGGACCGTACTGATGAGGTAAAGTGCACAATATGTAATGGACAAGAAAGGTCTCAGACATGGTCACCTCTAAGCTTTTCAGCTGCGCCGCAATGTCCCGCATGCGCATTATGTGCTCGCGCACACCCCTCGCACCCGTGAACCTCATGGTGGAGAACTGAATGATCAATGTGCTGGCAAGAGCCTTATCAGACTTGACGAATTGTTCATCGATAGCCCTCAAAAGCTCTCTAACATTATCATGCTGATCGACAGACGCACGGATACCAGCAGAGATCTTAGTCTTTATGAGCATCATGGAAAGACGATTAGATCTCTCCCATCGCTCATAAAGATCCACATCATCTGGCTCGCTGGTTTCAGTAATAACCGGCGGCTCGTCTTTCCGTATAGCATAATCAATGTCCATCCAGCCTAAATGAAGGAGAATCCTCTCCTTCCAGATCTTATAATTATCACCAGTCAATTCAGGAATATCACATTTAATGTCAGAGAAATTCATAGGATTAAATGCTGCAAAATTAAACATACATGCTCATCAATAATCGAGACAAATAAGTTACATGTTCTACCAATTAATTTGGTTGATTGATTTTCTCAATTTCTAACTTGATGGATAAGTGATTAAAACTGAGGGTCATCGTCATATTAAGATCAGTGACCCACAAGAATGGCATTCTTATCTTTCATTGTGTTTTTCTTGTCTTGGCCATAATTAGTACAGTGCCTAAATAATAACTTGATTAATTAATTCATACAAGGATCAAGAAATGTCCCTTTTATTGGATTGTCTGGTCTTCGAAAATTTTGGTTAACCTACACACGTATTGGACACTACTGAATGGTTGTTTGAAATGACAATTTAGGTTTTATTTATTGACAAATTAAAATAATAGTATTTTGATAGTCAAATTGAATGTACTTCAATCCAATAAAGCATGAATAGCATGATGGCAAGATCTTCAAATTTAGATTGCAAAGTTAGCTTGGAAACTACTTTTCTGATCAAATTTGTCTTCTTAGAAAGCCAAATTTGACTCAACATGTCGCAAATTTAATTATACTAATCTTTGATTTTTGTACTCAATCTTTTAATGTGTCATCTGTAGTTACCCAAAATATATTAATATTTACGTAGTTAACATTTTGATAATCGAGCTGCTGATGCTTGGTTGGGCAATGCTTACGTTTCAAAAGTGTCACTAATGATTTATTTATTTGTTTCAATATGAAAAGACAACTCCATGTTTTCATACAAAAATTAAATTTAATCATCTGATCAATTGAAACCATTTTGAAGTAAATAATACCAAACAGCCGCCGAAACGGAACTTATTAATATTTTCTTTAAAATAGTTAGAAAGTAGTCGTAAACCCCACATCATAAAATGAACTATATACATATATTCCTATATATATATATATATATATATATAAACTATATATTTATTTTTTTACAAAAAAAAATAAAAATAAAAATAAAAATAAAAAAATTAACAATTTAATATGAGATATTACTTTTTATATCATCCATATAATTTTTGATATCTCACGTAATTATTCGTTTTTGTGTAGATAAGAATAGAACTGCAGTTTGTTCTTATAACTACAGCAAAGAAGAAAAAAATCATTTACTTAAAAAGAGCCCATTAAGGGGATCCAAATAAATTTGGCAACTGGGCTGCTATGGGGGCATTTGGATCTTGTACTAAATTTTCGTTGTATAATAAAATAGTAATAACAATAATAATAATAGCTTGGTCAATATTAGTAGATGTTTATTACTTCCTCCCTTCCCTTCCATGAGAATTGAATCATTTTATTAGTAACACAGTATTTAATGAAATAATATTTAATTAGTTAATAATAATAATTAGTAATGATATTATTACATTAGTTTTTTTATAATTAATAATATTTATAGTTTAAAAGTAAATTTAATATATATAATTAAAAAAATTAAAATATATATTTAAATATTTTAAAATTATATAGCAATTAAATAATATATGCAATATGAATATAATTTTGTAGATAATAAAATCTTCTAGTAAATAAAAAAATATTTTGTTTATTTATAATTAACATAAATCAATTTTATAAAAGATGTGTAGTTTTAAATATAAATAAAAATATTATTTTTTTGAGGAAAAAAAGTAGAAATAAAGGATTTTGAGTAGGTCCTACATCTGTATATCACGTAGTCAATTAAGTTGATTTATATTTGTTAATATGTTTTGGTTTAATAATTTTTACCAAAAATAGAAAGTGCAGTGGGACGGAGGGAGTATTATTAGTGTTAATTTTTTTTTTTTTTAAGGAGTGAAGTATCATTTTATATTGAACAATTGTTCTTTTACTTTATATTGGTTTCAATAATAGTTCATCTTTTCAAAATTATTTATCTTATAAAAATATATAAAAATATAATAAAAATTATTTCACCAGAACAATAATTTTGAAAATATTTTCAAAATTTTAAATAACTAAAAATAAAATTTACACATACATATTTATTCTAAAACACTGTCTTTTTATTTGATTTAAAAATTTTGATTTAGATTTTATATTTAAATAATATTATCCAAAATAAATGTATTAAAATTTGGGAAGAAAAACATATCAACTTGTTTGTTTATTTATTTATTAATATTTTTGAAAAACAATAAATTTTTTTTATTTTATTAAAAATGATATGAGCTAACTTGCAGAACAGGTGCTGAAATATAATTTTGGGCACCTGCTAAATAGTTATAAAAAATGATATATAATTATCATAATTAAGTGTAATTATTTTTTAACCATTCAACAATGTACTGAATTAAAAATGATCAGCAACCTGATCCGTGTCGACGAGGCTAAATAGTAAAAAATTGTAGTATTTGAATTTTTTTCTGAAAAAAGAAAAATCCTAAAAGATTCTAACAAATATAATAACACCATCTATTATATATTTTATCTCGATTAACATTATATTGGGTAAATATATATTAATTTTGATACCTAGATTATTACACGTTATCAGCTAATAAAGTTTAGTAAATGATTACTACCTAATTATTTATTAATCTTGCAACATTTTTATATAGATATTGTTCTTAGTTGAGACCTTGCGTTCGTACACTTGTTCCTCTCTAATATAAATTTCATTGCAGGCCGATGGTCAAGATGATGCCTATTAATTAATGTCTAAATTGCTGATGCCATTAGCCACTAAGAAATGCAACAATTATTTACATGTCCTTAAATAGGCAGCAAATCTTTTGGGTTTTACACTAGTAATCCAAAATGTTTGAAGTCAATCATAGCAGTTAATTAATTTATAAACTAGTTTAATTAATTATATATAACCAGCATGAGTACGAGTATGCTTCTCAACGTGGCACATTTGAGCGCTACCACGAGTATTGTTAGGTGATAAAGAGTTGGATTATCTTAATTAATTAGATCAATTGAATATAAATTACTTGATTAAGTGTCTCCTAAAGTTCCATCTACAGGATCATTTGCAGAAAAAATGGGACATTAAAGAACTTGTATCTTCTGCTTGGCAATATATATAAATGGGGGAGAGAATAATCTATGATTTAATTATGTGAAAGTGGAGCTGAAAAGCTGTGACTTTTTGGGCCTAATTCCCAACCCACTTGAATTAATTTAGTGAATCAAATCTTTGAAGTTTCTACTACAGGAATTATTAAGTATTAGTGTATCATATTTAGCTTTTTAATTGCTGCTTTTATTGCCTCCAAATGCTATAAAACAGTTTTGGTTAGAATACTTTGAATAAAAGGAAAGATAAAAAGTTGTTCAACCCATCTCCATTTCTAGACTAGAAAAATATATATATATATATTAGGACAATGCTTTTGAATGATCACTGATTGAGGTGTTCGTTCATCAAACTATTGCTTAATATAGACATCTAATTGAGAGTATACATGTGTGTATGTATATATATATATATATATATTCTTAATTGGAAATTAATTGAATTGTTTATTATTATTATTATTTTTTCTTCTAAATTAATTTAACTTAATGTAGTATAGTGTAGTTAAATATTTAGACATGAAATGCAAAATAATAGTTTTGAAAGCATTGAAAAACTTGTCAGGGGCACCACACACGACCAGGGAGATGAAGGGTGTGTCTGTTTGCATGATTGGATTTAATTTTTATTATTCATCCAATTTTTTCGGCCTAAAAAACATCAAGTCAAACACCTATTTTTTATTTTTAATATTATACTAAAAAATTAATTTTACATTCAAAACATCACATCAACACTTATTTATATCACATCATACAACTATTTAAATTCAAAATTTTTACTATTCAAATCCCAACTCAAAATCCAAACTCCCAACCAAACACACCCGAAATACATTATTGCCAGAATAAATTAGACATATTATCTACTAAGAGTCAATCAAATTAATTAATTCAATTCAATATTAAACTGGACAACTCTCAACAATATTGTTGGACTGCCCAATTCAACATTAAGTAAGATATTGTCGGTACAATTTTTAATAAAGAACTTGGGTTTCCATCCCAACTTATGTATTGACTTAGGTTCCATACAATACATTTCTTCAAAAAATTTCAAACTTCACTATATTCCAACCAGTTATAACTCATTCACTCTTCCATTTTCCAAGCAAATGATCCAAACCAAAAAAAAAAAAAAGGGGATGATCATCAGGTGTGGAAATTCTCTTTTCAAGGTATGCTCAATGGGATGACACTAAAACGGAACCCCAATGAGCCAGACCCTTACATCAAAATCCAAACTGCCACTGTAGACCATGTAAGAATTCCTCGATTCACCGTTGGTTCTCTTACCACTATCCAGAGCCGCCGCCATCAAACATTTGACCGGACTCCTGTGCCCTGTCAACACAGACAGACAAGAGTACTTCTTCCCGCTCCCGCTCCCTCCCCGCCAAATCCTCACCGTCCCATCCGCCGATCCACTGCACACCAAATCCGACACCGCCGCCAGGCATAAAATAGCCTTCTTGTGCCCTCTCAGCGCCCCCACCGCCGCCGCACCTCCGCCGTCGCATTCCCACACGATGATCGACCTGTCACAGGCGCCGGAGTACAGGACAGAGCCGTCGCCGCCGAGAGCCAAAGCGTTGACAGCAGATTTATGCTTTTCGAGCGTGGAGACAAGAGAAAGCTTCCTCCTGTGACTGTCTCCGCCGCGCCTTGCCCACACTTTGATTGTCTTATCCGCGGAGCACGTGTAGACGCAGCCGTCGTCGTCATTGGACAAAACGACGGCGTTTATGGCGTCGTCGTGAGCGTTCTGCACCGACTCCACGCACTTGAAATCGGAAGTCCGCCACACTTTGATGGTTCGATCCCACGAAACGGAGTAGAGCAAACCGCCGTCGCCGGACAAGGCAAGGCACGACACGGTATCCACGTGATGCACCCACGTGCGCCTGTTGTGCCGTCGGATTTGGACGTAGTTCTTCGGCGAGAATACCCTCAGGCAGCGGTCGTTCAGGGTCGGCACTGTCGCAATCATTCTGTACTTGTGGTAATTCGCTGCGGAATCACTGTCGATTTTCCAGACTCGGATTTTGTGATCATGGTGGGCCGTGATGAGCTTATCTCCTAGCACCACCATCGACTTGGCGGCGCTGTAGCCTTCCGCGACGACGGCGTAATCGAAATCCGCCGAATCGGGACTGCGCCCCCAGACGCGGATTTCGCCGTCGGAGGCGCCGCTGTAGATGTGCTTTCCCGACAAGGCAAGCGAGAATATGTAAGAAGAGTGGCCCTTGAGAGTGGCCAGACATCGGAATTGCGCGGCGGCGGATTCGGGGATGTGGGAATTGTGTGTTAGTGAAGGAATTGATTGGAGGCTTGATTGAGGAGTAAGGGTTGGGTTTGATGATGAATAATCATTTTGGGAATAATCTTGGGAATGGTCTGGAAGGTGTTGGAGGGAATGCCATGGCAGAGTGAGAGACCTTCCCATATCTTTCATGGAGGAAGACAGTGGAGAAGAAATTGTAATTCGACTACTGTTTAGTGAGGAACTGAAAATTGAATTGCGACGTGTTTATAAAGAATCAAATCCAGTCCCGATGAAGCGAGGAGGGTTGGTGGATATTGTGAATGGGACAGCAACTTGTTTCTTGAGAGCTCCCGGGAGCTCAACTCCAACGCATCACGAAACCATTCATAGTGTAGGGCCATAGCGCCAGATGCATCGGGGAGTTGGGCTCCTAGGACCAGGAGCTTCGCAAAATGACTCGTTTGGACAAAATGGGTACTGTTTAAAATGAATGGTAGAGTCACCAGATGGATAGAAGGGTCGCATCACTTTGCATGGGCATGGGCAGGGGCAGGGGCAGGGGCATGGACTCTAATCTAATCTAATCTATTACCATGAATGCACGACTCAGTGTGTTCTTATTAACGCATAATCTCTTTTACACTTTATATATGAATTATAAATAATATTCAAACATGGACCACAGGGTAGTCATTTTGGTAGGTCCAGGGATTCCAGGATCCGGGTTGAGTTGAATTTGGGTTATTTGAAGTTTTGAACCCACACAAGGAATGAATGGCCCAGATTGAGCTGGGAACGAAGGTCCAGAGACCTGCTAAAAAGCTGCAAAATGAAAGAGCCACTTGCAGCTTGAGATAAAACCAAATACTTCCATGGATGGGCTGGATGCAACTTCTAAGGTTATTACCCTTTTTGGATCTGTGGATGTCAGTGATGTTCACATCAAATTTGAGTACAATTTTTACTTGTGTTCGTTCGTTCGTTCATTCGGTGCATTCATTTTTGAGTCCCCACAACCACTTTACCCCTATTGCCTAACTCTGGTTTAGCTACATTGCTATTCACCGTGAAATTAGGGTTTTTGGGACCATTTCTGGATAAGTAAATGGTAAACAGAAACATTCAGGAAATTGTCATCAAAGGATAATGATTCTTGTGATCGAGCTCCATGGACCGCAATGCCGTGCAATCTAAGCCGTCGAAATTGCGTATCGCCATATCAGATGCATCTTGTGCTGGGGTCCCTGGATCTCCCACGAACTACCTATATATTTCTGTAGTTTGAAGTGATGGAAACCTGAGCAATTATAAGAAACTTTCAATGATCATGACCTAATTTTGAGCAATTGGTCGGTAATTTTATTAATTAATTTCCCCTTAGATATATATATGTATATTTCTGATGTAAGCTGGGGACCAATGGCATTGCTTTTTCAATCCTGAAAATTCAAAATGTATAATTATGAGGGAAAGCCACATTATTTGTTTGTTATAATAATTCTGGAGATGATAAGACATATGAATCAATTTAATTGAAAGTAACAAAGACAAAGGTAGCAGTAGGAAATAAGAGGATAACATAGCATAGGTCCTTTTAATTGTATGTATTGTATTACTTCATACGTACACACACGTATATACATACATATACATTTATGCATACATAGGTGGGTTAAGACTTAAGAGTTTGTTAAGTTTTTCCATTATTTCCTGTTGAGAGCTGACCAAATCAATGGCATTTGGCCCTTTGAAGTTATGAAAATCCAAATAGGCCAAAGTAGACTAATTAAAAAGAAGGCAAAACATATATATATTTAAGTGTCTCTATCTCTCTATATATATTTCCAACAAAAGCTCTAATGTCCTTTTCAACAAAGTAAGTAAAGAATCAGTAGCAGTAACATAATTAAGTTGAAATATATATATATATATATATGTTTACAAATGTTTTGGATAAACTTGTTTTCAGTATTGTATTAATAGAGGCGTAGGTGTGATCTTTGGAATATATATATATATTATGAAATGTATCATTAAACTACTATAATATGAAGATTGAAAAGCTTTACTCAATAATCTTTGTTACTTAATAAGGGATTGATGCTCTTGCCAGAGGTCCAATGTATTATTATTATTATCCATCTGGCGTGCATGCTTTTATTTTGTGTGTGCTTTTTAGGAAAACATCCTTCGAATATGGGGGATGGTTTGTATTAATTAATAATGTATAGATGCCTATATATGCATGGTGGGAGCTAGGGACTCGGCTGGTGCTGGTGCTGGTGCTGGTGCTGGTGCTGGCTATGGAAAAGATGGAAGATATTTTGTGAAGCTAATGTGATATGAATGTAATGTAAACCAAGTTATGATGATTATTGCATACTATAAGTCGAGAGCAGAGAGACAGAGAGAGAGAGAGAGAGAGAGAGAGGCCGACCGACCGACCAATTATAATCGTAAGCTGTAAAGCAATACGCAGAAAAAGAAGCTTTTTCTTTCACAAGTGAATGTGAATCAGCAGCTGGTGGGACCTATCTTTTGCTTTTTGATTGGATTGTAGTATGTTTCTGCAGCTGCAGCTTCTAATTAATTCTCTTTTATTGATTAATTACATACATACATACGATCATCCAATGCAATTATAATACAATGTTCAGAAATTTCTGGATTGGGATTGGGATTGGGATTGGGGTTGGGATGGATATCTTGGGGTTGGGAAGCGTCTCTAACACAAAGTGGTGGGTGTGTGTAAGTGTGTTATCTCTACATATTTATTTGTCATATTCAAGGTTTTAAAAAGAAGCTTCCATGGCAGTACAAAACTGCGTACGAATGAATGGAAATGGGATAATAATCTTCCACCCAGTTGCAAGTTGCTACTACTGACTCTGACTGACAGACAGACAGACAACCGCATGCTACTGTTGACTCCACTCCATTCCATTCCAATTTTATCCTTACGCAGTTTTGTCTTGGCTCAGCAAAAAAACTGTCATGCTCATTCTCATACACGCCAATTCCTCAGCTTTCATGTCCAAATCAAAATTTTACCTCCTCCCCACAGAGTCGTCAATATTCAATTGCCTGGTAGACCTACATAGATGTGTAAGTACGTACTCCTCTTCTATCAACGGCCCAATTCATGAGCTATTACCAATCCTCTTTGTCGTACGGCCCAACGGTATGTCCAACATAAAATAAAACTTCATATTCAAAATCCTACCTTAATTTTTCTACACAAATAATGAAAAGAATACTACTGCAGCTAGGGTTCCAACAACATACGGGACTTCCCACCGCCACAGAGGGTGGTGCAGAGGACCGGCTCCGCTGGATTCCCTCTCTCTTCCCGGGTTCAAATCCGAAACCGACCCATTATAATTAGGATTTGACCCGTATAGCTCTTGGATCCCCAAAATGTCGTCGTTTGCCAGCTCCACTTTCCGGGTGCCCGACGAGATGGACGGGTACATAATCGCTCTCTCGTCCGAGCTATGACCCAACCCGAGTATATGCCCGATTTCGTGGACCGCAACCGACTCCAAATCCACCGCCGTCGGCGGAGCCCCGTTCAGGAAGTCGCCGTCGATCACCCAATTCTCGTCGCCGTCCATATGAAATTTGCCGCTCGGCGGAGAAAACGCGTGTGCTAACGTCCCCATAACCCCGTCGAACGGCTCGCCGTCGCCGTGGTCCCCGCTAAAGAAGCCGATCTGAATATCCGCCCGACGGAACGAAGGTACCTCCGTGAAAGTCAACGTCGTGACTTCCGACCACCGCTCGAATGCTCGACTGAACAAGATCTTGACTTCGTCGGAGAGCTGATTCTCCGGCAGGAACGCGTAGGTGAGCTCTGTCCGACTCGGCGGCCAACGCGGCCGGCCGGGGAAGAAGGAATAATGCAAAACTGTACGAACCGTAGTGTTGGGACCGGAGGGATCTGGAGGCGGTTTTCCTGAATGCATAGTGGAAGTACCGTTGACGATATCAGGATTCCCGCATCTGGGCAGTACGATGCGCTTTAAGGTTTGTACGTCTAGTTCCCCGGTGGCATTGAGGTTGAAATTAATCTGGTAAGTTTTGACGGCGGATTCGAGGAAATCGTCGAAATCGTCGGAGAAATCGGAGTAGGAGTTATCGAGGTAGCCGAAATGCTGAAAGTATCTTTTCAGCTTGGCCAAGCCGTCGGCTTTCCGGCCCTTCTTGGAGCCGACAAGATTGGCGAAAGCATCCCAGATTGTGGCGTTCGGGATTAGAGAGGAAGGGATGGAAGTGATGTTGCGGAAGAAATTAGCAGAAATTGTTTTAGAGTTGATGGAAACTGAAATCAAGATCAGAAGTATGCATAATTGGAGTTTCATTGGGGATTACCACGGGAAAAACGGCAATGGATGATGGCCGTCTGGAATGTGGTATGGATGTATTCCGGGATTTTAAATTCTTGAATTTGCCGGCTTGCCTGCAGCGCCAAGTCAAAGATCCAGACTGGGTTTTGTCAAGTTTATAATTAAAGACCGACAATGACTATAATTATTAGTGCAAGAGAATGGTTCCCGGCGACTTGTTCATCAGCAACTTTAATAGTATAATGGCTCCCGTCGCCGTACGTGGTCCCCATAACCTGTTCTCATCAGTTTCATGTACATTTATATTTTATATTAATGAGGTGAAGTGCAGAGGAGGTTACTATTGAAGGAATTATTGTCTTAATCGAATCAACCCCAATTAAATTCAGCTTTGTTAAATGTTAATGACGCTTAAATCTGTAAATAAAATAATATTATTGAAATATAATCGCGATTTTTTTAGTTTGCTTGATGTTAAATATTAGTTGGACTTGGACAAGTTTTAACTGGGCTGTTCTGCGCAGGGTCTGAAGTATAAGGCCCAAATAAATTAGCACGTGGATCTTCGACGTTTATGCCATGGTGTGTGGTGTGGTGTGGTGTGGTCTTGGGGCACTGGGCCCTCCTGAAATCACCCACCCCCTTTGACTCTCTCTGAGTCTGCACTATACAAACGCAGATTTGCCGCAATTCCCTGATTTGAAAGTCAGAACCCTATCCTTGGCATCTTTTGGTTCCCCTTGTATTCTCACCTCATTTTTCAAATCCACCTCCTGAACATATATCAATGGCGTCGAAGGAAAATACATGGGGAGCGGGAAGCAGCTCCGCAGATCAGAAATTGTCCAAGAGAGTAAGCGAGAAGTTTGGGCAGACCAAGGAAGTGGCTTCAGCCGGCGTCGAAAAGACTAGGGTGGTTGCTGCGGCGGGATATGAGAAAACGAAGGAGGCGGCGAGGAAAGTCAAAGACGGTGCGTCCTCAGGCATCGGCTGGATTAAACTCAAATGCAACAAAAGCAAGCTTTTCCAGAAGAAATAAAGAAAGGAGATTTACCCATGTGAGATTAGGATTTCGAATTTCATCAACTGCTATTCTACATTGTCGTCTTCTTTTCTATTACAGTATTAGCTGAAGTTCACTTCTCTAATAGAGTAGTTTTATTCGGGCCTTTGGCATTTGTTTCATTTATTTATTTCCATTATGACAGGTTATTGGTATGCTTAGTTTACTGATTTCAAATCAGATTTCTGCTGCTATCAATTGATGAAGTGCAATTATACTACAAAAAATCCCATATTGATGACACAACCTTTAGTTATGACATAATTACACGACAGTCTTGTGCATTAACGTGATTTCAAGTATGAGAAAAGAAAGTTTTCATGTGTATCTACAGTTTAGGTTTACCATATCTTTGCTACATTCTGATTAATTTAAGGAAAACACTATTAGCATGTTGGTCAATTTTACTGCCGCCAAAAGTGCACTACCCTGCATGTCTGCATCAAGGTTTAGTGGGAAAGCTTTACTTCTTCACTGGTCGGAGTTGCTGAGGAATAAATTACATGTGAGATGTAAGTCATTGGTGCAACTCATTGTCATCAGCGTCCTGCAATTTCGTTTGAAATATATGATTTTTGGAATGATGAGAATTGAAATTAAGCAGGAATGCAAACTATTTACTTGTAAGCATATGATCACAAAATTACAAAGATTTTGAAACAGTTGATTATGTCAGGGTAGGAATGTCAACCTAGAGCCAGGGATTACTTGCCTTCTCCAAATGAGCTTTTCTTTGAACTCTGTAGAATGACGGCAAAGGCTTGGCCTTGAAGTTGAGAGAGTGTCTCAATTTTCTAAGCTCGGATTCCTTTTCTTCCTGGAACAAATTATGCCTTGTTTAGTGATGCTTCATGTCACATGTAATGAAGTATTCATTTTTTTTTTTTTTTTTACTTGTACTGAAACTTACTTTTGATTTAGCGTTTACTTGAGCATTTTGTGCTTCTCTGGCAATTGATTTAGCCTCCAGATTCTTTAGAAACTTTTTTGGGTTATGCAGTTGAATGAATTAGTCCAATGTAATAAATAAACATGCATAAGTTTCAGAAGTCTGATAGTTGGATGTACCTCTTTTCGCTTTTCAGCCCTTTCATCGCTTCTAAGACCAATATGTTGTGAAAATCCTGCTGTCATTTTCTTCTCTGGCAGAGAATTTTTGTTTGATCTGCATAATTTTGAATCTCAAATACAAACTTTAGAAATCAAGAATGGCAATCCTAAGGACTAATCTAGATAATAACATTATGTGTAACAATTTTTGTTGTAGCTTTGTGTCTTTCAAACTCAGCTACATTCAATTACGATGATGATACCTTATATACTTGTCAATTAAAGCAGTGGTGGAAATCAAAAGGCCAGAGAGAAACTACTATGGGTTTCAATGCTAGATTATTTCTGTAGTAATTTAACTCACCTTGCCGACGACGCATTTGATCCCCTGCCTGGCTGATTCCTTTGAGCACCAATCTTTTCAGGATCATCTCTTAGTCTACAATACAAGCAAACATATATGGGCAAGAATTTGCTGAAGATTTAACCAACATCTATTATTCTACAACTAATTAGTTGATGCCCAACATGTATTATTCACTCCTACTTGCCAGGACATATGAAAAGAAATGTTATTACCCTGGATTCTCATTAGCATGAACTAGGCATGTGGAGATCTTGGACCCAGTTGAAGTAGCTAACCCCTGCATTTGAGTATTATTTGGAACTGCTTTGGTTTGATTGTGGGAAGACCTGATTCCTCTCTTAACAATGTCCTTATCCTTTGGTTTCTCCATTCTCAATGACTTGCGAGTCACAGTGGAAGAATTTGCTGGGCCAAAAATCATAGACATGTGTAGGGATCCAGCATCAGCTCCTCTCTTAGTCTGTCCTGGTACCAACTTCCTGCCTTGAGGAACTGCTGACTCATTAGTCTTCTTTTGCCAGGACTTTGAGGCAGATATGGATGACGAAACTGGCTTCACCTTCACCTGCCTAGGAGTTGAAACTGGAGAAGACTTCCCTGCAGGTACCACAGCTCTCCCCCATCTTTTCTGAGCTACCTTAACAATGGAAAGAAAAACTAACTTTATCCACCAGAAGAACAGAAACCTGATAAATAGAGTTTTGTAGCTATGCCTCCAATATTTACCTTGTTAGGTACATCTCCCGAACTAATCTTAAAACTAGTCTTCTTCGGTGAATTTGATTTTTCTACAACATTATCCCTTTCCAAAGCTTTTTCTGAAACTTGCAGAGAATCAAACTCGGATGAATTTGATTTTTCTACACCACTATCCCTTTCCAAAAATTTTTCTGAAACTTGTGGAGAAGAGTTCTGACCAGTTAATTCTGAATCAACCTTGTTGCTGCTGTCATTCAGCTGATCATCAGGATTTTGTTTTTCCTCCTCTGTACTGAGGACTTCTATCAGACAGGTTGTAGGCACCTGCACTGCTCCTTCACCATATCCATCGTTCTTATCTTTAACTGCATCATCAAAGCTACTGTAACTCAAATATATCGTAGGCACTTCCTCTACAACTTCTCCTAAACTATCTCCATTAGATAATCCTTCATCTGCGTCATCCATGGACTTCTCCTCCTCCAATAATTCCTCTGTTTTCCGAGCTGCAATTTTCTTGTAGTGGGCTTCAAAATATGCCTTCTTCTGGGCAACTGACCCAGGCGTTGATAAGTTACCAACTTCCTCTAAATGCTTATTTGGTGAGAACGATGACCATTTCTCCCAAGGAAGATCATCACTATCAAATCTACCAAATGAAACAGACACTTCCAGTCTACCCCCAGATTTAACTGACTCACTCATTTTGTACGTTTATATAACTGAAACCCCAAACTTTACAAGCAGCTTTGATCAATTCAAAGACAAAGTGACGAACACTTAACACGAAGCACACAGCAATCTTGCAACAATAATAAGATAATACAAAGAAAAGGGAAAAACCTAAGAAATAAGAAAGAAGCTATAATTAAATTGAAGATGAGACAGGAAACACAGCAGAATGAAAGAAACCACGTGCTGTGTTTTTGTACTCGAACAGTTATCCAGAACTTCAAAACATTCTTATTCTTCTTCTTCTTCTTCTTCTTCACATACACTTTTGCTGTTGGTAATATATAAGATGTGAATATTGCCTGCTCCTTTTATCTTCTGAAACTGGAATTCTAAAGACTTTAATCCTCAAAGCTTAGGATAACAATCATAAACTAATAGTTTGATATACCAAAAATAGGTGGTCCGTTCACCTAATCAACCCTACCAAACAATGTAAAAAATTATAAAGAACATTGTCAAGATTGACAATAATCATGTTCCAGATAGATAGATAGAGGGTTTGAAGGTCCCACAAGGAGAAGAGTGCAGTGCGGTGCAGTGCACGTGTCACATCTTTGTCTCAATAATGGAGGAGAGGAAATGGGGGCCACCTTTGATGCCTCTAAATTTACTTTAATGAACTAAATTCTTCCAAACAGAATAGCCTGGAAATTGAAGCTGGTGATGCAAAGAGAAATGAAACTCAGTTAATGGAATTCGGTATTGAATTAGAACCAGAAACCTTTCAAACCAACCCCAACTGTGAAGCTTGCCCTCCCATGGGCGTATTCCTTTTTAAAGTCAAATGAATTTGGTTTATTTATGTTGGTTCATTTTCATTTCAGTTGGCAGATCCATTTCACTGTAATTATATATTATTATTCTTAATTAGACTGACTTCTCAAGCTCTCATCCACTAATCTCAGCAAGTTTACCTTCAAAGATCCGTCAGAAATAGGATAGGAACCAAGGGTCCATTTCCTTCCAATACCCTTCAAAGTCATCAATCTTTAGGTTCAGTGGTTAACATCACACTTAAGTATTAGAATGAGTCAAATGAACATTCTTTGCATATAACCAATCAAGTGGTGCAGAATGTCTCCGTCTGATGGAAAATTCACATCTTATTGCCAATTTTCTGCTTCCCCTTTTGTGTTTTTTTTGTCAATTCTAACCACAGTGACTTAACTTGTCTTTCCCTCATCCTCTGATGTTCAGTAAGTTACTCAAGCAGTGCTCCTGAGGGATTCTTGGGAGGTCCTTGGACTCCCAAGACCAGGTGGAACCATATCCATGAATGTGATGTAGAATCCACACCATGAATGGTGAGGATCTAACTGGGGTTGGAAGCCCTGGATCTCTCAACAACCACTCAAGGTTTTGAATACTACTAATAATGGCATCTAATGGAATGCAACTTTCCCGTTTTCCACTATATATAAAATGTTACTTCATTTCATATAATTGAAGTCTTGAAACAAGGGTTTCTTCGCATCAAGGTCTATTCTACATCATGCAAACCAACCATGTCGTATTGCTTCTATGCTCTATTTTTTGCTTTGTCAAATCTGATCCAGATCCGATTTACGATTACTGTGTCGCAGACACTAAGAACCCTCGCAACCTCTTCCTGAATGAGGTGCCTTGCATCAACCCTGACCATGCATCATCCTCCCATTTTGCTACATCTGCATTGTCTGAACCTGGAGATGGTGTCGATAAACAAAGGTTCAGTGTCACATTCACTGATGTCAATAACCTTCCAGGGCTCAACACTTTTGGGTTAGTCCTGGCAAGAACAGACATTGCAGCTAATGGCTTGGTTCCTCCCCATTCCCACCCTAGGGCCTCAGAACTGGTGATTGTGCTGGAGGGGTTACTTTTGGTGGGATTTGTGGACTCCTCAAATCGAATTTATAGACAACAACTGAGTCCAGGTGATTGTTTTGTAATTCCTAAATCTCTTGTTCATTTCCTTTACAATGTGAACTCGGACAAGCCTGCTGTCGCTCTGTCGGGACTCAACAGCCAAAATCCTGGCGGACAAAGGCCTTCGCTTGCTCGGTTCAGGTCGTATTCTGATCCTACGTTTCCTGTTGGAAATTTAGGAGAGTGGGATTATGATCAATGGTCAGGGCTTACTTAAGGATAAATATTAGTATTTCCTAATCCATCGTTTTTTTTTTTTTTTTGTAGTCTTTATTTTCTTCGATTTTCTGCTGATCGCTAAACACGTTCCAGAATTTATACTGTTGTTCATTCATCGTATACTATTTTGTTACACGAACCATAATGCAGTGGGCATTGAATAATACCAATAATCAAAATAGCCTTTGGGGTCACGAGATCCCTGACATAGGTCACAAAACCACTTGTCCAGCGAGAAACACAATTCTGATTAGGACAGTTGAACGGACAGTGATACTTATAAGACGAATTTCTACGTGTGAGAAATGTATGGGTACTTTGGTGTAGCATCAGAAAAAAGAAGAAGAAGAAAGGAAGAACACGTAAACTGAGCCATCAGGCATTCCCCGTCTTCATTAATCAAACTCTGTAATTAAACAGATTGATTAGATTAATCTAATTCAGTTAACTGATCAAATCATACATGCTGTTATTTATTGGGAAATTTACAATCAAAGGATATTACATCATACATAATGGTACTGTAAACGAAAATGATGGATCGACTAAAATTTATTCCTAAAAACATCTACCCCACTGTACAAACCAGCGAATCAAAGAATTTTAATAACCCAATAATTTAATGAATGAAATAACGCATATAAACGCTTGCAAGTGTTGAACATAACGCTGATCTTGTTGTACCTCCAGTTTCCCCCCTTTGTAGAGATCGTAAGGCGCCCAAACATGATCCAACGGACAGGGACGCTTCTCATCTAGCCTCACCCATGGCTTCCCCTTGCCACTCCAGTGCAGCAGGCTCACTGGACCAGGATGCAACGCCCTACACGATCCCGCCACGTTGTCCCCGCCCAGCCCGTGCTGATTCCACCGGTGATCGATCGCCTCCACGTTTCCGGCGAAAACCAGCAAGAACGGCGGTAAAGAACCCAGCTCGTATATCCGGTTCTTCCTCTGCAGTTCCATCCAATTCTCAATCTTTCTTCCGAATCGGCCCTCCCTCCACTTGTCCAAATCCATCACCATCACCCCTGTGTTGAAGTAGCACGGATTCCTCGACCCGAATACCCGCCTCATTTCCGGGTCTGACCAGAATTTGTCGGTGAAATACCGGGTGAAATTGGCGTGGCAGTATTCCGGAGCCCCGATCACTTTGCCGTCAGGGATTTTAACGTCCCACAGCTTCGAGATATCGTCGACCAGTACAAGATCCGAATCCAGGTATATGACCCGCTTCACGCACGGGTCGAGCATGTCGCCCAAATAAATCCGGGCGTAGTTTAGCGGGTTCTCCAAAGCAGACCGGACGGAGGAGGAGATAAGATTCAAGATGGTGCCTTGGAGGAAGACGTAGACTTTGAAATTCAGACAAGGGAATACGGATCGGACAAGTCGCGTTAAGACTCGGGTGCTGGCTGAGTCATCCAACTCGGCGGTAATGAAATGGAAGAAGATTTGCTCTGGGCATGACGCGTGGCGGAGGATTGAATGGACGGCTGCCATTGAACCGCGAAGGTACTCCAAGTCGAGGGTCATTGCCACGTGGACCAATGAACAATTGCATGACGCCGGGGACGATGATGACCGACAATTCCGGTACGCCGGCAACTTAAAGAATCGTAAAGGGTCGGTTAGGGCTAGGTCGGCGGCGACACCGTCGGTGGTGGGAAAGGAGCGGATTGCAACACACATCAACGACGAATATAGGAGTAGCAAGAAAAATCCAACGGCTGAAATTCTCGCCGCGCAAATTTGTGAAATAAGGTCCATTGTATATAATTTGGTTGAATTTTATTGGGAACAAAAAATGGCTACTTAGGATATTAAAAAAAGGGTATTGATTAAATAGACTTTGGTTATATAATTGATCGAAATGGAAAAGAATTTTTAAGAAGAAAGGAAGAGTGATGTGTAGCGGTCAAGTCAACAATGACGTACGCAGTACATGTGAAACAAGGATTGGTTGATTCATTTCATGCATGAAACAGTGATCAGGAGTTTGTTGGACAGGGATAAAACGGGCAAGAAAGCATTTCATATATATTCGATCGAAGAGATGGATGATACGAAGTAAAGAACCTATGATAGAGCCCATTTACTAAGCTAATCCTCCAATAGGGGGAAAAGGTTGTGAAAGATTAAAGTAGTTGGTAGTTGCTGCTTTCTTTGTAAGAGATTCGGACAACAAACTAAGCTACACCAGCTTCTGGTTTAGAGTTCAGATCTATTCATTAGTTACTTTTTTTTTTTTTTTTTATTGTTATTATTTTATATGCTGCAGATTTTATTCTACAAACGTTAATATATATGAAGTGGAATATTGATTGGAGTGTTTGAGGAAGACATAGTTGCAATATAGGTTGTATATGGTTTCCTGAATATAGTAATAAGATAAGATCCATGGGTTGTGATTAGCTAATCATTGGAGTTTACAGGATGGAGTCAGACGGTGTGTACTTTTGTCCCCAGAAATAAAAAATAAAATAAAGCATTCTAGGGATATGACATCCTCCGATGCCTCGATCGGAATCAAACATGAAGTTGCTTTAGCTTACGACAATCGTGACGGACCGGTTTTATTTTTTATTCTTATCATCACTGTTGCAATTTAGGATCATATCAATATCAATGCTTTGTTTACACATATATATATATATTTTTAAATAAAACATCATAATAAATATTTAATTTTTTATTATTTTTTTAAAAAAAATCTAATTAATGGAGCGTAGAGAAAAAGGCATTATTTCTACTGGTGATCTGCTGCAACAAAAAAAGTCAATGCAAATTAAAGTTAATTGGGTATCCCCATATTCTCAACTTGTAGGGTGTGTTTGTTTGAAGGATTTTGATGGATTTCTATTATTCATCCAATTTTTTCTCCCCAAAAACATCAAATCAAACACTTATTTTTCATTTTTTATATTATACTAAAAATCAATTTTACATTCAAAACATCACATCAAACCCTATTTATATCACATCATACAACTATTCAAATTCAAAATTTTTACTATTCAAATCCCAACTCAAAATCCAAACCCCCAAACAAACACACCCGTAATGTGCAAAATATATGTCGGCCAATTAAACTAGTACAGCACAGGGTACTGGTCTTCCTCTTTACAACCATCCAGCTTCCTCATCCCTAGCTAATTCGTCTTCTTCAATTTCATCACTCGACGTCCATATATATATATTCTTTCCAGATGACTGTCACGTGCACTTCTGCTGCTGCTGCTCAATTTTTCTCATCATCAAATACCACCTCTTCCTTTCACGTTCCTGAAGAACACCATCTGAAGCACTCCCAACAAAAATTGCATTCTATATATATAAATTGCGATCGCCATAAGGTAATATAAGAAAAATATATATAGATATTAATATTAATTGAGTTGTACGTAACTTGTAAGTGACAATCCCCATAAGTAATTAAACAGCTTTATCTGGAATATAAATCTATTATTTCAATTAAAATAAGCCTTAATGTAATATTTGAAATAAAAATCGATGTGGAATATAATTTTTGAAGGATAAAAATATGTTATTGAAAAATAATAATTAGTGTGTGACAACGGCATATATTCAATCACACCCTTACTAAGGTTTGAAGATCAACTATCAATTAACTAGTGTTGTATTCTTGATCACAGGGGTAGGTTTGCCATACACATTTCATTGGGCAGGGAAAGTAGAGAACATATAGGTAGGAGAATATTATTAGTTATGTTCCTCTTTAATTCCCTTTTACAAAATAAATAACTATTGAAAAAATAAATAAATATTTTACAGGTGATTAAGGAATTAAGGAGGAGATAGATAGATAGATAGTACCTAAAATATCGAAAGTAAAAATGGCATTTGGTGATGATTAATGTCAAAGATAGCCTCATTATCAGCCACGATCTGCACAAATCGTATGTATGGTCACTATATATTCATTGTAATTGACTATAGTACTTGTAGTGTAACCAACAGTCCATAATCGTACCTACACATCTATTGCATAGATATTAGTATTTGTTTGTGGAACTACAAGTAAAAACGTTTGGGGATGAGAATGTGTAAGATGAAAAACTAATTAAAATTAATTCCCTCTTTCTCCTTCAATTAATTTCCTATTTAGCAAACCTATGACTTTACTAAGATTCAATAATGCTCAGGGTCAATTAATTGGATTTGTGACACCGATTTTTTAGGTGAAGGTGTGTTTGTTTGGGATTTGGATTTGGATTTGGAGTTTGAACAAATAATTATTTAATATAATATGAATAGATAATGTTTAAAAAATAAATACTTAATTTGATTTGATGCTTTTGAATGAAAAAAATTAATTCCCGAAACAAACACACCCAAAATGACCTTAGAGTTGTGTGGATTGGGTCATTTGGGGGCTAAACGACGACAAGATGTTTGCCTTTACACGAAAAGAATTTCAAATAAAGTTGAGAAATGGACACGTGTACGTATGCAGTTAGTTGTGTAGATCGATGGTGTCACGACATGACTGAGTACTATTCTATATGTGCCATGTGGGTTCACACTTGACAAGGAAAGACAACAACAGTAGTAATTATGCATGCATACATACTGAGACGAAGGCCGTGCGAAGAATGCGCTAGAAGACAAGATGTAAACACGACATACATAACACAACACATATGATGATATGTAAAAGGAAATTAAAGATGGAGAAGAATAAATTAAGTGGTGCAGGTATCATCAATTGGAAATTTGGAATGACGTATCATTCATCCATTCATTCATGCATAGATAGTTAAGCTAAGGGAGATGAGAAGCTGATCGATCGATCGATCCAGTAAAAGCTACAACTACAAGCAAATTAAAGCAATACTACTCCTCAGCTCACGTGAAATTTCTCAGCATGTCTGTCTGTGTGCTTGTGTGTGTGTCTTTTCGATCCTATGCATGCATGCATGTATTGTTTGATTAATATATGGACTGTGCATGTGAGTTGCACAACATGGATACTGACCCAACAACCAATCGAAATTAATTTCTCTGGAACAATAAAGACATGCATACCATATACTTAAGAAATTATCGCCACAGATATGAACGTACTAAAACTACAATATATAATTGGTTAATTTATCTAGAGTGGCTCTGAGTGAGTGAGTGAGTGTATATATATATATATATTCACCGCCAGAGAGTAGTAGTAGTAGTAGTACGTACTGCATTATTGCATTGCAGCAGGTAAAGTGATATATCTATCGTCTATCCATCTATCACACACACACAGATACATACAGCAAAAGCAGGGAGGTGATTTGCAGGGCCGGGCACGTGAGGGGGGTGTGCACTGTAACTGCAGTGGTACTAGCACAATGCTATGCTATGCTATGCTATGCTAAGCTGCTAGCTGTATTGTGTTGTATTGTATGGAATGGTGAATGATTTTATCGTACGCCAACTACTAATAATTTCAGTCGTCATGCAATAAATATGACCACCTTCACTCATCGATGCTAAGCGCATGCAATTCTTTCTCCCTCCTAGCTCCCCACCTCACCTCACCTATATATATATATATATATATATTCTTCTTACATTTCCATTTCGCACTATATATTATTACAAGTATTTATTAATTATATAAACAATATACTTGGCAATCCGCTTTCTTTCCATGAGCATGAGCTTCGCTAGGGTTATCATGCCAGCTGAAGGGTGGGTGGGCGAGTGAGTGAAATTCTTCTCTATTTGTCTGTCTGTCTGTCTGTCTGTCTACTTGCCTTCATCTCATCATCTTCTCCCTCTTTTTTGTGTTCAACCAAAGAGAGTGAAGAACCAAATATACATACAGACACATACATACATACAGTTTAATTTGTGCAGAGGCAGATAGAGAATATTAGAGATGGCTCTCTTTGACATTCATCACCCATGGGCATTTACTTTCGGCATTTTAGGTACAAACTACACTTTTTCTTCCTTTCACCCTAATAATTCCTTTCCTCCATATATACATTTTAAGTTCCCTCAAGAATAAATTCTCAATTTTCCAAACAATTAATAAGCTTCTTCATCAGAACCTAGATGGCTGGCCTGTATTTACCCCCTGACTGTATGTATGTTATACATATGCTAGCTATTCTTCAATTTCATTTCGCGTTTTTTTCCAGTGATCAATCAAACAGTACTGATCAATGCAACTCTCATTTATATTAATTAATCAATTAATTTGTAAAGGGAAGTTAAAAGTAAAAGGATGGATCCTTGTTCTTCTACCTATACGCCCCTATTCTCCCCAGCCAATGTAATTTGTATGGCTAACCTACTACAATCATCAATAATACAATGCTAATTAATAGCTGGTCACTAAAAGAGAGTTAATTCCCATCGTGGCGCATGCATGCAGGTAATATTGTGTCAATCTTCGTGTACCTTGCTCCCATGTAAGTTGTTCAAACTGATTAAACGCTTTTATTTGTTGCATAGCTTTTCCTATTAATTATATTTACTACTATTCCTAATTAATAAATTAAAGCTGTTTAATTACTCTTATATATATATATATATGCTTGTCACGTACTGCAGGCCAACATTCATAAGAATTCATAAGGAAAAATCAACAGCGGGATTCGACTCACTGCCGTACCTGGTTACGCTTTTCTCTGCAATGCTGTGGATGTATTATGCATTCCTTAAGACAAATTCAATTCTTTTGATCTCCATCAACTCTTTTGGATGCGTTGTTGAGACCATCTACATCTTAATGTACCTCTTTTATGCATCCAACAAGGCCAGGGTACATATTAATTAATTAATTTCACAAGGATCAAATAACGACAGATGATTGTATTTGACGGTACGGTACCTTCATGTGTTGTTTAATTTGGCAGAGCCACACGGCCAAATTATTGGGGGTTATGAATGTGGGAATGTTATCTTTGATATTCCTAGTCACATTTTTTACATTCAAAGGACTGAACCGGCTTCACATTGTTGGGTGGATCTGTGATGCTGTCTCTGTCAGTGTCTTCGCAGCACCCTTGACCATTGTGGTGAGAGAGGATTATACATATCATTCATTATTCAGGTGTATGTGACTTATAAAATCATTTTCTAAATAATACTATATATATATATATATATGCATACAGTTTCAAGTTGTCCGCACACGCAGTGTTGAATTCATGCCATTTCCGCTGTCATTCTTCTTGACTCTGAGTGCGGTTATGTGGTTTGCATACGGCCTTTTCCAGAAGGATCTATATGTTGCGGTGAGTAATATATGGCACTTAAAATGCAGAAATATGATAAGATTGCCACTTAATTACAACATCAATTTCTTATATCTTATGGATTGGGCCACTCTAATACTTCATTACCATTTGTTTGTTGTATTGTGTAGCTTCCAAACGTGTTGGGATTTTTCTTGGGAGTGCTTCAGATGGTGTTGTATGGGATCTTCAGGAACATGAAGGAAGAAGACATGATATTTGACGAGGAGAAAAATTCAGCAGCAGCAGCAGCACAAGTGCACGTGACAGATCCTCAGCAGTCGTCTAACAATCCGGAACAAGTAGTGCAAAACTCATCTGGAAAGAATATGGACACCATGACTGATGCAATTGAAGAAGAGGAAGGGATGGGGAAGGATGTTTGTAAAGAGGAAAACCAGCACCCTGTTGTACTTGTTTGTGCAGCTGCAGCAGTGACCTCACCTTAATCAATTAACTAATTAATTAATTGCCCTGCCCGCCAACAAATTAAGCCTTTGACTTTGATCGTATCCGCGATCGATTGAGCTCCCTTGCCGGCCTGGTTGATGATTCCTTTGAGCAGCATTAATTATGTTAATCCCTCTCTTAGTCATCTTCTACAATACAAACTAACATATACATATATAGTTTCGACAGTGAATCTTCATCCTTGGTAGATCTATCGAGTTGCTGCTGCTGCTGCTGTTGTCATACAGCTTATCATCGAGGCTTTGTTTTACCTCCTCTCATCTGTACTTAGGACTTCCATCATACGGCTTGTAGGTACATCTTTTAATTTCCGCATCATTAAACCTACTATATATTATTATTATTACTAGATCATTAATTCCTTTCATTTAATTAATTGTTAGCCTGCTTGCTTGGGGTTTCGTGAATGAATTCTATCATCAATGAACAGTAAAATCCAACTATGAAATACAACTATAAGAAGATTTTTCTACCAGCATATGCATGATTATGGACAGCGCCTATTTAACCACACAGAGGCAGTCACATTAAAGTCGTCGAGGGCCATTGGCACGTGGACCAATGACCGTTGGGATAATGAACAGACAATGGATGCCGTTCCGGTGAAGGCTAGCTAGCTAGGTCGGTGGAATTAAAAAGAAGAGACATCAACGACGAATTTATATATATAGGAGCAGCAAGAATCCAACGGGTGGAGTAATCCCTAATCGGCAAATCTTAATTGTGATAATTTTATATATATATATAAATAAATAATTAATTAGCAAAGAAAGAACCTACGATTGAGCCCATCTACTACTGTTCCATTTTTCCCTAATTAAGCTAATCCTCCTTCAATAGGACGAAAAGGTAGCGAGAGTAGAGACTGTAGAGTAGAATGGGCATAAAGTTGCAGAGTTGCGTTGTAGCTGCTGTTACTTTCTGCTTTCTTCAATTCGTAAAGATTCGGACAACAAACTAAACATACATGTGAATTGGAATTTTGATTCCTAGTAGTTGAGGATCGGAAGACCAACTTGCAATATATATGGTTCGTTGAATATAGTGATAATCTGATTAGCTAATTATTGGCAGTTAGGTTACGTGGCTGAATCAGACAACAGACATGAAACACAGGACAGGATCATACGGTGTACTTTTGTCCCCATGAAGAGTTTCTTATGCTAATTATTTTTAGCCCACGACTGCAATATATATGTTTTATTGATCATTTAGCTGCATATTGAAATGTTATCTTGCAACAATTCATTGTGTGTGTTCCAATATAATTTCTTTAGCCCAAAATTTGGCGTTCATCAACATATTTTTTCCTGATACAGGCTGCTCATTAGTATATATGGCAGAAAGGAATCTAAGCAACTTGTATTTAACGTTAAGGAATAGGACAGCGAATCATTCCACACTATTGTTATTTTTATTGAATGGATTTTTTATTTATTGATATTAGATTAAAATAAGCACATAAACAACTATAGATATGCTACTTTTATTATTAAAAAAAATAAAAATATGCCAGCTCTTGCAATTCACCTCCCCCGTCAATGAGGGGAAAAAGGAAAGAATATTCCGAGACAACGTTATGGCCACAAAAATATAAGCAGCTTGGGACGTCCTAAGAATCAAAAGTATATGATGTCATATAAGGAATATATGGTTGTTAAATTTAATTATCACATACCAATTAATTGAAGATACTACAAATAATTATATCTCTTGAATTCTCGTTTAGGCTATACATCTTGGTCATTCAACATGTTTTAAGCAAGACATACATAAATATATATATCCTTTATTGTTGATGTTTAATATAAAACCCTTGCAATTCTTATATAAACATTTTTTAATTATTTCAACAATAATATTATAATATAATAATCACCAGTCTGTGCATTCATGGCTGGCCAATTAATGATAGGAACTGCATTAATTTCGGGTGTTTTCTCCCACAATAATAAGAAATGCAATAATATATTGTAGTATAATAATCACTGTCTTTTTATGTCGAGTAATAACAAAAGAGACGAAATTATTGAAGATTAATTCATCTAAACAAGAAAGCGATATGACAACCAGCAGACACATAGACCACATGGGATTTCGACACGTGGGTGGACTCTTACCAATTATTGCAAGTTAAGTTGGAACTTAGCTTTCATTACTGCTGTACATGAGCTAAACTACACTACACTACGCTACATTAGCCCGGCCGGTTCTCCGATTTTTAAACTTCCAGGATCCGGTCCGGTCCGGTAAATAAAGCCATGAAACAATGATCCAATGTTCGCAAGAATTTTAACCAACAGTAATAAATGAACAAGTACAGCTCGATTAAATTGTGAGCTGCCATTCCAAACAAAGAAAGGTTGATGTGGCTTGACTTGATCTGGACAGTGGGAAAAGCAGCAAGCTCCGATCCTGCCACTTGTAATATTATTATTATTCTATAAAAATTATTACTACCAGTTTCTCAGAATGCACTGTATTTTGAAAAGTCAATCTTGTCAGGCTTCACGAAGCTTCTCTCACCGATGGAAGGGATATATTCCTCGCTTTCGCAGGATTGAGATTTGGAAATGGAGAATACGTGCGAAATTAATTAATGACTTACATAATAGTAGTCGCCGCTGTGATGACATTCATTTCCAAAAACCTGTCTTCAGAGAAGCTAGCCGGCCAAATTAGAACGCGTTCGTTCCTGATCTGCTAATTTTTAGATAAAGCTCTGGCCTTTTTTTCATAGTTGCAGGCAGGCAGAGGATTATTTTCATCAATCGGGGGGTGGGATCGGAAGAAGAAGGAACGTATACAGTAATGGATCCTTCAGATCAGCGCCGCAAGAGATATTCAAAGCGCATTCTCAGACAATCGTATTCGTATCCTCCCAAATCCCTCTTGTCCGTAAGAAGTCTCCTCATTTGTTTCAGCTTCTTCATTGTGCTTTATCTTCTGTCCCGCACAAGTCCCTTGAGATCTTATGCTTATCGCCCAGTTTTGGTAGCTTCAAGCTTGTCTTTACTGTCGTCTGCCACTACAAGAAGTGTTAAATCTGTTCATGATTTTGGGGGTTTATTTCTGCGGCTGAAAATCGAGAACCGTGTGTTGTTCCCCGACCACATTCTGTTGCTTGTGAGGGGTGGGCTGCTGAAATGGAGAGGATCGGACTCGGAGTTCGCTTTCAACTGTGTTTATTACAGTAAAGCTAATGAGTTTAGGAATGGTGTTGTTCAGAAAAAGGTATTGTCCGTGGATGAATACGATGGGTTCAGGTCCATTGTCAGGTGCCCGGTTGCACCTGCGAATTACTCGAATGTTGTCAGTTTGGGTAAGGAGATCAGAAGCGGGATTTCGGAGGAGACTGCCATCAATTCTTGGGATCGTTTGGCCTATGCAGCTACTCTGGATGGGGACAGTGTTGTAGTGTTTGTGAAGGGGTTGAATTTGAGGCCCGACAGGGAGTCCGATCCTCGTATGTTTAGTTGCCATTTTGGGCTGAGAAATTGGGGTAACAATCCCACCTATATGCTGTCGACCAGAGCTTTGACAGCTGCACAAGAGGTTGTAAGGTGTTCATTGCCAAGGAGCATTCAGGACAATCCGGATAAGGCTCAGGGAATCCGTGTCACCATCGGAGCGACCCCCCAGGGGGCTCGTCGTGGCCGAGCTTACCCGAGGTTGCTTGTCCCCTCTGTTGCAAGAATCTCTAATCCAGGGTCGACATACCGGCCTGGTACGAGGTCGGAGCTTTGTGTCTGCACAATGGTCTGGAATCAGGCCCCTGCCATTCGCGAATGGATTAAGTACCATTCTTGGCTGGGCGTCGAGAAATGGTTCGTTTACGACAACAACAGTGATGATGGACTTGATGAGGTTGTTCGAGAACTCAATGCAGAGAATTACAATGTAACAAGACAGGTTTGGCCCTGGATCAAGACACAGGAAGCTGGATTCTCACATTGTGCTTTACAGGCACGCCATCAGTGTCGTTGGGTGTCGTTCATGGACGTGGATGAGTATTTTTACTTTCCATATTCAGCGCCCGGACACGACCAGTTCAGGGCATCAGGACATGCATCCAAGAATGCTTTACGCGCATTAGTCTCTAACATTTCGTCGTCATCTGACACTGTTGCCGAAATCAGGACATCCTGCCACAGCTTCGGGCCATCAGGGCTGACGAAGCCGCCTCCGCGAGGGGTCACGGTGGGTTACACATGCCGGCTGCAGAGTCCCGAGAGGCACAAATCAATCATAAGACCGGACGCATTGGATCCAACTTTGCTGAATGTGGTGCACCATTTCCACCTGAGGGAGGGATTCGAGTACGTGAACTTGCCGCAGAGCGCCGCGGTGATTAATCACTACAAGTACCAGGTGTGGGATGTGTTTAGAGCAAAGTTTCATCGGAGAGTGGCGACGTATGTGGCCGACTGGCAAGAGAACCAGAACGAAGGGTCGAGGGACAGGGCGCCAGGGCTGGGGACGGAGGCGATTGAGCCGCCGGATTGGTCGAGGAAGTTCTGTGAGGTGTGGGATACAGGGCTGAGCGACTTTGTGCTGGCTAACATGGCTGTGGGGGCTGAGGGGTTGCTGCCATGGGAGATGTAGCCAGTAGCCATAGATGGATCTGATCATACACTTCTAAGTCATTCATTTCATTTATTCAATTCATTTATTGTTGGTGATTTGGGCATTCTGATGACATGCTGGAATTTGTAGAGACTACTACGCCAAAGAAGATGTGTATAGGTTTTGTTTCCATTCAAATACAAAAGGTTTATGATTATCTATAGTTGAATATTTCTTGCTTTTTCCTTTTTTCCTTTTTTTTTTTTTTTTTTTTTTTTTAATATGAATATATGATTTAGGCCGGCATTAAAGCTAATAGTTTCAAATTTAGTTGGATTCTTGATCCAAAAACTTTAGGGCCTGCCCACTACCTAATTCTTGAATCTTGATCCAATTATGTTATACGATCATAATTGTTAACAGAGAGAAGAGGCTTCAAGTAAGTAATTAAAAGAGAAAGAGATCTGAAAAAGGGATAGGAATAGAGCAGACCAGTCAAGTCATGGAACAGACTGAAAAAAAGAAAAACAAAAGGTACTAATTAATTCCCGAAAATAATGAATACAAAATATGCATACAGACTTTAACTATATATATGTGTATGTCTGTATTTGAACGAATATACAATCAATAAAAAACAAAAAAAATTGCCTAAAAGTTATTTTTGTAGGCACGATAAAGATGGAGGGAATCGATGCAGAAATAGCTTTGCAAAGTTTGAATGGGAGCAAAGACCAAAACAGTGCACTGTAGCAGTGTCCAAAGAATCTGCTGAAAAAGACTAACACCCCAAAAGCCTAATATATATGCCAACTTTAATTAGTTTTCAGAGCATGCAAATACCTTTACAAGTAATTAATTAAGTGGTGGGAGCTTCACTTTTGTTCTTGCTGCTTCGTGAATGAATAAATAAATATCATATTATATCTCCATCCATCATATCTAACTCATAAGCAAAAACCCTAATATGCTACCACATCTAATTTTAGTTTCAGTGAGTTAGCTAGACATGAGACTAGTGCATGTCTAGCTAAAAGTTACCACATCATATAATATATATATATATATGGCGGCTAAAAATTAAAATAGATTATAAAAGTTAGCAAATCCATTATTCTAGATTTCCTAAATGAATTATTTGTCTTTTAGGGAATTTTGTAATATATATTTATTACATATATGCTTCTTGAAATCATGCATCTTCTTTATTTGCATGGAATTCTTTTTAGCTGAAGATTGAAGAGGGTTTTTGCATTTTTAATCAAGAACTTAATATTCCTAGCTATTTCACAAAATTGAAATATATATATATATATCAATCGAGATAATGACCACTAATTACTTTAATGAAGTACATGGAACATTTCTATGAAACTTTTAGTTACCTATTCCTTCATGCTTGCCCCGGTGGCTGCCGAGAGTTGCCTGCTCTTCTGCAAAATATATAGAGAATTGAATTAATTAAATATATAATCAAATAGTTAATTAGATCATATCAATTTGGGCAGATACATCATGATAGAAGCTAGCTATGTGTACGAAGGAAGGGAAAAAGACAATAAAAATGTTGCCAAGTTTAATTAAAAAAATATGTGTATATATGATGTGTGCTTTAATAAATGTGTTGTGAGCTGCTAATTAAAGTGGGGAAGTTCTTTCTCTTTAGCTTTCTGCTTTATCACTTTGCTCAGTAGTCTTTCTAACAAAGATGACAAATTAATTATGGCAACTTTGTGTGCGTAATATGGACTTAATTTCGAAGCTAATAAGCTTAATTCATAAGGAAGTATATGTATGATGAAGGAGAGGGAGAAGAAATTCAGCAGTAAATTTAATTTGCTTGCATGCATCTCATATATATTTGAGATCCAAACGTATAACCAAAAAATGTATGTGGTTATAAATAAATTAGGTGAAAGAATTAGGTACCTGTTGTGGATTGGGTCAGGTCCATTGGGAACCTTCCTTTTAGTTGTGGTGTAGTTGATGACATCAGAGTTTGAAGCAGCAGCCAACCTTTGCTGCTTGTCATGATCATGGTGACGACGACGACGATGACGATGATGATGATTTCGATGCCTCTTGATCATGTGACTAATTTCTGCAGCAGCAGCAGCAGCAGCTCCATCTTGTTTTGTTGGGCCATATTGCATCTCTGTAGCAGAGGCAGCCTCCAGAAATAGAAACCCTATTAGTAGTATTTGTATTAGTACGAGTGTCCTCAACACCATCATCATCCCCAAATAACACTAGTACTATTACTTATATTAGAAAGCTAGCGTTGGGGCAGACAAATTAAATGCACTCCAACTCCAACTCCAACTCCAACTGCAAGAAGAGAGTTTGGAACTTGGAAGGAAGAGGAGAGAGAGAGAGAAGAAGAATAGGTGGTAGTTTGGAAGGTGTGCTGAAACTGAAGCTGAGAGGATGAGAGTGGGAGCTACCATGCAACAACTCCTACTACTACTACTACTACTACTGCTACTACTACTAGGGGTTGGATATTGGGTGTGTTTCCTTTAGCTTTCTTAATTTGGGTTTTTATTGTATTATCATGCTTACCTGCTCACTACTACACTATACATACATAATTAATGCTGCTAGCTAGCTAGCTAGGCCCACCTTCTTCTACGTACAATCATAATATATAATTCATTCATCACCCACACACACATATATGATTATTCTTTCATGCCCTTCATATATATATTACAATAAAAGATCAGTTCAGATCAGAGTTTTGTCTTGTTTTACGACAGTTATAACAGCCTCGCAATATTTGTGAGCGGGCAGGATCCTATCTGAATATATAAAAGTATATACATACAACACCCACACAGCACCATTTCCTATACATATATTAAAGTTAGAAGGAATCTGATACTTCCTTCTGGCTGCAATATATATATATATATATATATATAATAATTCCTCCAGTTGCCACTTGGTTAATTTTACGCCAGACAATCATAGTCACAGTTACAATTACAATTACAATGTAACAATGCCCTAAACCATATATCAATAAATAATAATCCAGCTGTCGTATCCTATCCTATCCTCTGCTGGCTGGTGGATTGGAGTTAAGGGTTCAATTGTTTCGAATCAAATCAGCATACACATAAAATCTTATCTTCTTTCTTTAATTTGTATGGATTCGATAGATCACCCATCCGAGACCAAGATTCTTCATTCTCATAATTAATTGAATTGCTACTTACCATGATAATCTATTAACTAATTAAACGATTTCTTATTACATCCATACATAGATACATGTGTTTTCAAGTACACTCAGATTCACTTCTTAAAAGAATCAAACCCGACTGCACTGGAGAGATTATTCTAATTCAGTGCCGCTTTTCCTTCACTATTATTGAAATATACTCCAATGTAACTTGAATGAAATTGTGAAATATGAAGATATGCATGTATGTATAATGGCTACACCTCTTTGTTCCATTAAGTAAGTGATCCAAAAAACAGGTGACGTCTTAAATGACAACTCGTAATCCAGACAAACGTACTATCCACTAAACTAAAGAACTATTCCCCTATATTATATATATATATATATATATATATTGTATTCCAGAATCAAACAAAAATTTCTAAGAAAAAAAAAAAAGAAAAAAAAAAACAAAGAAAGAAAGAATCACTGAAAGTATGTATGATACATGGAAAGAAAGAAGAGAGAAGAGGATAAACACCATGCAATAAACGGGTTCAATTCTTCCTGGGCGTATTGCTGGCCCCCCGATGCCTCATGCTGGCTCTGCGAGCAACATCCCATGCCTTCTGTGGCACATAAACACCAGCCTGGGATGCAAAAAAGGACTCGTAGCCAGGTGAATCGAATGCAAAACCTGTGTGCCTCGACTGCTGCCCTGGAAGCTGCATCACAGCATAGCTCCGTGCCTCATCTGGGGTGAGGCCATTGTTTCCAATTTGTAGCAATCCAATCCTGCCTGAATCCGGCTCATGCCTGTGGATTTCCTGCACTATCTGATAGTCGTATGGGAAGAACCACCGCTGAGCCCTGAAACAATATGTATCGACAAAAGAAGGATCAAAAACCATACCATAACTGCCCAGAAATTGAAACATAGCACAGGAATAGAATTATGACTTGGGAGATGGCTCACCCGAGATATAGGAAGTCAAGAAAGAGGGCCGCAATAGGGACAAGAATAATGGCTACATAGAAATAGCCAGTACTCATCAAGTCATAAATGACGAAATAGATATTTTCCTGCAAACAAACAAACAAATCAAAGTCGTGTTGGACAAATGGCATCCAATTGCTTACAAGGCAGTGATCTGAATTAACAGCAAATATACTTTTTATTAGTTACCTGCTCTTTAGGCAAGATGAAGCCCGAGTAAATGAAGATAAATATGAACCATGCCAAAATGCTTCCTCCAACGCTAATTTGATGCCATCTATTGATCGTGTTGCAAGCCATGAGGAGACGCAAGTTGACAGTCACAATTACACAAGTGAAAGACATTGTGCTGACATCCCACAAGCCCAGCGTCATGCCATCTGAATTCACTGCCTTCTTAGTAGAGGTGACAACAAAGTAATAGAAGACCAATGATTGAACAATTGAAAAGAAAGCCCATGTTGCCACGACTCTCCATCTGAAAAACATATTCCTGATTCCTTCCTTGTATAACTCAGGATACTTCTTCGATAGGACTCCATTGACATCCTGCAGAAAAGTAAAGATTACAAACAGAAAAGTAAAATGATTTCAACTATAAGCAGTTGATTAACGCAATCTTAACAATTAAATACCTTATCAAAAAGTCCGAGCATCACCACAGGCAGGGCTGTAAACAGAACATTGAAGAGAGACTGAAACCAGTCATCATAGAACCTTTGCCCGGAAAATCCAGTTTGGAATGTGAACCAAAATTGAGTGAGCGTAAATGTCAAGTTCTTGTAGAAAAAATATGTTATAACCTGCAAAAGAATACAGCTGAAAATTGTCCACAGAGGTTGTAAGCCAGCATAGAGCTCTTGGACAGTAACAAACCTTGCATATTCTATGATATGACCACCGACCATGCACAAGTAGTAAATCAGTCAAAAACCGGAACTGGGCAATGGAAAAATCACTTGCCATCACTGCTTGCATACCTTCCTGTCCACTTATTCCAACACCAACATGAGCAGCCTGAATCATGCTAACATCATTTGCGCCATCACCAATACTGAGAGTAATCCTGTTCACACCTTTTTTCACAAGGCTTGTAACCTGAAAGCAAATAAGATGATCATATCAGCTATCAAACTTGTGATGTTTAAATTACAATGATATTGAGGAAAGTGGCAGTGGCAACAATCCAATAGTGTTGTTAGACAAAAGAATGTAAATTATGCAAATAAGTAGGCCAGCATGTTATTATTGCACTAATGTTGCACCTCCAATTATGAAAATCATCCTAAATTTATGAAGAACTACTAGTATAATAAACTGACATTGTCATACCAATTCTTTAATCAATTGCGCCAAAAGAAAATTATACACATATATGTTCCATTTCAGATGTGCGAATAGATGCAGAGAAAATGAGAAACTAGATTTTTGGCCCACAAGAACGGAAAGAACCAGATCGCTTCGGGAAAGCAAACTAATGGCATGCAGCCATCATTGGCAATGCATACTTGAGGTTTAGAGAGACCAAATTACAGGATCCATCACCACAGTAAAGTAGTACACATATTTAAAGATTGCTATGCTGCCTTAAGAACATTACCTGTGCTTTCTGAAGTGGAGAAACTCTGCAACAAACCACTGCACTGCAATTCAAGCTCAAGTTAAGAAGCAATACCCGTAGGCTGGGATCCAAAGCATACATCAAACACTTTCCATCAATAACAAGCGCTAATTTTTGACCGGACGAAGATTGAAGGAACTTCTGTGCTTCCTCATAGCATCTTTGCAACTCAGTTTTCACCATTTCTTTCGTAAAGCGAGCAAGCTCTACTTGATCACCCTATGATTCAGGTAACAACAGGTAAAGGGCAGGAAACAACATCAGGGGTTTCAGACCTCCCTGCATTTGGATGGAACAATCATCAATACTAAATGTTAATTACCTTATCTTCAATTTCTCTAATAGCATCAGTTTCCGAACTGATAATAAATTGCTTCATGCTGTTATTTATTAACTTGCATGCTGCAGTTGACAAAGAAAAAAGAAAGAAATTACAGTGGCAGTTAGCATGTAAGTGAAAAAAATGAAATCCCCGAAATTATTACCATAAGCAATATTGATTGCTGTTTCCATCTTGTCTCCAGTCAACACCCAAATTTTAATGCCAGCTCGAGAGAGGGTCTCTATACAATCAGGCACTCCCTCCTGAAGTTTGTCTTCAATAGCAGTGCATCCAATCAATGTGAGCTCCTTCTCAATTAGTTCTGCAATCTGAAACATTTTTTTTTTTTAATATTTAGTTAACCAAAATATGTCATTCTGCATAATAAAATATCTTATAAGAATCAATATGTGAGCATAGATTAAACTACATGAAGCTCAATACCAGCTAAAAGCCCCATTTGAACAAGCATAAAGTACAAATCAATGGAGGATGCAGTATACCTCATCCAATTTTTTCTCCCTGTCCCGCAGAGCAGACTTTGCCTGAATGTATTTCTCATTCCAGTTTTCATAGACATCAGGACTCAAATTTCTATACGCTAGGCATAGAGTACGCAACCCAGCAGCTCCAAATTGCTCCAGGTGATCCCTAGTTGCTCTTTTCAAATTGTTGTCTCCATCCGCCAATCTTTCATATATCACTGTATCTGCACCCTGCAAAACCAAAGTAAGATACTGTCAACTTATTCCAGGTAGATAACTTCTAATTAAGACAGATATGCCAGTTCATGAAGGAACCTTGCAGTAGAGTACAAGTCTACCATCTGGATAGCGACAAACAACAGACTGGCGCTTCCTTGTACTACATGATGCCAAAACAGTGTTATTCTGAAACTAAAGTTATTTAGTATTTGAAAAACTAACAGGCAGATAGAAATGTATATTACCTATTAAACTCAAGAACATTTAATATTTCATATGCAACATCCTGAATCTTTCCCATCTTCTCAACATGTGACTCACGAACATATATAGTTGTGGGTGACCGTCTGCAGTTAACGCATTACATGTCACACTTCAAGACATAACATCTTCAAAAAGCGTCACAGAAGAGAAAATAAATAAACAAAAACCATATACTTGTAGAAAAAGAAACCAAAGTTTTTTGCAGCAGTGACCAAAGCAGACTCATCAGGTGATGCAGCTTGATATCGAATCTTCTCAGGGGATTCATCCCCCTCTGGAAGCACAGTATGACATATTGCCAGGCACCTGAAGAATTCCTACACAGAACAAAAGATCTTTCAGGAATAATTTCTCATCAGAAATTGGTGACTGAAACCAATTTATTTGTCAAGAATCGACATCCCACAAAAGATACAATAAGCGCAAGTGCTACACCATAGAAAGATATTACCAAGCCATGGGAGGGAGAAACCAACTTATAAGCATTTATATGTTTCACAAAAGATGTCTATCCACAATTAACATAATACATAATCCTTTGCAAACCAGAACTAAGAATATAGAAGGATTAGAGAATAATGAGCAAATTGTTGTAAAACCAATCACATCAATAATCAATTGAGCTTGAACTAGCCCACTTTTAAAAGCAGAAAACAATTGACTCCACACAAGGCACAAACAAAAACTTCTCTAAGCTCATAGGATAACCTACTTTGCAAGCTTCAGAATTAGGTTCATTTCTCCAAGCACCTCTCATTATCCGAGGATCATCAAAATTGAAACCCTTTTCACGTGGCAACTTTGAGTCCTTTTGACCCTGAAATTACAAGCATAAAATAAAGACATGCACACTTTATAGTGTTATTAAAAATTTTGGTGGCAAATTAACGTACATCAACTTTTGCTCCAATTCTTTGAGCAGTTCCCATCTCAACTTCAGTGACACCAGTACCATAAACCTCTCCTCCAATTGAACATTTGAAAAATTCCATCAAGTTTCGTGTCAAGGTCCCAGTTTTATCAGAGAAAATATATTCCACCTATTAGATTTCAATATCAAACAACAAACACAGAAACTTTCTTCAATATTACAATTTTAAATCTTTAAGCATATATATAGTTCAATATAGGAAAATTTTCACCTGGCCAAGTTCCTCATTTAAATTTGATGTCCGGGCTGATGCAGGGGTATTGCTCTCAGCATGGTACATGTGCAAGTCATTGTTGATGAATTGAGAACATTGAATAAATTTAACCATCTGAGACAATCACAACAAAGTTATTGGTAGATAATAATAAGAATAAGAAAGAGGGGGAAACAGAACAACACATTGTTAAATCTACCTCAATAGAAACATAAAGAGATATAGGAATAATTGGCGAATAGAGAGTTATTAGGGTAAACAATGTCAAGATAGCAACCTGCAAAACAAGAAAACAAAGAATTTGAGAACTGCAAACGATTTAGAAAGAGAAACCACAAAGGGAAACTAAAACAAGGTGATTCTGTCTTCACCACAAATCTGCTGTCAGGATCAAACTGCTTCTCTGAATTGTCAAAGCGCAGGTAGTAGTATTTGCGATTTATAAATACACCACTGCAGATAACAAGATTGGGGGCATTATTTATTTCAATTAATATGATTGAAGCAGACGGCAATTCCAATACTGAAATTTGCACAACTAAGCCAAACCTCCCAATGGCACCCAAAAGGCACATGGAGAAAAGTGTAGTGAATAGTGCAAGAATAAGCTTGTCAAGCTTTTTTTCCAAGGTGCTTCTTTTGGAAGGAATTTTCATGGAGTTCATCATGACCTGTCAGTAGAGCACAGCCACTCATAAAATATATGGCAGAGATATAGACTCCCAAGAAACAATTCAAATAATCCATGGAGTGGATCTTTAAATTAAAAATATTAATTAATTAATTTATTTATTAAAATCAATTCATGCCTGCTAAAGAATGTCAGCATAAAAGCTACCTTAAAATACTTTTTGAGAAAATCCTACAACATATAAGTGAAAAACTGGAACAATCTAAAAAATTGGATGTACCTTTGTCTCGTGACCAGTAAAAATGACAACACCAACTATGTACTCAGTGTTCCTCAGGCTACACCCCTGGAAATGATTAAACAGGGTCATTACAAAGGAGTAATACTACTACTAGTAGTAGTAGTAGTAAAGTTCTAAGAAGAACCATTTATTCAAATGATGGAATACTCCAAAAATGTTACATTACACATCAAGATGCCTGCCAAAATAAGTGATTGCAGAAAGAAGCCTGAGTGGGCGATTGCAGAAAGTAAGGGTTTCTTTACATCTTTTTTTTTTTTTTTTTTTACTCTTGTGTATTTTGGTTGTGTTGTTTTGAGGTTAAGTAGTGGTTTGATGTGATGTTTGGAATGGAAAATGGGTGTTGGACATAATAATTTGGGAGAGAATTTGAGAATTGAAAAAAAAAAAAAAAAGCACATACACACACACATGTACACAAACTACTCAGAAAAGGAATAACACTATCACCACAAGGAATTAATTCAATTTAACGACAATCAATAAACTAAAAAGGAGAGATCATACCCGTAGTAAAAGCTGGTTTGGACTGAGAGGTAATGTTTGTTTATCAATGATCAAGTTACCAGTGAAAGTGTAAAGTGAATTATTAGGTTGTTCACATTGTACCTCACCTGCACAAGCAGCAGTGCAATTTCACAAATATGAATATTGCATAGGTCAACAAAAGAAGTAGGGTAAAGTTACTTCCTATCGTCATTCAGTAGATATTTTCATGAGTTTGGACTTTTCTATGAAAAATCAAATTACGACAGAATCATAACTAATTCCATGAACAACCAGCTTCATTACTACAATCCTAATCAATAGAGCCTAGATACAACTTTCACCACAACCTAAAACAAATACACCAATGTAGCAAGGTACGTGATTAACATAGTTTAAAATCCAAAAATTCAGTGCAATCATATGCAAAAGCCTAATAATATCTTCTTATGATCTCAGTAAACACAACATACATTTTCAAATGTTGTGAGAGTTCACCATGGATTTCTATCCACCAAGTTCTATTCAAAGTAAAATTTGAAGATAATCAAATTATAAAATATTAATTATGAGTTAAGCAAACAAAACCTTTGAATTCAGAAATTTTTTCTGGGGTGACATAATCCCAAGTCTTTTCTAATGCCTTCCGAATCTTCAAGTTAGTTTCACCATCCAGATTTGCCGTCTACACAACAGCCAGATATAGCATTTCAATGATAAAGAAAAAGAAAAGCACAACAGAAAATATAAGCAATTATAGGACTAGCTATGACAGCATACACAAGATAAAAGGGTGAAGTGAACATAAAAAGAAAAATAGGAAGGCCAAATCTGTCACCGTTATTAACCAATTTCTGAAGTACACCATAAAAGATAGATAGGTATGGAGTAATTAATAAAAACCTCAATGTAACAGACACCATCAGGATTTGTACTGCCAAGGAATAGCAAATCAGCAGGAAAGAAACCATCCTGGTTCACCTGCAGGAGCAACCCATCAAAGATATAATTAACCAGCCATTACAAGTGGAGTTAATATGTAAGCTGTACAACAGATTAACTGTAGAAATATATTAAAGCATTATATGAATACAGTATCATGAAATTATATAGGAGGTTACTGATCAACTCTTAGGGTAATGATATACTAATAATTGAATTTTGAATTATTGTGTTTTATGGAACAGTGTATTCCAATTCTGAATGAATATATATTTGGTTGTTTTACGTAGTTTGGTAAGTTTAGGTGGGTGTAAATATGCATGGTGACACAATGAAAGATTGTGCACAAGTAAACTTCCAGCAACACCTTTCTGAATATACTAGTAGAATCCTCCGAAGCAAGATTTTCAAAACCACAGCTAATCAACCATTACTAATTATTTCAAGATTAATATATGATACTTCCATTATTGCTATGGCCACAAGCCAAGAAGCTCAGTTAATGGTAAAGATAAGGATCTAGAAGTGAAGCACATGGTCACTGGCTTACTTTGATAATATCCCCAACCTGCAGCTTCTTCCAAGGGGTAAATACCCAGCGCTGATCTTGAAAAACTTCGACAGTGGAGTTATTCACTGCTGCATCATTTTGGAGACGTTTCTTCCATGCATAAAATAACACAATGAGAAAAAAATAAGAGAAATCATCACAAATGAATGATCCTTGTAGACATATGACAAAGATAATATATGATATTCACCCAGTCCTCCCATGCTTCCTTGATGAGAGACACAAGAAGCACCAATGTCAAAGGAAGCACATTTGTAATTGGACTCACAGGGCTGCATGTAAACAACTACTTCATCAGAGTTACTCAATTCCCACACAAATTTTCAAATGTAAATCAAATTTTTTAATGATCCCATATGTCAGTTTTTCAAGGAGACAATGAAGAAGAGATCTGTGATGATCTGAAAGTGACTGAAAAAAGTGGAGCCAATTACTAAAAATAAGTAGTACTTATCTGTTTATTGAAACCTACATAAAAAGTTTATACAAAAGCGTGTGACTGTACGGAAATTGCTCTTTTTCATTCACTGGCACGGTCTCATGCAGATCAATCATTAGGTATAATTTTTTTATCAGATGACAAGAGGGTAAGTTGCACGGACATATATAGAAATTCATAAATTAGATAAACAACATAGAAACAAAAGCAAGAAACTTCAAAAAAGTCTTGTACTGTCTGACTGAAATAGCATTTTTCCTTGAAATGATTAGTAAATTGAAGTACAGGGTACCAAAGTCTACAAATACAAGAAATAAATCCAGATCAATCAATATCATCTTTACAACATTTGCAATATGTTTATGGAAAGATTCCATCAAATTCCTTGGAGGCTATAAGAAGATTTGAAGGTTTTACAGACTTTCAGGAGATTCTTAAACTCATACACCACAACATTATTTCCCAGACAACCAATCAGTTTTCTTCTTTAAGGGCCACCAAACAACAATCGGCATAGCATACCTGATAGGGGTGCACGACAGGATCGAGATCATGAGAAAATAGAGGTTAGCGACCCGCCTGAACTGTCAATATGTATTAAGCAAGAGAAAATCAGGTAACAAACCATATCGAAAGCTGGAGCACACAAACTGAAAGAGCGGAAAAAACCGTACTACATGAATTTCTTCTACCAGTAGTACATGATAAACAAAAAATACACCATATCAAAAAACACACTTAAGTCAATCTAAAAAAGTCACAGGAAATGATCCTTTGCCACATCAGTTAGATGCTCAAATCACTAAGCACAGAATTATTCCTCATTTGAGCCTCTCGAAGTTGACAAGTAATCACACTTCAATCTGTATGCACATTGTAATAACATTAAGCCTATCATCTCAGTTACATGAAGACAAATATTTGACTATTGAAAAGAAAAAAAAAAAAAAAATGTTTAAAAGTTGAAAGGCACTGAAAATCCAAAACTATCAGTGTCTAAGTTGGCCAAACAATCAATGCAAGATCAGACAAAGATGTTACATCTGGATAACGTAGCAATGAGAAACTTACCTGCTCAAATAGCCCCTTGGGTAAAAAGGTGAAAATATCATACTTCGTTGTAGACACAGAATTACCCTGAAAAACAACTATGAGAATAAGACTACCAGCTAGAAAGTTATATATCACAATTACCAACCTGCAAACTGCCCAACTTTCTAAACTAAAATGTTAAACCATGGATTTCAAGATTCAATATAGCTATCACTATAATACAAATAAAACATCATTTATAGTTGGGTCAACATAAATTGCCTAGAATCACAGCCCAAAATAGCAAAGAAGTTGCTTGCAGTAGATGGTGATTAAGGTTATACTATTCGAATTATACTCTCTTTAATTGTTCCAATAAGCAAGTGCATAAAATCCAAATATAAGCTTAATTCAGTAGCATGACTTCCAATGGGAAAACCACATCCATGCACATTTCTTACGTAAGAGCCTGTGCCATTTTTTTTTAAATATAGTCTTTCCATTAATGGTACATACAAGAAACAAATATAAAATTTAAGTTTATTCTGCAATTTGTACGGTGATTATATCAAAGTTCCACATTCTTCCTCGCTCGAGTACACTTTCAAATTTCTCTTCAAATCAGTTCTTCCCATTTCCTACAAAATTCATTGAGATAGCCCGAGTAATAGACAGTAGCGATCAGATGGTTTGGGTTATTGACGAGTCCTAGGACCTAAATGTGTATCTAGAACAATTGGGGAGAATATTGACGAGTCCTTAAAATCAACTCAATGTCAGATGAAAAAAAATAATTAAAAATAAAAATAAAAAATCAAGAATCTGATATCCTAACACCATATTCATGTCACAACTAATAAACCTACTCAAGAAAAGTACACAACTCTTCATTGCCAGAAAACCAAAAGAAATCTTAGACCCTACAAAAATTGCTTCCCAATGCCATTTCACAATAATTACAAGTAAGGCCAATCCACCGCACAGAAGACATTGAACTCACAAAATTCAGAAAAGCAAGATAAACCGTTCAAGAAAAAAAACTTAAAACCCTGTATCGGAGAAACCTTGAATTTCGCGAGGGCGTTGGCATCACGATCACTACAAAACACGGTCCTGTGACCTGGTGCCTGCGGCTGAACCTTTCCGAGACGAATTGTTTGAGACGATGAGACGGGATCTCCCGACGGCGGGCCGCCGCCGCTAGATCCCCTCCATCCAACCATTCTTTTCACCAAGATTCCCCGATCGCACCGGACCGAGTGCAAGCAAATCCCTAAATTTGGTGCGAAATCGATTGCTCGATTCTTGGGGAAGTAAAAAATCAACGAAAAGGCCGGATTTTTAATTAAGACAAAGAAACAAATACACTGGAAACTGCGGTTGATGGTTGAATGGTACAGAATAGAAAGTTGGGTAAGCTGGAACTTGGAAGTCCTGAATTCTTCTAGCCCGAGTTTTAATACGTCAGACTGAATCCGCGTTGAAAATCTCGAGCCACCCCAAGCGAGCCACGGACGCGTAACTCATAAGCAAAACCCCTAACTTGGAAAGGAGCTTCTCTCTATCATTATATGTGCAGTGCAGACGGGACGGGCTCAACTCAAGTGAGAAAGACAGATGGAGATGGGGGCGGGGGATGAGCACACTAGTACGACGTCGTTTCAGAAGACGAATGCAACCACTCTCTAAAGATTATTGAGATAATTATATATATAAAAATATTGTACTAACGGTTATAAAAAGTAAGTCGTCTTTTTTTATTTATGGTAGGTTGCCGAATGCTGCTGATGCTGATGCTTCAAGACATCAGTGGCGACGACTATTTCATTTCATTTCATATTTTTATCATCAGCATAAACATTTACAGTTATTTATACATACTGTACTGATTCTCAATGCTAAATGCAATGATAAGGACAATATTAAAATCCAAATGGGCATCTGATTGTGTTCTTTAGAAAGAACTCTCGATTTAGAACTATCTATAATGTTTCCAAATCCAATCTAAAGTTGCTAAATTTAATACTGAATCTAACAGTAAAAGCAAAGACGGGGAGAGAGGAGAGGACAACCTTTGCATACTAAAATTGTCCTAGAATCAAATAGCGTCTCTCGATTTTAAGGTTAAGAGATTCCTAATTAAAATGTCCACCGCAGATTCATTCTTCAATTTCAGGTAAAACCACAGAATCCAACATCCCTCCCAACAGCCTCTTTCTTCTCCACCATAATCTTTCTTTGCCATTATTCTTTCTCTCAAATCATCCGCAATGGACGAAAGCGCCGCGCCTCAGCGCATACTCGTCGGGCAGAATGGATACAACAGGCTGAGCACCCTGGAAATGGAAGTCCATCCAGAAGCCAGCACCACTGCAGGAGAAACTGCAATCCAATGCTGCTGGGAAATCCAGCATCAGATGGAGGCAGCATGCAACATGATCGATTGGGACCGTGTTTTCATGACAGCATTCGTCACCCTATCCTTTGTCCTAATCCTCGCCGCATTCTTCTTCCCATCGTTGAAGCCCAAGTCAGTAGCCGACCAGTCATTCCAACACGAGTTCAACCTCAATTCATTAATCATATCAGAATTCAAAGCCTCCCCGGCGCAGCTGACTGGGAAATGTGATGTGATTCTCAACATCAGCAACCTCGGTGACAGAAGCATTTACCACGAGAATTCTGTGCTCTCAATTTTCCTGGATCATGAACTGCTGTGGATTACCCGGACCAGCGACTTCTTTCTAGAACCCGGAAATGAAATAATGTTCAATGTGACTATAAATACCACGACCATATCCGTACCTGCCTCCTTTGTTCCAACGGCCCTCGTGGAGAGCCAGAAAATGCATAAGCCCCTACATTTCAAGATAAAGTATGATGGAATGCTTCGGGAAGGTATGGGTGCATGGCATGAAGAAAGATACCATGTCTACGCAGTTTGCGGCTGGATCGAAATGCAGTTTGTCAGCGAGACTCGGATTGAGGGAGGCCCGGCAAGTTGTTCGTTCGAAAACTTTTAATGGCGTAGCCTTGTTGTTGCTACACCTGTAGGATACTTCTGTTAGATTAGCTTTCAGCAAACTTCTGCTTTTATTACCATGATATTCTATAGGACAATTTTGAATCAGTTCAGGTGGTAAGATCTGTACAGGGGTGCAAAACACAACGGTTGAATTTCTTTTCACCGAACAATCAACTTTGTTACAGAAGCATAGCTGCAGGCAGCAGTTGCAAACACAATACAGATAGGAATCGGAAAGAATGGAAGAAGACAGGATGGATTTAGACAAGATTATTGATTCTAGGACCCTTCCAGGGAGGGAAGTGAAAGAAATATATTATATGAGTGTGTAAAAATTTTACACAGGAGATGGCTTGATGTAGGCGTCGACAATGGCACCTTGCGAGGAAATCGTAAAGTAGTCTTGTTTGAGAAAAATGTACACTGCTGCAGAAACTGGATAAAGAAAGATTGCTTTTCAATCTCGGCTTATTGGGATCTTATATGTATCATTATCATGATGTGCGGTCGAAGCCTCCGCCAATCTGCATATGTAACCATTCGGGGGACAAGCCCCTTCCATATTCACGTGTACCTTGAGACCCATATGGGACGCCGGGAGCTTCAAAAGCATGCTGAGCAAACAGGGAAATGACAGAAATAAAAGGGATTCAACATAATATTACAGGGTATGAATGTTGGAGTGAATTCAGACACCTTAATGCATTGAAAGACGTACATCTTTTGAATGGTATGCATCCATGCCTCCTCTTGCATTGACTGCTTCAAGCTTCATTGACAGAAACTGCAGACACAGGTGAGTTTCATTCGAAAATATGTCAAGTAATTATTAACGATATAATCGCATCAAAAAAAGTAGGACACAACATGAGGAGAGGGAGGAGGTGTACCTCGACCTGCCGTTGTAACGATTGAATATAATTGATAATCTCGTCAAGCACTAGAGCTTTGCCAATAACCTGAATCCCATAAAAGAAGACTCAAAGAACATTCCTACCCAATATATTTCACGAGTAGCTTCAGCCAAAGCAATTAAGAGAAATCATTCCCCCAAATAATGGCTGATGAAGAACATCATATACCACATCAATAAATTATCAATTCATAAACCCAGTGCTGTAAGTTAAATTTATGCTATATATGCCTTTGTATGGGTGTTCATTTTTACTAAAAGTGATTGAGTGCACATGTCTATCATTGGATATTTGGATCCATGGAATTCAACTACCCTGTTGAAGAAATGATGGTCCCTTTACCAATCAACAGAGAAAGGATCCGGACAACTTCAAACAAAAAGGCTTTGTACAAAATAGAGAATTTCATGACAAGCCACCAAGCTTCACTGATCCATAAACATATGCAAACTTGGGTTGCTGAAAACAGTCAAAATGATTGCGCAGGTCCACATGCACTTAGGGATCTTAAAAAGTTTCATGTCCCAGGTGCGGGATTAATACCTCAACCACATCTTCTCTCATGATTCAGAATACTCCAAGTGGAAACAAGAATCCTATAATCTATCTCACCAAGGATGACAAGTATATGCTCTAAATTAGATCTAATAACATCAAATAAAACAGGGCAGACTGTAATCATCCAAATTGAAACACCATAAGAGAAATGAAGCCCCAAAGATGTTGACACTCACTTTATTACAACCCGGGACTAAATCTTGGAGAATTTTCATCCTCTCGCTTATCTTCTCCCTCCTTGCCTGCACCAAGAACAAAACAAAACCCATTAACTTGGGTATTCACCATTCTTCTCTGTACTCATCAACCACCAGAAGACAATTCTTGTAGAGTGATTCAACTTAATAATATATGAAGTGATACGTCCAGATTATTCAAGATCGCCATAAAATATGAGAGAAGCGGAGTATACCCTTTCAGCTAAACTGTGACTATCGGTAGCTTGGCCTCTTCTTGCTCGAACATGAATGTAGTCTTGCTTTGGCGGTTCCCTTTTTGTTGGCTGCTCCGTTGCCTTTCTTGAATTCACTTCTCCGTCTAATTTATTTACTTGATTCTCATTTATCCCCACTCCTTTAAGCCTTTTACCATCAGCCGCCCCATTCTGCTCCAAGAAAAGATAATAATTACCATACAAGAGCATAAAACAAAACGAGCAAGGACAAGAGAACAACTAATACTATGTTGAGAGCTGAGCTCAATTTCTTCAAGCTCATGTCTCTTTCACTGCACCATCCAATTCAAAAGTTGTCATTTATTTTTCCAAGTGTCACAGACGCAATCCAACTAGGGCACGAATAGACACGCAGCGTAAATAAACGTGCTCAAATGCACAAAAATGAGAAACAGAATTTTGTTTATAATCAGGTGAGAGGCAATTTCATCAAAAACTTCATCGGAATTTCTAATCGTAAAGCAAGAAAGAAAATCAATTGACCGAGATAGGAGCATGTAAGAGCGTGCAAAAGAAGTTGAATTGAGAAAACGAGGTGCGTAATGTTACATCGTTAATATTGTTGCCGCCGTTGCTATTACTGGTGGAAGCTCCTCCCTTCCCGCGCTGCTCATCTTCATCTCGCCGCTTCCTCGAACCGTGATGATTGGGAGAACTCCGACTCGACTTCTGGTCTAGCACCATCGGATCCAAGTCAGCATTGTACGACGACGTGGCATTGGCGTTCAACTGAAACCCCTGCCAGAACTCCCCGAAGTTATAAACTCCTCCGTCGTTCATCATCGCCGCTCCATGAGGATCCATTTCCAGCCTAATTAACCAATCACTACACTCGAACTCGATCAATTATCAGCAGCTAGATACAGGTATGATTTGAAACTCCGTAGGCGTACAGCTGGATCTCCTTGTGTTCGAGTGCGAAGGACAGCCAGCACTACCGCCGCGTCAGTCTGGAGGAGAAAAGAAGTGAGCTTGGCAGTTTGCAGAGCAAGCATTTCCTGGAGACAGCAGACTGCAGCAGTTCCCGTCTTAAGGCTTCCACAAGTTTATCATCTACGGCTGGTTCACCTACACCGACGTATTTACAGCGGTGACTGACGCCGTATACTCAGAAGCGTCTGGACAAAGTCAAACCAATAATAATAATAATAATAATAATAATAATAATTATTATTATTATTATTATTATTATTATTATTATTATAAAAATCCATTTTAAATAACTAAGCAAATTAGGATTAAAGTTTGGGCAATTTATTCAGTGATTAATGGGAAAAGTGTGGAATTATGATTGTTGAGATTATGATTAATCAATGGGCTAATTGCGGAAAGGTTAACATTAATGATTGTTTGTGTTTGAACTCTTATGTGCATAAAAGTAGCATTAAATTGTAACCTCACTTTCTTAATTGCTTACATACCTAACTAAATTTTATTTTCCTATATTTTTCCAATCATTTTCCTCAATGTATCATTTACAGAAAATCATGTCATATTTGGTTTTAGATTAATAGTCACTAAATATATCTAATAATGCATAAGTAGTTTTAAATATAATAATATTGAGACCACACTCTTATATCATGCTTAATAAATCAAATCATGATTATTTTTTAAGACCCATTATGGAAAAAAATATAAAAATAAAAACAAAAACCCATTAAAGTTAGACAATGTGGGGCTTGTGAATAAAAATAAAACAAAAATCAGAAAATCACACAAACTTTCAAAAAACACAATACTAATTGAGATGAGGTGAGGTGAGGTGACTTGTTCAATTCCAGAAATCCTTACATGATAACAACAACAATAATCACATCAACTTTTTTATTTAGAGAAATTTATTTATTTCTTTAATGAAGAATATTGAGATGGGGGAGTGTTTATTTTGAATTTAGGGACCTAACTTTTGGTTAATACAAAGAGAGGGATGTGAAAGTGATGAAAGTGAAGATGAGGGCAAAAGTGACAGCAACTCTTCAATCTTCTGCCTAATTTTGCCCTCACTCATATCTCCTTTTGGACAGGCAACTATTGTCACTCTAAAGTCCTTTGCCTACTGTCCTTTATTATTATTATTATTATTATTATTATTATTATTATTGTTATTATTATTATTATTTCTAAACTTAAAAAGATTTCATTTATTATAAATAAAATATATATACCCATGGGCATGTATTTATTTATTTAGTTTTGCACGTTTATAAGATTGTAATAAGAACATGAAAATTGTTGTTATTAAAAAAACATGGCATGTGACGAATTCCTTAAAACGGTAATGCAATCACACTCCTTCGAAAATAGGATTGATTTGTTCTATTTTATTTTGTTTATATATCAGCACTGAATGATATTAACTGGCGACTACTAAGCAAGTCAATTAAATCAAAGCCACACTAATTATATATCATAATCAATAAATAATTTTTGCACAACTACCCTAAGCTTTTGTGTCCCCTCAACAGTTGAAAAGGGGTCAAAAAAGTATGGACTTAATGCACGGTAATAATGGGTATTTTGAAGCTAAGTCTATACATAGAGTTAAAGGCTAATTTAAGTACATTGAATAATTCGCTTTTATTTATTTTTTCTTGACCGTGCACGGTAGATTCACTTTATTGCACTATTATTATCGACTTAAATACGTCAATTAATTTTGCATGGTTGTTCAAATTAAATGGGATTCAAACCATTCATTTATAAAGAAATGGTACAAGAATAATCAAGTGTTGTGTGGACTAAAATCTGCCAAATGAAGTGCAACTTAATTTTAGTCAATAATTCAATCACCAAATAGCCCTTTTTTGGGAATAATACAGCTGTTGTACTTGAAGAAAGAGCTATAAAAGTTGGGTAAGGTTAGATGAATTACTTTAATTTCAATTAATCTTGGACCCCGTTTTAAATATGTCCAATATTGTAAATAGCCCATGTCTGCTACTCTATGCTTTTCCAAGCCCAAATCGGATCCAGCCCATGATCAAAAGCGAAAAATAATTTGGTATTTAATTATTATATTATATCATAGAAAATGTATGGCAATTCAATTGGGTTCTCAATATGATATGGTATAGCGACCACCCCTATGAAAGTAATTGTAGTATTTCTTTTATTATTATTTCCTTTTAAATTTGCACCAAGAAAATTTTCAGGGGTGGTTTGTTGTTTGTGTTGTCATGTATTGATTATCAAAGAAAATGGACGATGGAGATGAGTCAGCATCCCATGGCTTGGCTCGGCTTCTTCTCGACGACAGAGCCGTCGTTTCCCGCCAGCGCGCGGTATTTGTCCTTCCTGGTGAAGGCAGTGCACTCGTACGACAGCGTGGCGGCTAACACCCGCTGAATGTAATTAGCCACATCGTGGCTCGGCTTGCCGGCTCCACAGGTCAGCTCACGAGGCAGCTTATTCAGGAACGTCACCTCATAAGAAGGGCTCGGGTTCATGAAGAAGTAAAACGGGTCCATCCCCTTCCACCCACGCGCCGTCGTGCCGTGGAACATACTCATCCGATTCACCATTGCCACCGGCACCAGCTCGTCCGTCAGCTCCGCGAAGAGCGAGCTGAACCGGAGGAGGAACGGCTCGCGGCAGGTCGTCCCCTCGGGGCAGATGGCTAGGTCTCCTTCTTCTAGAAGCTTCTTAATCATGGCCGCGTCGGTCGCGCGATCGCGGCTTAGGCGTACGGTCTTGATCGGAGATATAATCTCTGATAATCGAGAGACGGAGTACGTGACGGCGGGGATTGGGCGGCCGAGGGCCGTCGATAGGAAAATCGGATCGAGGAGCGTCCGGTGCGAGCAGATGAAGAGGACGCCGGATTTTCCGGAGGATTTCTTCACCGGCGGCGGCGGAGTACCCTTGACGGTTACTCGCACGCCGAGCGCCCAAAAAGCGTAGTATACCATCGGCATTGGGAGGAGCGAGCCGGCGGCGATGCGGAGGCACGCCAAGACGAAGCCGAGAGGAATCCACAGTACGGTGAGAAGAGCCATGAAGGGGGTCAGCTTGTGAACCAGACGGCCGTCGTGGAATATGATCGGCTTTGGGAGTTTGTCTGCGGTTACCGCCTTCACTTCTGGTTTTGGGCGCACGATGAAACCCTCCTGCATCAATACAAATAAATAAAATAAAATTGGAAATTTATTTTATAAAAAAATAAATAAAAAGGAAATAGTTTAGTTATTTGAATTTTCAAACCTTGCACATCTTCATGAACGCGAAATCCGTGTGCCTATCTCCAATTCCAATTTCCGGAACCGCCTCGCCGAAGGCGGCCTTAAGTGCGCCGGCCTTATTCCTCCCGACCAACACTCCCGGCGACGTAACGAACCCCGTCGCTCTTCCGGCGTAGCTCGAGATCTCCGTCCCCAACACCAGATCCGCGCCCAAAAACTCCTTCAGAAACGCCTCCACCATAATACGCGGATTCGCCGTCAACACGCACCGCTTCCCGCAGGAGGAGAACACGCGCCACGTCTCCGGGTGCAGATCGGCCGAGTAGAACTTCGGTAGAACCGCCCGCGCCACCGATTCGATGCTGGAGACTCGCATTCCGGCGAACGTCGCGAAGATGAGCACCTGGATTCCGGCGGACTCCGACACAAAATAGTAAAGCAGTCCAGCAAGTGGCGCAAGCAATAGCACCAGAAGAAGCCTCAGAATCCCTCCGACCTCAAAAGCAACCAATGCGAAGTACGGAAAAGAGCTTCTTCCGACCAACAACGTTCCGTCCATGTCCACCACCACCGCGTCCTTCTCCCTCCCTTCCGACCGGCAATTTTCCACATCAGGAAATGCTTTGCCGGTCTCCATTATATTGATTACTAACCACTCTTCCCAAGCCAAACCAAACCAAACCAAAACAAAATTCCAATTAGATTAATGGAATGCATACATAACTGTGGCTTATATACACAGAAACAGTATAGAAACAATGACGAAGATATTGATGGTAGCTACGAGTTTTACTAAAGGAATAGGCAGACTTATGGAATTTGACAGTTTGTTGGTTTCTAAGGAAGAAGACTGGTGTCTTGTCCATATCTTTAAATTCTTTCTTAGGGATGATCGATCACGTCGATATGTTGTTAGTTATTACTTAGGTTTAAATTTTTATTTATCAAAATTCAAATTTAATGTGCATTGAATTATATGTATGCCTAAACACATGTAGTATATGTAAATTGGACATTATTGTTGGTGCATGAATTAATTAAACGATAATGACATATCGGGTTTGTTCACTTATAAATATTTTGAGAAGATAAATATATATTTTTTTAATGTTAGGTACTATACTAAATAACATTTTATATTAAAAAAATATTTTGTGAATAAATAAAATATATATTAAAATTTTAAAATAATATTAATAAAAAATTGTATCAATAAAAAGTAGAAATTATGAATGGGGTGTTATTATTTTCAAATACATAGTAAAAAACAGGTAATGGAATGTGTGTTACTGCAATCATATACATAGTTGAAGTAATCTAAATGATAAGGCTATTGTCAACGTTATAAAAAGCAATAATAATTAAATCAAATGAGACTGGTTATACCTTCAGATTCCCAATATCCTCTTAACTTTCATCGCTCGTACAGCAATGGTAATAAAGAAAAATGGTTGTGAACTTAAACAAAGATATGGGGTCTATTTGCTTTTTTATAAAATAATAGTTGAGTATGATATTTTAAATGAAAATACATTTAAAAAATGAATAGTTAAAATATAAGTAAACAAACATAATCTTAAATATATATGCTGAATTCATAATATCTCTACTTTGGAAATATATAGGGACTACATATATATAGTAACTAAATGAATGATAAATATCTTTTATCAAAATTATGATTGCGCAATCACATATAGTAATATATTATATATATTTTTTAAATTATTAATTTTCTTCGTTTAAACATTTACGCAAGAACGCACACAGTTAGTTAATGGAATTCTTTAGCAAAACCAAGGCGGTGAGACTGAAGAGCCATATGAACAAGTACCTCATCGCCGATGACGATCAGATATCCATACGGCAGAGTCGGAGCGGGGTCACCACAAACGCGTGGTGGTCAGTCGAGGTCGTCGACTCCAATCCCCACGCCATCAGACTAAAAGGTTGTCATAACTGCCACCTAACCGCCTCCAGCGTTCCTTTTCTGCTAGGCATGACCGGACTCAAAATATTCCAAACTTTACCAGAAAGCTACAGCAAGGATCCGGCGACCGAGTGGCGACCAATAAGAGATGGTTTTCAGGTGAAATTAAAAGCTCACCAAGGAACATATTTGAGAGCTAACGGCGGAACGCCGCCGTGGAGGAACTCGGTGACGCACGATTGTCCGATCGTTGGCGCAACTCATAATTATTGTATCGTCTGGGAAGTGGAAACCGTGGAGTTGCTGGAGAATGAAGCAGTGACGGATTTTACGTCGACTGCGTCAAGTTTTTCGCCATTTCCCTGTGAGATGTCAAGTCTAGAGTTCGATTGTTTTGGATCTCCGGTTTCCTTCAGGTCGTGGTTCGCCATTTCGGTGTCCGCGTCATCTCGGTGGCTGTCGACGGAGAAGGTACGAACGCTAAGAGATTCAATTTCACGATATCACAAGGCATAGTTTGAATTAAGTTGAATATGCAAATTTCTAATTTTACTTCTACCAAAGCGTAGCGTCTCGCTGATTTAGATAGGATTTGTAAATTTGCAACGGTAAAAAAACATATATCGAGATAATCAATCATTTTTTATTATTATTTTTTTAACGACCTGAAAATCTGCAGTCAGACAAACAATATTAAACCAATTATGTGTGTGGCAGGTGACGAAGCTATTATAGTTATATGTGCACATATTTATTTTACCATTTTAGCTACAGTAATTTTTGTTTATGAATAATACTACTAAAGTTGAATATATAAGTAAATAAAATATTTTTACTATGTTCATACTTTGAATACGGTGTAAATTTGGTGAAAGTGAGACCAACAAGGCAAGAGGCATCAAAGATTTTACAGTTACAAGTGCAAGTGCAGATTGGATTCTATGCTGATGACAATAAATAATTCAATTAACTTATGGAAATATCTTTCCTGTAGTATTTATATACATTAACCGGAAATATATGGCATAGTCTACGTGTCAGCACCACTATCTCTGCTATCCAATCAGAGGTGGTCAAACTGGTTTTCATTTTTACTCGTGTAGAGCAAAGGTCAACATTCCTCTGACCTTTGAGGGTCCGCCTGTCGTTCTTCCCTGTGCCTTCAAGAAGTCGTGATAACAGTTATACATATGTATGTATGTATGTAGGTGGGATGTGTCACATGTCCGTGTTTGTTCTCATTCAGTCCGAATTGATCGAGATATTTCCTTATCGTACCATTACCATGCCCCTACCATAATTAGTCAAAGTCAACTGATTTCAGCAATTCCTTTTCCTGGGATCTCAATTTCGGCAGAGTCCTTTGATTTCAATCGCCAGAACAACAGCGATGGATTTGTTCCGACAGGCAAGAAGCGTCCGCCTGAAGAACGTCCACGACAAGTTCTTACTCGCCGACGAAGACGAGGAATCCGTTACACAAGACCGCAGCGGATCCTCCAAATCGGCCAAATGGACGGTCGAATTCGATGAAAACTCCGACAAGTTAATCCGCCTCAAGAGCTGCTACGGCAAGTACCTGACGGCATCCAACCAACCACTCTTCCTCGGCATGACTGGACACAAAGTTCTGCAGACGCTGCCGGCGCGGCTCGATAGCTCCACCCTGTGGGAGCCGATTCGCGACAACGATGGTGCCATCAAGCTTAAAACAAGGTATGGTAATTATTTGAGAGCCAATGGTGGGTTGCCGCCGTGGCGGAATTCCGTTACACATGACGTTCCGCACCGAACAGCCACCCAGGATTGGATTTGTTGGAAGGTTCATGTGGTCGAAATCCAAGCGACACAGTCGCCGATCGGAGAACCGGCCACGCCGCCGGCGATCAGAGAAGGCCGGGATTCTTTTGCATCGGAGTCGGATTCTCCTTTCAAGAGCCAATCATTGAAATCTGCTACTTTTTCTAGACAAGAGGTATTTACTTAGCCCAACGATTTTAGTTTAGTTTCATTGCACGCTATAGGTATATGAGTGAATATTCAAAGCATTCATTAATGGTATAAGAAGAATATGGAGAAAGTAGAGTTTGGTTGCTGCTGTAGTGATTTTACTTTAGTTTCTGATGCTGATTGAGGGGTTTTATGCAGTCCAATGACTCTTTATTTAGTTCGCCGCCCAAGGGGAATGATGGGAGATTAATTTATTACCGCATTGCCGATGAATCTGGAGAAGTAGATGAGGCATTTGAGGAGCTATGCATTTCATTTAAGGGTAGTGAAGTGAATGAGTTAACATGGAGGCTGGAGGAGGAATTAGGTGCTGAGGGAATCACTGTATGCACACGAAGCCCATTGAATGGGAAGCTGTATCCTCTTCGTCTGCAACTTCCTCCCAACAATGCAACAATGCATGTTATTGTGGTTCCACCATCTCCAAAAGGTGATTGATTATATCTGTATGTATTATTGTTCATATTTACTGACATGTCTTTACTATCGACTATTTAAACTCTCATTATCGGTTCTATATTTGCTATTTTGATACGAAGTAGTTTCAAGAATTTTTCAACTGTAACTCTGTGGAATAGCATTGTTTGCATTGGTCAAGTAAATAAGAACAAAGCATAGATGTGGTGCTGTATTTGGATTAATTAACCTTATGTCCTTGGAGAACCCTGTTTCACTTACACAGTAGTTTATGCAACCCCCTGCAACCTTGAAGGAAGATTTTTTACTTATCATAAACCCTTTCTACATTGCTTCTATTGTGTACTTCACACAACCTATGTAATCTTCTTCTTGACATAATTTGGTTGTTTATGCAGATCAGGATTCAAAGAAAACAGAGCCATCATCGTAGAAAAGTTGTTTGATGGGGACTATACTATACTAAGCTATGCATGAGCATGCAGTGTCATCTAAATTGGATTGAAGGGAGGTACCACCAGCCAACAATTACAAACTGAAATCTCACTTCACAGCTTCTTTATAATATGTGTAGACAGACTGTAGTGAGTTTTGGTAATTCTACACCTGCATGCATTGCATTGCATAAACGGTGTAATGAGAATATTCTATGAACCATTACAGTTTTGTTTCATTGCAGCTCAACACCACACACATTTTTTTCACTATCAAAGATCCCATCAAGAAGTACTGAAGGTCCTCCTCTAATTTTTTAAATTTTACTTCAGTTCAAATGGACCTCCAGTTTTATATTCCAATAAGAAGGCCCATTAATAATAGCTAATATCAACATGATTTATTACTATTATTATTTTTAGGGATGCCAATATTCGATATCAAAAGAAGTTGGTCAAAGTGAGGATTTGCTGATCAGATTTGTTGTAGTGATTCTTCATAAAAAACCATATCCTTGGGAAGGTCATTGTCCGGAAAAGGTGAAGGTTGTCAAAGCACACAAACACACATCAAGAAAAGAGGGATGAAAGTGAAGTCTCTAATTAGATGCTAAGTCTGTTAGAATATGTAACAAGGTTTACATCATAATTCTTGGTTGAGAAAGATAAATTTCAGATCATACAACAGCAATACTACTGTCTGTCTGTCTGTCTACTTTATTTAGTGATTTATCATCATCTATTTTACATCAAAGTCCAATAATAGATTCATTATGTCATTTATTGATGATGGATCTTCTCCACAATGACAATACTCTCTCTGCTCAATTCCTGTCATTCAATTGGCCTTTTCAAGACCTGTGATTCTCAATCTTCTTCCTGAGCTCTTCCTTCTTGGCTCCCACAACATGATTTACTTTCTTCCCTTTCTTTATCAGGACGAAACTCGGCAGCGCCTGCACTTGAAACTCCTGCGCCACATCCTGTTTCACCATACACAAATTCATTCATTGCTGGCAATTCGCCGATAAAACTAAATAATAATCATGATGGGAGTTTTAGGCAGAAAAGAACACAAAAGAGAGAAGCTTCATACTTCAAATTCATCAACATCAATCTTGATGAAGTCCACATCCTTGTACACCTCTGCAAATTCATCAAGTGCAGGATACATGTACTTGCAGGGCCCACACCACGACGCCGTAAAGTTGATTACAATCTTTAAACAAAAGGGGTGAAAGATTATTAGAAGCGAATAACATCAGATCGATAGTATGGCACACAAAATCAGGATGAAAATAGTAGTGGCAAAACATATGCATGCATTCATGCAGCACAGAAACTAACAAGTTTTGAAGTCTGTTTTGAGGCCTCAAAATAGGCTTTCCACTTTAGCGAGGAGTGGAATGCGGTGACCCGACCAGTGGCTTTTTGCATTACATTACGCGGTCTGGCTGGTGAGGGATCGTAAAGAGTAGAACCATTGGCTCCCATGTATCTATATCTATGTAGTTTCTTCAACAATTAAATTAAAGGCTGGTTATGTGGTTTATAATTTGTGTAGGAAAAATGCTTAACCTCTCAATGGCCTTTTATACTGATTTCTGGGAATATGTTCTTTTGAATGCTGGCAATGGATTTGTGAACTGGTTCTTTGCATAAATGAAGATCTATAGGCATTAGGTGAGACCTACAAATAATATTATCTATTGATTATCATGTTTTCTAGAAATGCGGTACCTTCACTTTATACAATGTTAAATAAACTTTTATAACATATGAATTAACGATACAGAATAATATATTATTGATTTTAACACGCGACATATATTCGTAAAGAATACATGTAGATGTGAAATGATTTCAAATCACAAAAAACATAGGATGTGCTTTGAGACTATCTATATGGTTTGTTGGAGTGCAAATCCAAGTCCCACATCGAAAGCTGTTAAGAAAATTCAATACCTTATATAAGTTTAAAGTGAACTCCACTAGTACGAGACATTTTGAAGGATATCCAAAAACAAATTCGGACGGGCTCAATCCAGAGCGGATAACTTTGCCTGTCTTTACGTGTGAGCCGTCGTAATGGGAATTCTGTAGCCGCAATTCAAAATGGGGAGAATATGTGCTGTGGAATACAAGAGCAACTAAAAGTTTGCATTGACAGCACTGCACTGTACGAGGTTTGTTATCTTAAAAGAATAATTTAGGTAGAAATAGAGTGAGCTAGCTTACCTAATGTGTATTGAAACCTGAAAGTAGTTCAGTCAGGATTTTTAGGCGGATTACGCTTGGAATTGTCCTGTCTTGCCCTATCCGAGTGTGTGTTTGTTTTTTTTATTTATGAGACGTATGGTGAAAAGGGAAAAGGGGCAATAAAATTGAGTGCTCCATAATTTTTTACTTAGCTTTACATGTTTATGCAGAAAGAAAGAATTACATTTACATAATAGAGTGAGTGAGGAGAAAGAAAAATGGAGCGAGTATGAGCTTGGGTGTGAGTAAGCTGAAGCTGAATCTGAATCTGAATCTGATGCTTTCGTAAGTCGGAAGCGCGTCTGTCCCCTCTCTGTTTTTGTCATTGTTCGTTCGTTTCTTTGTTTAATATATACGATTATATGCTAAAATCAAAATTATATTTTGCATACATATATCTTTTTATCAGCCCTTCTATCCTATCCTCCAATCAAAACAAAACAAAACAGGAACCCGATGCCCCTAAAATTTCAAACTTTATTAGCGACTTCAATACCAAAGTTGGAAAGCCTTATTAGGTAGAGGTAGATGCTGAGTGATTATTTCATGCTTTTTGACATTCTTCCCAAATCCCAATGGGGAATAATATATATATATATATATATATATTCCTATCCAATGACACCAGCACAAATCAAGTTACTTGTGGCATTTCCAATAAAAATGGATCGCAGTATACTTTACTTGACGATGGAGGCAGAAACAGCACGGCAGCATCCATTCCTGTTGAAACAAAACACTCAGCAGTCATGAGCACAACAGCTCAAAATATGCCATATCTTCCGGATGTATAATATTCTACTTCCAAACCATTCTTCATGGAGCCACAATGTTCCACAAGACAAGACTACCATACAGTCCATGATAGATAGATAACTTCCACAAACCCCCCCAACCCAAGTACAAAGCCCCGAAAGAACCCAAAATCAAGAGATCAGATCACGAAGCTGCTTGCACATGGTCATTATGACCCGAAGGGAAATACTGATTGTAGCCTCCGCCCATACCCCTGCCACCCCGGCCTCGGTAATAATTGTTTCTTGGGTGATATCCTCCAGGTTGATCATAATACTGGTTGCGCCCATTTTGGTAACCTCCTCTGCCGCCTCTCCCTCCACGGCCATTGCTGTATCCTCTGCGTCCACCACCACGGCCGCCTCGGTAGTTTTGATATGGTTTCCAATGAGTATGTTGCTCCTTCAAGTCCATATCCCTCGTGTTTTGATCAGCCTGTGTATCAGGAGTTTCCAAAGCCTGAATTTCTGAGGGATTTTCTATTTCTTTACACCCCTGATGCCACAGAGTAAGCATATAATTCAAGTGTCAAAGATATATCTTTTAAGCAAGGGGACTAAGGAAGGTTCTTTCCCAAATTAATAAAGCAGTTAGGTACCTGATGAAGTTCTTCAATTTGGCCAGACTCATCATCATATACTTCGTTGCTGTGGGAACTAGGTGACTGTGCTTCCTGTGACATGAGTCATGAAGTTTAATTATAGAATGCTACAAGGAATAGGAAGTTGCAAAAGGAGTAATTATAAGTCCATAGGCCAGAAAGTGCATGTCAAGCATGAATCTCATGCTTCCAAGTTGCATGTTATTACCATGGTTCCATATGCTCGTTGCCAAAATAATTCACCAGGTTATCAAATCTGAGTCTCATCAGAGCATAGAACCCTTCAACTGGTTATGCTTCCTTCATATGCCATAGCAGTATGCCAAACAGCTTTATGTGATTTTTACAACATGAATTTTTCCTTTGAAAGAAAATTCAAGAGATTGAGATGAAAAGGACACATGCAAGTTCTTTCCTACTCCACAGCTTGAGAGATGATGAAGTAATCCTCCCAAAAACCATATCAGCAAAATGACATTAGACTGGGGTGTGTACAAATTGTCTATCAAATAAGAAGAAAGGGGGCTCTCTTCTTATAGACGGATAAAGGCATCACACTTGATCGGATTTATACAAGCAAGGGTTTAGCTGACTCCAGCATCTTTTAATATATGGAAGAAATTCTGTGTTGCGATTGTCACTAATTCACTATCAATAAGTTGGAGCTCATTATATCTCAAAGGCCTAGGGTTGCTTGATTGTGTCTTGCAAACCTTTTTTGTCACTATGCAACGTTGAAATAAATAGCCTATCTTCACCTCCAAAAACATCAAATTCAACACCTATATATCTATTCAAATAGTACATACAAAACAAACTTTCCTATTTCAAAACATCATGTCCAACAGTTATCACTTATGACATCACCTCACATGGGGTGGCCTAGTGGTGTGAGGATTAGAACCACGACCGGAAGTCATGGGATTAGCGACTAAGGATTACCACGTCATCAAAATAATACTCTCTCCGTCACACATACTATGTCCACGTTGCCGTTTCTATCCGTCCCACATACCATGTGGGTTTCCTTTTTTGGAAAATGATTATACACTTTAATCTCATTTTAAAGTTTTTAATTTTATTTTTTAAAAATTTTAATTAAACTAATTAGTTATCTTAATCTTAATTTATAATTATTTATATTATAGGATAATTATTTTCACTAATACATTCTTAATTATCTACTAATTACACATCTCCTAAAATACCGTATCTACTATGTGGGACGGAGGGAGTAACAAATAAATACATTACATCAAACACATATTTTCTTTCAGAAAACACATACAATTAGTTTCAGCCACTTCAAAATGCAGTTAATAAACTATTTCTCTCAAATGGATTTCATGGTATTTAAGGACCACAAGCAAAGGATTATATGAGCATAAAATGTAATCGCTATCAACAAACCTGCATCATCATGTCCGCCAAGTTTAGCATTCAAAGAAGGTTAACAAATTCAATTCATAATAAGACTCCACCCACCAATCTTAACAATGATAGGGGGAGGTGGTGCATAAAAAAATAAAATTTACCTCATTTTGATAGCCCTCAGCTGATCCTTCTACCGATGCACCTTCATTGATCGCTGGGATCACAGAACCATGCATCGGGACATGAAAAGAAGTAAAATTGCCAGCAGCAGCTGCCACTTCAACAGGAGCTTTTATTTCAGGTGCAGTTGTGAAGTACTCTGAAGCCATAATTTTGTTCAGCTTCTCCCTCAAGTCAGCATCTACAAACCACTAAATTAAATAAGAAACCTTGCTCACCCCCATGGTACCATTACTCAAATAAATTTAAGGAAATGTTTGAAAACTCACAAGTCACAACCATAGATTTAGAATCCATACAAAATGTCCTACTAACATCCATAATTTATTATCTAAGAGAGAGAGAGAGAACAAACAAACATGAACAATCCTCTAAAAGAACTATAACGATTCATTTTGTCACATGAATGTCAAATAACTTTTCAAATATAAGCCAACATTTGACATTTGACAGTTCATTTGTTAAGCAGAGGGTAGTTTTCTTTAAACTATTTAACATTATAGCAATGCCAATTAGTAATTCTTCTTCGATCCAAGAGCCAAGGACTTCAAATAAGCAACCCCTCAATAAGGGCATTAAACTAAAGTGAATAAAATTGCCCGCCATTCACAGCCAATCGTGTGAATTTAATAAAAAACAAGATATTCATATAATGTAAAGATATAACCAAGGAAAATTGCAGTACTATAGAGCAATGGACAAAGTGTTCATACAGGTTAAGTTTGAATTGGACTCAACGGGGTGCTCTGCGTTAGCCAGCCATAGTTTAGCATGCTCCACGCATTTTTGCAGAGCATTCTTATGAGACAAGCTGGAATTAATTGGCCTCGAAACCAACATACTTCCAAGCATGGCAATCAAATCCAAATCCCTCTCCTTCAACGGTTCCCCTGCAGTATCATCATCAGTCACGTAATCATAAGTCAAGCAACAATTCCGCTCATGCGTCCTCGTCAACATGTTGTCGTGCGCCCTCATCAGAGTTGAGACATCGAAAACACCACCGAAATACAGCAAAGTTAGCAGATCGGAAACAACAGAATCGCAATCGTCTCCCCCCTTGGTTTCTGTTTCCGCCGCTGCCTCCCCGTTCTGGATTTCCGAAGCCACAGCAACGGGACTTTGCTGCGTCTTCTCCAAAGCCAGTTCAATTTCTTGACCCACGGCTTGCAAGATCGGCTCGCGGAGTTTTTCCAGCTCGTCGATGCCGGCAAGGACCACGGCTTTGGAACGGAAGGTTTCCTCCTGTTCCTTGTTCAGTGTTTTCCCCTGAGCCAAGGACTCCTCCATTTGCGTTATCCGGTTAAGCTTCTTTCGCAACGCTCGTAGGCGTTTGTTGATTACATTGAGGACAGGCCCGTCGCTGGTGGTTTCACTCGAAGAAGATGCCATCGCAGCCGTAGTTACGAGAACCGGGAGGAAAATCGCGGGGGAAATTAGGTTTTGGGCCGCCGTCAACGGCGGAAGGCAGAGAAGGATTGCACGAGTCGAGGGTTTCGGGGAAGAACTGAAGCGGCGGTTTGGGTTACAGATAGAGAGAGAGAGTGACTCAAGTTACGCAAAAATAAATTCCCAGTTGAGCGGTGGCTTTTTTTGAATTAATAATAAATATAAATAAAATGATTTTAATTTTAATTCTTGACCCAGTTAGTTAACTGATTAAGCAACAAAAAGTGAGGATAAACGTAGAGAGAGAGAGAGAGAGAGAGGGGGGGGAAGGAATGATAATTGGGCCTAATAAGAAGTTGAAAATAAATGAGATGGGATGAGTAATAACTAATACACTCCATGATGGTTGCGGAATTAAAAATTGGGCCCGTTTATTTGTGAGAGGTGGGTTGGATCGATCCTGGATTTGGCCCAATATAGAAATGAAGGACATTCAAAATAAATATAATTATATGTATACACAGATGTAGATGTAGATGTAGTAGCGGGATTCATTGACAAGTTGCGGTTTGTAGTGTAGGTGATGTTTTGGTTAGTTTAGAGGAATGATGGAGCCAAAGGGGTATAAATATAGGAATTAGGATAGGATGCTCATGCTCATACTGATACTGATGCCGGGTCGGGTCGGGTCGGGTGTTGGGATCCCGGGAGCCTTTTTGCACGAACGAGGACCCATCCCTGTGCTGTGCTGTGCTGTGCTGTTTAGATTACATAGCCCACGTTCTATGCTGACAACATTGCTTTTTTTTTTTTCTCTATGCTGACAACGTAACATTACATTTTTACAATATTACAATCTTATGCTTGTCTGTCTGTGTATCTATCTATCTATCTATGTAATATAATCAGCTCCATTGCTGAAATGGAGAAACAATTGATGCTGCTGATTAAAACTACTATACAATACAATACAATACATGAGGTTGAGGTTGAGGATAACAGAAGAGAAGAGAGCAGAGGAGCGCTGGCTGACTAATGATAGGGAATTAAGTAATTAATTACTACTGCTGACTACTGCTTCAATTAAGACAGCATTCCCCTTCCTCATCCTCCCACATTCATATCCGTAATCATAAGAATCATCGAATGCAATGCAAACAAGCACTGTTCTGACACCCTCACCTGCATCGCACGTGGCTTCTGATCTGCTCGTACTCAAATCAAATCAAAGCAAAGCGCAGGCCATATATATGAAACTGAACAGCAGCGCAAACACAACCACAACCAGCAGCAGCAACTATTTAAATTTATTTTCTTTGTGCATTGCATTGCATGGCATGGGCTGTAGTACTATATTTATCTATTTATTTATTTCTTCATTACCGAGTCCAAGACAAGTGTGAATTTGAGATTGAGATTGAAAAAGAGAAAGCGACGATTAGGCGGCGTGGGGCCGGCGGTTGGTGCAGCCCACCGTGCGCTGCCCGCCACGTTGTAAAGAGAGTCGCTATCGGGCCCCGGGAGGCGTGGCGTACGCTTCTTCCGCGGATTCGTGACATGTCTGACCCGCCCGACTATGACTTGTCTTGACGGGACACGTGTGCCTCTGTGGTCCGTATTTTTCCACGCGGCACACATCCGGACCTCCACACCATACCCTAGGCCCTACCTAGCTCCTCTAGATTTTTCTTTATTTAATGGAGTATTTTAAAACCCACCCCCCTCTTTAAAAAAATAAAAATATCAACGCACTGTTAAGAACAGAGCAGAACCGAACCTGAAAGAAAGCATGAAAGAAGTTATTTTTAGTAACTTAACTGCTTCCTAATTCCTGATTAATCTTAAACGAGGAGCTTGAATGGATGGATGGATATAGATGGATAGCCACTGCAGATTCCATATTTCCATTCCATCCATCAGCATTTATAGCAACGAACTGCAGTCGACGTGACTAGTCAGTACTCTGTCTCCATTATGTTTGCCGTGTCCCTTGATTAAATTAAGGTATTATTTATTTATTTATGTAGGCAGGTTAATTTTGTTCATTTGCGGAATTTTCTTCTCGTGAGCCTAGCCTAGCCTAGCCTTGGAGTCGACGCTAGCTAATCACTTATTTCAAGGGATTCTTCCGTCGTCGTAATCATAGATTTAACGATTGATATTAAAATAATCAGCCATTGGAATATTATATTAACACTTGTAAGATCTCATCAGGATTGCCCTGTCGGAAGTCCGCACAGATTAATTACACATCACCATTTCCATGTCCCTTCTTCAAGCTTACTAGCTGATTATTTGTTGAATACTTAACCCTTTTATTTCAACTAATCATATTGCATGGAAATTAATCACAATACTTTCGCACCTATATAATTAAGAATAATATTACTAATGCAGCAATTAAACAACAGATATTAATACTACTTAATTATGTAACAATATTGATAATGCACGTTGTATCTTACTTATTACAAAAAGGGACAACAACAGAAACATCCGACAAATTATTACCCCGCCCTTTTAACATCTTTTTTTATTTTTTAATCGCAAGATCAGTATTGCCAGAACCATGTGCCATGATCCTGAACAGGGAACCCCAAGCCGCAGGGATTCGGCTGCAGACACTCAAATTCAAGTTTAATCGGCTGCTGTAAGAAGCAGCAGCCGCTGTCGTCGTCCTCATTATCGAAATCTGAATTCATCTCAACTCGAGATGAATCCGAAGTCGGCTCCAACTGTTGAATGTCGGAATCAAACACATCGCTCTTGGAAGAGCTCGCCGCATCGAATTCCTGCTTCAGTAGTCCACTGCCCGGACACAGCTGAAGCAGCTGCTCCTCCTTCATTGGCTGCAAATCCAGTGGACTAATCGGATCCCGGTCCTGATCTGGCGATGATCGCACTTCTCCCTTGTTTTTAACAAGCAGCTTCTGAGTCAGTAATTGGACCTGAAGGAAATAAATTAATTAAAGAGGTGGAAGGCGTTGTCCGAATCTTGCAGGAATCGATCTTTTTTAAGCAAACAAACCTCGTTTTTGAGGTTCTCATTCTCTGCGGAAAGTGCGTCGTAATCTGCCCTGAGCTTATCATAACTGGCTTTCAAGGAGCCATACTCTTTCTCGAGGAGCTTCGTCTTGTACCTAGCTCGTCGATTTTGGAACCAAATGGCAACCTGTCGAGGCTGCAGACCGAGCTCTTTGGCCAGCTGGACTTTCCTGTCCGGCTCCAGCTTGCTGTCACTTTCAAAGCTCTTCTCTAGAAACTTCACCTGATTCGGCGTCAAACGCCTCTTCTTCTCCGGCGGCTGCTGGAATTCGTCGGCGGCGAGCTCTGCCGTTTCTGGATTGCTGTTTTCCACCTCAAAGTTAACCATGGATGTCGACCCTGAAACAGGGCCACAATGTGGAATTTCCTCAGTAATTATGGAAAGAACACAGAAAAAAAAAAAAAAAAAATCCCAATTTGACGAACCCTAGGTCTTAATTCGTTAGCCATTCAGACCTAGTCAATTAATTACCAAGGCGAAGGGGGGAATTGGGGATACCTTGAAAAGACGGGGAGCTGTCAGTTGGAACCCAGAGAGAATCAAGCACTTGGGAAGAGCAAGGCAGATTCGTCGCCACGTAAGAATCGTCATAAACCCCACAAACCTCCATGGCTTCTATACCTTGATTCGAATTTTCCAAGCAGAAAGGAAGAAACTTTCCAGCTCAAATTAAAATTCTAAGAATCGAACAAAACCCAGCTGACCATAATGTTGATGACAAGAGAAGTCTAACCACCACGAGAGAGAGAGAGAGAGAGAGAGAGAGAGAGAGAGAGAGAGAGAGTTTTTGTGTAGAGGGTTTGGGCAGCTTGAAGAAAGCCTTCAATGGCGGATGAGGATACGGCGGGGGACGATAACTGCCTCAGCCTGTCCTTTATAGAGGCGGGATTACTAATTTACCCTTGGCTCTCCACGAGCAAACACAGCCCCCCTGCCAGTGATGCGTACATGTGGCGCATAGTAGAATGGTAAAATATCTTCGGCTTAACCTGCGCCGTTGCTGAAACAACTGTGCCCCAGAGCCGAATCCCAGCGGCCGCGTCTCACACACACACACACTATATTATTGCCTTCTCATCTGTAGGGCTATTTTTGGGACCATATTTTTTTGGGCCATCTTAACATTTTCAATTAATTTGGGCTTTAGCCCACTAAACTTCCAGCCAAAATAAGTAATTAGGTCCAAATAAAAATAGTAGGAGTAGTAAACCGAGTTTCTAGAAGTGACCGGAAGTTTCAACGCGGAGAGTTGGACTTCCATTGTTTTGCCACTAACAAATGTGTTAGTCTAATCTGACAGATAATGACCACTCCACTACCTTTAAAAAACAAGAAGCAAAATAAGAAATGTAAAAATTAAACCCTTTTTACAAAAATGAAGCATCAGATAGTAAATATTATGAACAAATCTGTTAGGTATGCTATGCTATAGATTTTTGTTGGACACTTCCGTGAATGTTGGCGCAATAGATAATCTTAAATTAATCGACCTTAGAAAACAAATTCGAAACAATTAGTAGGAAACGAATGCGCATACGCATACGCATTTATATGTTAAATAAATAAAAGAAATAAGATACTGGTACCAACCCGGCGGTATTGTCTTGTCTAAGTGATGTGATGTGATTTAAATAAAGTGGAAATTTTTAATAAAATATTGTGTGTGTTTTTAATAATGTAACGCGGTATAAACGGCGTGTTATGAGCATTTCATTTCATTTCATGTCCTTTTCCAACAATATCTGGCCTATTTCATAGTTTTCAATTAATCGAGGACATACAATTTTTATTTTTGTTTTAGTCAAAGGAACCATATTCACTTGAGCTTCCGTCTCTTCAATCGCCACCTAAGACGGTCGAGTAGTTCAACTTTATTAAGAAACACAATGTTCTATCGGATAATCCATTCAGCAATGGATTGATTGATGTGATTAGATCATCATTTAACTAAGCTGCCTTAATTTGGTCACGTAAGCTTTTAAGTTGTTCGATATGAAATAATGTCTCACAAATTATTAAAATTGTGTAAGAAAAGCCATGAAATGAATTAAATAGATTACTAGGGGCGACAATAACACGTCCCTAAAAAACCCAACAAATCCAATTTAGTCCAAGATGCTCAAATTAGTAAATTAATGTAAGAATAATTTGTCCCATAGGTTAGGTTGGTGTTATGATGACATATCTAAGGCATGTTGATCCAAATAGAGGTTTCTGGAAAGTTTTGATATTCTAATTATATATTTGAGGTACAAATCTTTGATTCCATTTATCTCTCTCTCTCTCTCTCTCTCTCTCTCTCTCTCTGTCTGTACATACAAACACATCCATCCTTTTTGTCATAATCATCCTTTCTTCTTCTTCATTATATACCTTTTTACCCTTCCTCCAATACAGAAGTTTCCAGTCACCTATGCATACATGTATATATACATACATATATCCAGAGAGAGAGAGAGAGAGAGAGAGAGAGAGATTCTTACAATTGGGAAATGGGAATAAGATAAGGAACAGAGCATATAGAATCATACATAGTGGTTTAAGTGGCCTTTTCTTACCCTTATGATTGACTCCATTTAATTACTCAAGTAATTAATTCCATTTATTAAAATGATGATCATTATTAATTACTACGAGTCATGATGGCTTCATCATTACACAATCATTTCCATTTATTGCTCTACACGTTCTCACTCAATAAAGTGAGAGAGGAATATCACACATGCAATTGCAGCCCCATTCCCCTCTTCTTATTTTCTTCCTAAATATATATATATATATATATAAATAAAATCCAAATAAATATTTAAACATAGAATATATATATATATATATATATATATTAATAAGTGATATAATAAGCCAAGTTGCGTGAGATTACCAAAAATATTCAGATTTCATGACAGCAACACGAGGTCATTCTGATATAAATATAATCGACAACCACATATATATATTTAACACGGACTCCCTCAAAATTTCAAACTTTGCGGTTTCATACATAGCGCTTTTCACATATCGGCATTTATTGCAAATTATTATTTAAAATTGCAAAATAATTGCCTAAAGTCAACTAATTAAATTACAGTTACAAAATATAATAATAAAATATTATATATATATATATATATCATCAAGTGATAGAAATTCCACGTCAAACATGCGGATTTAATTGGTGGCCTAGTCAGGAAGTAACTACAAATCCTTAATTATCGAATGAGATTACGTTACACGCTTACGACACCGTAAACGAATAGAATAAAAAATTATAAATCAAATGCCCCGTTTACTTAATTTTTCTCTAACAAAACATTATATTTATTTAAATCATCAAAATCATGAGGCCGACAGGTTCTGACTCTCAATGAAATTTCATAATCTAATTTATTCATTGCCAATTTTTTTTTGGAATATTGAATTGGCTTATTGAAATTTATGGCTGCCTATCGATCATATATTACTGTCAAATCGATTTTAATTATTCCGTTTGATGTGGACCTGGACCAAATTTTAATTAATATTAAAATGAAAAATTGTTCGCATCACGTCTTTGGAGATAATAATAAAGATAAATAAATACAAGCAGTAGCATCCTGCTTGAGATAAATTTAATTAAATCTTTTGAGTTTCAATATTTTTTAATTAGAGTGGGTGTTAATTAGAGGTAAGATTTGTTTGTTTATGTTTTTATATTATTCAATATATAATTTTTCTTTAATATACTAATTTATAATCAAAATAGTAAATTCTTTGTATTTAGAATGTGTCCAAGTTAAAAATAATTTTCAAGAATAAATTAAATTCGAACAGTGCAATGAATTTGCGTTGTTGAGATTACCTTGAAGCTATTAATTTGTGATTGGTACTACATCGGCTGACCTTCCACAGTTGCAACGTGGCACGTAACAATAATACATATTCGCAATGTGCTTCAAAATTCATTGGTTCAGAATTCAGCAATTTTGTCTCTCTCTCATATGAACACGAACACCCTCAATTCAATTTAGTGTAGGATTATGTTATTATGTGCCTCCCTGCCCTTTCAGAATTTCACAATAAGAATTTTTTTTTTTTTTTTTTTTTTTTAAATGAATATAATATATTACAAATTCATTTCAACTTTAAACCAACATTGGTACTAATAACTTACCTAAATATGTAAATAGGATAACGCCCACTACTACCAATTATTACCAGAAGAGAAGAGACGAATTCCTGGTGAAACATATGGTATCAGTTGACTTGCTTTCCATCATTTTAATTTGTAACCAAAATAAAATAAATTAAATTAAATTAAAACAAGGCAGAGACTAGATTATATTATATTATATTATATTATATTAGATTAGTGAGTGAGTTAGCTTTGACTGAGACCAAAGTGGCATAGGTAGTTAAAGCTCTTCTATTCCTTTGACCATGGCAAGACCCTAAATTCAGACACATATAATTTAAATTTTATTTAATTCGCGAGAGGTAGCAAGCATCTCCAGGGCAGTGTAATGTTTGGACAACAATCACTTACAGGTACGTGGTAGTCGTGTCTGTCTGATCCATTTATATATATATATTATACAAATTAAATAAATAACTAAAAGCACTAGTAGTATCTCTCAGCCTGCACTGCAGTCTGCAGCTCTCATCAGTCAATTTCAAATTTGCATGCTTGCCTAATTTAAAGGCTCCTCTTCCTACGCGTGTGACGGGAGAATTTAATTTCAAGAACCAATTCCTTATCTTATTTCTGTTTGGATAAAAACTAAACAGCACTTGCACTTGCACTTGCACTTGCACCATGTTTACATTTTACACTAATATTATACTAATCAATTTAGGATAAAATTTTAATGAAATAGAACCTGGCCCCAATTTTATTTCTTTTTTATTTTTAAAAATAAATAAAGTAATATATTTTTGTGATGGAACAAAACGCAACAAGGCACAAATGGTTGGGGAGCATATTCAAATTTAGTTATAAGGTCAAACCTCACCCAGGTATATCGTAATCTCTTTTCTTGCCACTATTTGATGCTTTTATTCATTTCCCACTTTTTCATTACAAAAACAAAATCATTTCTCAATATATATCTAAGTGGCGCTTCATTGGTATATATACATTAAAGTCGAAAGTTTTGAAATTTTGAAAATAATAAAAAGTTGATATTTGGTCTAATATTTTATGAATATATATATATATATATATTTGATGTACATCTTTTATTGGTACCAAAGTCTCTGAAAGTTAATTACAAGATTCATAGGCTTTCCCAAAGTAGAAACATAAGTATGTCTGCAAGGGAGTGAAAAGAGTTTGTTCCAAGAAAAAATAACCAGACATGATTAATTAATACTAATAGCAACAAATATGTAAGGAAAAAAAATTCAAATTCAATAATTTTTTGTTCTATAATAGGAGAATTAATATGAAAGGCAAAGAAACACATGGTAAATCATTATGCATTGGCTCCGATTCTATCAGAAAAGCAAAGCAGCAATCTACTAAAATAGAGTGCGTGCATTGGCATCGCCCATCGGGCCTATCAGAAAAGAAATATAACTAAATTTAATACATCACATCACTTTTAAAAGATGTCACGTGTTTTTGATCTCTCTGGGGGTGTGATTAAAGTGTTAAATTCTGATTTTGACTTAACTATACATACATATTCATGCATTAATAAATTTTAATTAAATGAAATCTTGTTAATATTTATTTGTTATTGGTTGATTATTATTATTATTAAATATACTAGCGGTTAAAGAAAGGCGAGGAGGGTGGGTTTACCGTGCGGGGTGGGATTAGCATTAGCCTCCCTGCAGGCTCCAGCTATAAAAGCAGATTGGAGGCAAGCAATCTTGTTAAAGATGGAGTCTAAAGCATCCTCTTAAAGTGCGCCTCTGCATCTGCCTCTCTGTGAATTCTTCCTCACCTCAACACCATCCACCTTAATTACAACATATGCACTGTGGGTGTGCGTGTGAGTACAGGCGCGTACAGAGTGTACCTGTGACTAATCTCCATTCCTGAATCCTGATCGATCTGGGATATTGTATCGTGTGTCTATATTATGATGGGGAATTGAGCCACAAGTAATCTGATTGGTTATTGAGCAGCAGAGAGGAAAGGGGAGATAGAATGGTGAGTATTCTTTGGTTTTTGATTCGTTAGGATCTTAAATAGTTGTTTCCCTAATTTTCTTTTTATGCGATCAACGAGTGTGTGTGTATTGTTTGATTTGACTGAGTTTGTTACGGAGGATGATTGATTGTTTGATTTGATGCGCAGGAAGTGGAGAATCAGTTGAAGAGCGGGAATACGTGGGAAGGGTATGTGGATTGGAGAGGAAAGCCTGCTCTGAGAGACAGACATGGCGGCATGCTCGCTGCTTCCTTTGTTTTGGGTAAATCAACAATCTCTTCATTGGTTTGCAACTCCTTTCTCTCTCTTTCTCTCTGTGTGTTTCTCTGTTTCTCTCTCTCTCACACACACACGCACGCACGGACACACAACACACGCGGTGCACACAGATACTGTGAAAAGAGCACCTTCAAGTGGTGGTAATTCCCTCATGATCTCAACCAACAAGTAACTTTAATTTAGTACTCAACTTTCCATTCAACTTTGGGCGATTGAAGTAAACGAAGAAAAGATCAATGAGAACCAAATAGCTCACTAGAAAATGCTTCATCTCCTCGGAATCGATCTACGCTTCTCATTAACTTTCTTCTTCTTCTGAAACTTTTGTGTACGATTGTTTTTGTTCATAAGTATGAATTGATCGGAGAAAATTCAACTCTTAGTTACTGATAATTGTAATTATGAATGACAACAGTGGTGGAGGTGTTGGAGAATCTGGCGTATCTGGCAAATGCAAGCAACTTGGTGATGTACCTTACGGACTACATGAATTTCTCGCCGTCTGGTGCGGCGAATTCTGTGACGAACTTTATGGGTACGGCGTTCCTGCTGGCTCTTCTGGGCGGCTTCCTATCCGATGCTTTCTTCACCACTTATCTCATCTACCTCATCAGTGCACTGATCGAATTCCTGGTAATCAAACTTTTATTTTTTCAAAAAATTCTGCTCGATTTCATTTTCGTTTCCTTATCAAGTCTTTGACGAATGCATATTCTCTAATTTTGTGAAGGTCAGCATTTAGATTTTTTTTTTCTTTTTTCTAAAACTAAATATATACTGCATGAGTACTTAAATTACGCATTTATGTTGTGATAAGCAACTGGATAGGGAAAAAAATAACACCCACTTGGGTGGAGATACAATACTAAATTTCTGTTGATACCAGTCGCCCACTTGCATGTTATTTTATCTTTACCAAGTTGGTCTGATGCAAAGTAAGATACACCAGAGTTTGTTAGTTCCATAAACTTTCTTTTGTCCTTTTCTATTATCTCATCTTTTTGTCTTCTAATAAATGTAAGCAAAAACAGCAAAGTTCGGTCTTCTGTTACAAACATTATGGGAATTCCCATTTAACATCGCCTTCATAACCTATACTTTTCAATTTCTTATTGTGCCATCAGTAGTAGGAATGAATGATCAGTCAATCCCACATATTTTTTAGGGAACCATGCTGCAGGTGCATAGAATTAACCACATGCATCGTGTCTAAATTGCACTATGATTTTTTCAGGGACCCATATTTGTGTGTATATATGTGTATATGTGTGTGTAGTTGAGTCACACTAAGACAAAAAGCAAACTTCATTTTCTCTATCCTTTGAAATACTATAGTTGTTTGCCATCATTAATTATGTTCTCTAAAATTGTTTTGATGTGCTATGGGACCTCATGTTTCAACCAATAGATTAGCTCCACCAGTTGCTAGAATATGTATTGCTTTCCCTTTCCACCACGTAATCTAAACATAATGATACATATGCTTCAAGGGAGCTGAAAGCCACAGGTAATTAATTAACAATTGAGTGCAAATAAATATGCATTTAAGACATTGCTGCGCAGACTAATATGATAATGCACTGGTGGTAAATGGTAATCAATTAATTATTAAGTGCAAATTAATAGGCATTTAAGACGTTGCTGGTAATTAATTAACAATTAAATATGCATTTAAGACATTGCTGCGGAGAGTGATATGATAGTTCACCTTCACGTTTTAAAATAGGGTATTGTTACCACGTGTAGCTCTTTAAAATCTTTAGCACAAATTTATCTAAACTTTGTTTATGTGGTAATAATTCATGCTATAGTATAGTGTCCTGGTGTGCAGTTTTCATAGAACAGGTACGTATGTGGTTGCCATTTTAGTACGGCTGTTCTGTTTATGAGCCACTTGCAATCCGCACTAAGCCCGTATAGAGACAATTGACATTTTCCATATTCACCAGGCTACGTCAGTACGTTGACATATCATGTTACGCTATATGGGGCTTATCTTTCCATGATATTCGCATGCTTCCATTTAGAAATAGTTTCCAGGTTTGAAGGAAAGCCACGTGTAGATGGTGGGCACCAATTTGTAGCCCAACTAGTCCTAAAGAATCATTTCGACATTTCATTAATGCATGCTGATAAACACTCTACAATAGTTATGGATATGTCGTTAATACCTCGTCTAACTTGAAGTGAAATAACTCTGCCGTGGAGACGCGGACTAATTTAATGCCTTCTCAACTGTGTAGGGGAAAGTAGCTCTAAGATGATTTAGTTTGTACTGTTTCAAGTCACCTATGCTATGCAGCACAAGAAGACAAAGAAGCTTATAAAACTTTTATTACTAATACCGACTAACCACTTACTGTAAAATTTTGACTGCAGGACAACTTAGTTAGTTTAAGTCTAAAATCTTGAATGTTTTTCATCCTCCTAATTCAGTTGCAACTTTTGATGTGAACAGGGACTTGTATTACTCACAGTGCAAGCACACTCAAGCTCCCTGAAACCAGCAAAATGCATCCCTGGCAGTCCAGAGGTTCCTTGTCATCAGGTTGATGGAGGAAAAGCTGCAATGTTGTTCCTAGGCCTGTATCTAACAGCACTTGGTGTCGGAGGCATTAAGGGGTCTTTACCACCACACGGAGCCGAACAATTGGATGAGGACACACCGCGGGGAAGGAAGCAAAGATCAACCTTCTTCAATTACTTTGTGTTTTCCCTATCCTGTGGAGCCTTAATTGCTGTGACCCTTGTGGTCTGGATCGAAGACAACAAGGGGTGGCAATGGGGATTCGGAATCTCCATGTTGACAATATTATTGTCCATTCCAGTCTTCTTAGCCGGTTCGAAATTTTACAGAAATAAGATTCCTCTTGGAAGTCCATTGACAACAATTTGTAAGGTATGTCAATCAACCAGTTTAATTGAAATTCATGTTACTTGAGTGCATATACACAACAGCAGATGCTACAGTTTGTAACCTACTGTAAATTTCTAGCTTAATTTATACCCATCATGTTTACTCCGAACAGGTTCTGGTTGCTGCCATACTAAACACTTGTATGCCAAGAAGTTCAAGCAATGCCATTGCAAGTATGGCAACAAGTCCTCCAACGCCATTTGACGATGGAGAAATTGTACAAGGAAATGACCAGGCAGGGAAGTCATCGGTCGGATCTCCATCAGAAAGTCTCAAATTTCTCAACAGAGCAGTGGTGAACAAGCCAGCATTGGACATGCTGAAATGTTCGGTGCAGCAATTGGAAGAGGTCAAGATTGTCTTAAAAATCCTCCCCATCTTCGCCTGCACCATAATGCTGAACTGCTGTCTGGCTCAGCTCTCGACATTTTCAGTCCAACAGGCTGCCACCATGAACACAAAGCTCGGATCCTTAAAAGTACCACCGGCCTCCCTTCCTGTCTTCCCAGTTGTCTTCATCATAGTTCTTGCGCCACTCTACGACCATGTCATCATCCCATTTGCACGCCGCGTCACAAAATCTGAGATGGGCATCAGTCACCTCCAACGCATTGGAATTGGACTGGTCCTCTCCATTGTGGCCATGGCAGTGGCTGCATTGGTTGAAATCAAGCGTAAGCGAGTAGCCACAGAATCAGGGATGCTGGATTCCCACAAGCCGCTGCCAATCACATTCTTCTGGATCGCATTTCAGTACTTGTTTCTTGGATCGGCGGACCTTTTCACCTTAGCCGGTTTGCTAGAGTTCTTCTTCACAGAAGCACCATTCAGCATGAGATCATTGGCCACATCCCTGTCGTGGGCATCACTGGCGTTGGGCTACTACCTCAGCACCATCATTGTATCAATAGTGAACGGCGTGACGAGGCATTACTCAACTCACAAACCATGGCTCTCCGGCAGCAACCTCAATCATTACCACCTGGAGAGATACTACTGGCTTATGTGTGTGTTGAGCGGATTGAACTTCTTGCACTATCTCTTCTGGGCTACAAGGTACAAGTACAGATCAACTGGATCCAACTCCAGCAGCAAATAAGTAACCTCACCACCCAACCATATAATGAGCTAGGACTACACCAATTTCAGGATCCAGAGAGGTAACTACGCATTAGGCCGGGGCTGTTGTAATGTATCATGTATGTATATATATACGCCCAATGACCACTTAATTTCTGGATCTGGATCCAGCACAGCAGAGATCAGGATTTAGCACTTCTGGTGTCAGTTTTTGTGTTGTACTATTCTATTATGCCACGCTTCATGGACTTAATACTGATATCAGATACGTATGGTCACCTGGTGTGGAATTAATTATATATATAACTAACTATTAAAATAAACACCAAGAAACGGGGAATTTTTTTTTCTTTTTTTTTTTATTGAATTTCACGGAACAATTCTAAGGCAGACAAGAAGCAACCATAAATGTGGAAACGGAAATTGACAAGATAGAGAGAGCACATGCAAGTGCTACAGATGTTACTATTATTTATTTAATTCTGATCCAAACACCATGACTGGGCACGCCGTGATGCACAACAAAGAGCATGTAGTAACCCGGCGGCGCAATGTTGGGGTTGGGCGGCGCGTAGACCGTGACCTTGTAGGCGAATGTGGAGAGCTGATGCTGATCCAGAACGTACAGCACCAGAAGCCTCTGGTTCATGGCGAATGAGTGCGTCGTGAACGACGGAGCCGCCATCGTCACCGTGAACTCCCCCCAGGGACGCGGCTGCATATGTAGCCCCAAGCTGAAAGTGATGGCGAATTGCTGCCCGTACGACACCTCATGCCCCCCCGCCGGACCTTCCATCGTCAGCACCGACGGCCGGAGATTTGCCAGATCCGACGCCAGGTACGGCGGGGAGAACGCTTCCAGGCTCAGCTCCGTGGGGTACTCCACGCCTGTGAAGTTGTACATTGTGTGGGGGTTGCTCCCGCCCACTAGCACTCTGCCATCTGGCAGCAGGATGGCGGAGGAGTGGTACATTCGGGCGATACTGCTGGGGTTGAGCAAACTGAATCTCCCGCCCCCGCCCGGCTCCCTCTCCCCCGGTCTATACAAAACCGGGTTCAGCACCGGGTCGGCCGCGCATTCCCAGCCGGCGGTCCCTCTCGCCGCTCCGTTCAGGATGATGACGTCGCCCGTCGGCAGGAGTAGCATGTCGGGCATCACCCGACCCATCGGCATCTCCTCCATCTCCCATCTCGGGTTGGCGCCCGTGACCCGGATCCTCCCGCAACTTCTAGAAGCTGGTTCGTACAACCCTCTTAGCGCCTTCACGTAAGCCCCGCCCTTGGCTCCGCCGCAGATCATCACTTCCACCTCCGGAAAGGCGTATCCAACGCCGGCGATGAGCTTCAGCGGTAGCATCACCGACGATCCGGTCGCCGGATACGATCTTTTGTCGCACGGAATCGGTGGGAATTCCCTGAGAATTCTGTCGTTCTTGTAATCCAGTACCGCGGATCTTTGGTTCGCGAAAATGAAGATATTGCCGTCGGGCAAGAGGTACAAGAATGGGTAGAGATTGTTCTCTTCTATCGGATCGGTGGTTTCTCTCAGGAACGGGAAGTAGAAGACGGTGTCGTTGAACGCGCCAGTTTTGGGGAAAAATTCGTAGCTAAAGGCCCTTCGCCCGCCGACGATGATCACGCGTCCGTCTGGTAGAACATGATCGGAGGCGTACCATCTCTGAACGGTTAAGTTCTGATCGAGCTCAGTCCAATCGCATTCTTCTAAATCGCACGGCGAAAAAAGCCTGATTTTCCGGTCGCCGGCGTGATACCCGCCGGTTTGAATTAGGGTTCCTTGGGGGTCGAGGGATCCGGACGAGCACCAGACGTCGGTTTGGACCATGAGCGGGCGGTAGGAGTTGGAAACGACGTCGTAAAGAAGCGAATGACCCGTGCAATCGACCGGAAGGGCATCGTCATTGAATCTACATTTCCCGGCGGGCAGTGTCAGCTTCGATGGCCCAAAATCCGTACGGTCGAAGATTACCACTTTGTTGTTGTAAAGCAGTTGCATATGCATGGCGGAGACGCCAATGCTATCCTGCAAGAGCATCCATTGTCCGCCGCTGGAGATGCTACCGGTGGCGTGCTCGTCCGCGGTGTAGTGTGGCGGGAACGCATCATAATCGAAAATCGAGGGTGAGACGAATGGCTCAAACCTTGCCGGCGAGGCTGCGGACGAGAAAGTTCCCGGAGGCAGCAGGGTGAACTCCTGATGACGGCGGTGGTGGTGGTGGTAGTGGCGGTGGCGGTTGTAGGCCCGGCTCGAGCTGGGACCGACGAGTGAGAGAACAACAATGAGAAAGAGGAGAGAACACCAAATCATGGAAGCCATTGAAGAGGGTTTCTTGGACCTTAACTGCTTCACTTCAATGGTTTGTAGTCTGTTTAAATGAAGATCGATAGATTTCAGTCAGGTTTTCTTTGATCAAGAAACAGGTAAACTATTATGGAGGTTGGTTAGTTGTTACCGTTCACTCTCAGAACTGAAGCTGAATTTTGCCCAAATTAGCGTCTTTACTGTGATTGCGATGACGACTCTTGTACCTAAACACGATTTTATTACGTAATTGTATAATTTTTTAAAATTATATAAATAAATAAATAGACAAAATCATTTTTTTATTTTTTTTTCAAGAAATTGTATGCGCTTCATCATCCTTCATTATTAAAAATTAAAATTACAATTAAACTTGACAATGAAGGTCGGAAAATGCAGAATTCATCGTGTCTTTTGTATTTCTTTCCCCTCAAGGTACACCGTACAATTCAACCAAACATGGCGTTAACTTGATCCATTTGTTGCCCCAGGCAGATCTTCTCCCTAGTGTCGCATTTCTTCGCCGCGTTTTCTCGTAATAAAATTCGGTTCGCCAGCAGCTGCGGAACGCCGATCTCCGATCAGGTATGGTTTCCGATCGTTTCATTGTCGTCTGCTTATATGTATGCACACTGGCAGTGTCTCATTGCGTTTAGTTTTTTTATCAGTTTATAAGTTTTCTTGTGTGCGAATGGAGTTTTTGATACAACGGATTGATTGAGGACAATCTGTGGATCTCTAATCGTTATAGACACTTATTTTTCTGATTTGAAATGCATGTGTATACAAGACTAGGTTTTGGGCTTGTGATATGAAAGTTAAAACTCTGTGTGAACTTACCTTTTCGCATATCAAATAGTGTCTGCTGGCATTGAAATTGTGTGGTGAATTCGGTTAGTAAAATGGTAGCAAGACGTTTAAATATTATATGCATCAATATTTGGAAGTATAATAACACGATCAGGGAAAGAATTCTTGTCCCTGAGTATCAAATTAGTTTAAAATCCAAAGTTATGATCTTGTTTGATGTTGCAGGAGAACTTTGGTGGAAAATGAATTTTTTGAGGCTGCGGTCTATTAATCAGACTGCAAGTCACGAGCAACAGTCTGTTAATGAACCTCAGGAAGACGCAGTTCCAGAGAGATCATCTTCTGGATCTCGCTACTCGGAGATTGATGATCACATCAATGAGAGTGGTAGCATGCTAGGTTCAAGTGGAAAAATGAACTCCCATGTTGATAACCACTCAGATGTTACAGAAGATGATGGGATAATTATTATTCCATATAGTATGTCTCTCTTGCTTGCTCTCAATTCTTAAATTGTCTCATTACAAGTAAAGTAGTTCAGATGTGGCCATGTGGGTGTGTCTATTGCTATACAAGGAATACAAATATATTTTTCTATTAAACTGAAAATTTCTTTTCCCCTGGGTGAAGATGTAGATAATACAGAAGGAAGAATAAGAAATAAACTTCAAGCATTTTCTTGATTGTGTGGAGTGTTCTCTTTACTTGTCCTGATTAAACCCCAAAACTATTGAACTCTTGACTTACAGCCATTTTCCAAATGCACATTTGTGAGTCCTTTTCTAAATTTCTTTAGGTTTGAGTGGTTCTTTCTTTAAATAAATGATTCTCAAAGGAATCTCTAGCTTTAGTGTATATTAATGGTGCATGATTTGCTTTGTGATGGTTCAGACACTGATTTTTAGCCTTGTTAGAGTTTCCTGCATGCATGGTAACCACTAATGAGTTGCTCACTCATTAAACTAGATTAGATTTAGCTTCTCGGAGATGTGCCTATGCTTTTACTTCTCCTCTATATTATGTTCAAAACTGTAATTTTACTAGGTGACTAGCTATAATTAACTTATAGTTTCCTTTCTCAGAAGAGGTTCCAGACAATTGGAGCGAAGCACCAGATATGCACTCATATCAATCTCTAGATCGTAGCTTTGTCTTCCCTGGTATCGTATTGTTTACTACTTCACTCAACTCCTCAGAAGCATAATGTGAAGTTTTCACATTTGCTTGTGTGGCTCGTGTATTTTGTTTTCTGAACACTGTATTTCTTTGTTTTAGGGGAACAAATTCAAATACTTGTATGTTTATCTTCACATAAGCAGAATACAGAAGTTATTACACCATTTAAAGTTGCTGCAATCATGAATAAAAATGGGTCTGGACAAAATTCCTCTATACAAAATGGTAAGGTTGGACAAGAAACCCAAACAGTTTCACAAGCTGCGGGTTCAAATGGTGATCATCGAGACAATAAAGATAGTGAAAAAAAGATTCATTCAGAGAATGATGTACAAATCAGTGAATCTCTCATTAGAAGAGAAGAACGCCGACGGCAGACTGGACAGTTGTTGCAAAGATTTAAAGATTCACATTTTTTTGCTCGAATTTCAGAGTCAAATGAACCCCTTTGGTCAAAAAGAACTCAAGAAATCAATCGCAAGTTGTCTGAGACATTTAAAGAAAAATCGAAATTAGATTCTTCAGAATCCCTTAAGAAGGATACTATCAGTGCTGTGATTGACAGAGGAGATTTTGATGCTCGCACATCGGGCGGAGTCACTAGAGGTGCAGTCCGATGCTGTTCCCTTTCAAATGGAGACATAGTGGTACGTTTTCAATAAGCATGACACAAGTTATAATGCTATATTTTGTGACCTTGAAAAATGCTAAATGCTGTTATATGGGGCAAATGCGTTTTACTTATTGTATGACGTTATGTTTCAACTGTGAGATTCTTTTTTTTTCCGTTTACTGATTCACTATCTTAGAATCAATGGGCAGAAGTTTTGCCTGTGTGCATCTTTCATTCAATAATTTGATAGTAGTTGGTACTGTTACAAATACAGTGTTATAAGCCTGACCATGGATTGTTTATGTGCAAAGAATATTTATGATGTCTCTTTATGGCTAGTTAACTTATTCTGATATGCTTCTATGCTTCTCCTTTAGTATTGATCTTGTTAATGTTATTTGTTTGGAAGAGGATTTGAATCTTTTCAACTACTATATTGAAGAGAATGTAGTACTGGTGATTTGAATTCTGTTTTCTCGTTTGGAAGGATGCAGGTGCTTTTACAGGTAAATGTCGGGGTTGAAATTATAAGGGATCCTGTGCTTGAGATTCTTCAATTTGAAAAGTATCATGAAAGGACTCTTACCCTTGAGAATGGTCACTCACAAACATTGTTGAATCATGAGCCTTATGGTGAATTGTTAGAATGGTTGCTTCCTTTGAGTAATTCTTCTTCCCCTCGACCTCCTGTATTGAGTTCCAGTTCAAGTATTCGAAGCACATCATCAAAAGCTCCAGTTGTTGGGTCCCCTGGTTCTCAGATGTTCTCATTTGGTCACTTTAGAAGTTACTCTATGTCTTCATTGCCACCGAATGCAACACCTTCTGAAACTATAACAACACCCACTCTTAAACCAAGTTTTCAACTGGAAGATTGGAATCAGTTTTCATTCAAAAAGTTAATTGATGGTGGAAAAGGGAGAAATGAAGGGATGCTTTCTTTTCGTGGTATGTCATTGGTACCAGAAAAATTTTCTGTTAGTTGTGGTTTGGAAGGGATTTTTACTCCTGGTAGGAGGTGGAGGAGAAAAATTAAATTATTTCAGCCCATAGAAATTCATTCTTTTTCAGTTGATTGCAACACAGATGATCTTCTCTGTGTCCATGTAAAGGTATAGTTTCTCTCATCCATCTTTCCTCTCAATTTCATACCAGCCTTTTTATGTTCTTCTTAGTTAGTGTATCCAATTATTGTTAAAAGAAAAACTTTAGTTAGATTGATTGTTATTCGCTTGACACACAATTCTGATACTTAATTCTTTTCAGAATATTTCTCCAGAAAACGCCCCAGATATTGTTGTTTTTGTAGACTCTGTAACAATTATTTTTGATGAGGCATCTATAGGTGGACCACCCTCACCTATACCAACCGTCTGTATTGAAGCAGGGAATAACTACAGTTTACCAAACTTAGAACTCAGGTATTTGTCGCCTCAATATTCTTTAACAAGTTGTTAATCTTGCAATAATGGAACTTTCTGTATTGATGTCTGAGTGGTGTTCTTGATCTGTAAACATGTATTTGTATACAGAAAACGTTAGTACATCACTATTGCCTCCCGCTCAGTTGACACTTGCAGATCCATCTTATTATTGTTTCAAGCCATAAACTCTGGCATTACTTGGCAGGAAGGGGGAGGAACATTCTTTTATTCTCAAACCTGCAATGCCATTGTGGAAATGTCCGAGCAGTCAGAGAGATGGTAATCCACAGCCATCGCACTTGTCTTCTGCTGGAAGTGCTGCGTCAACTCGACACTCCTCTTCCAATACTGAAGTGAGACATGGTGGATCACCTTCTGATCGCTATGCAGTTCTTGTATCTTGCCATTGTAATTATACTGGTATAAAGCCTGAAATCATACAATTTTCCTGTCTATCTTTGCAAGATGGAAGTCTTTTTTTCATGATGCTTTGATACTTCACCTTTTTGCAGAATCAAAGCTGTTTTTTAAGCAACCAATAAGCTGGAAGCCTCGTATTCCAAGGGATCTAAGGATATCTGTTTCAGCTGAGATACCAAAACAAACTCTTGGATCGAATAGAATTCAGCTTCCAATTCAGGTTATGTGGGATATCTACCCAATTTATTTTCTTTTGTATGAAATCTCGAACCTGATCTCAAAACAGTTACAATTTTCAGGTTTTAACGCTTCAAGCATCGAACATGACATTTGATGATATGACACTGACATTTCTGGCGCCTACATCATATCGTTCTCCTTCAGAAATGTCGAACAACGCAACATCCTCACATTTGAGCCTGCGTGCCTCTTCTATGGACATTGCAGATAAGGTGAAGAGTGATAAACATGAGGGTGTTGTACATAGCCTAAGTTCTGCCTCTGTGAATCAAGGAGAGGACAATGAAGATGATCCACAATCAGCTTCTGTCAAGGAGACGCCTTTGCCTCAATTTGGCATGGGTCCAGTGAATGATCTGCGCTGCACTCATTTATGGTTGCAGAGCAGAGTTCCACTAGGGTAATTGCATCTTTTATTCTACTATATCTTTATGTTTTCATCCTCTGAAGAGTTTGTTTCTACCTGCACCAGATGTCTGCCTTCTCAATCTACGGCAACCATCAAGCTTGAAGTACTCCCTTTGACTGGTGGTATTATTAATCTTGATTCAATACAAATTGATGTTAAAGAAAAAGGTGAAATAATGTCATCATGGTTCTCAATCATCTTTGCTTCTATTGGACAGATCAAGCTCATTAATATGCCAATGCAAATTACACTATATGAAATTCACTGCTAAGATTAAGGATATTGAGTGAAATAAAGTGTTAATTAGGCCTGCACTATAAACTTTCTATGTATGTTTACTAGCATCCAAACTGCTCAGCTTCCTCATTTGATTTAACCAACTTCTTTCAAATTTGATGCTTTGACAAGCTCATCTACCTCTTATCTGGGGCATACACCATGCTTTTGGTTGTTCTATTCTGGTATAACATCTAAGACAGTTGTGCAAGTTAACAACTGAGAGATTTGATGTATTGTATGACACAGGTCTTATTTTTGTACCTGAGAAAGACCTGAAGATCAGTGCAAGTTCATGCATTGTCAATGCTATGATGTGAAATGGTTGGCTGCTCTCAGTATCTAATTATTCATCACAGTCACAGGGGCTCTGGCAAGAACCTCCCAAATAGCTACGCAGCATTGCGGTGTGTGCTTTTCTGCTCATAGGAGATCTATACAATTGAGTTCATCCCTATGTTGGAGCTACCAGTGCTCTTCCCACCCCTGCATGCGCAGGCATCCATCCAAGCTGAGATCGGGCGAAATTAGTTACTGGCAGCATATAGGTGAGGAGGCTAATCAAAGCAATCACTTGATGTGAATGGTATGTGTTATCATGTACTTTGGGTGATATGGTAGTGAGAAGAAATAGAGAATTTTAGTTCTAATTCATTCATGGGTTGGAACTGAAAGTTACTTGACCATTTTGAATTGGAATGTCTGTCTTATTTCCATTGTCAAAAAAGAAGTGCTGTTTTTGTGATTATAAGCATTAGTGTAATTCTTCCTCCTCACTATACTATATTATCATTAGGAGTAGTTGTGGATAGAGATGGAGATGGGGTATAGAACGTAGAACGTGCTGTGCTTTTCTTTGGAGAAGATTTGATGGTGCAATAACATTAGTGATTTGGGGGATGACATGACAGAAGGCTATTAGCCATTGGCCTCCCCTGAATAACATAATGAACAAATCAATTAGGTCAAACTATGTATTGTATGGCTTATTATTATTATTATTGTTGTTGTTGTTGTTGTTATTGTGACATCTCTTTTTAAAAATTGACTTTGTGAGATTATTGACAGATCAGGATGTGTGTGTTCTGGGCATTTGATAAATATATTTAGGGTTGTGTCACTATCTAAACATGCTTGAAATTTGCATAATGGTGGTTTTTGTGTGGAAGATAACATTTGATAGCCAAGAATTGAGCAAGACAGGACAGCACAGCACGGCTTTTGCTTGCTCATCAGTCCAACCTATTTTGGTTAGGTAAATGGACTAACTGGACCTCTGACCTTTTGCCATTTTCTTCTTCTTCTTCTTCTTCTTTAATTCTTGCCTATAATAATGCAATTATTAATCAATTAATTAATTTATTAATAAATAGTAGTACATAATTATCTCCCCCCCTCCCCTCTCCTCTCGTCCCTTCTTCATCTTGGCACTTTTCTGTTATATTTACAGAGAAAAATAACGAGATGTTCTAGAAATAGCAATATCCTAACAACAAAATAGAACTCAATTATCACCCAACATAGACAGGTTAACTAGTGGAAATAACAAGACAACACATAATTAAACAAATGAATATACATATTGAAGCACGATGCAGTCATACTCTCATATCATATCACAAAATAAGTAGATAAATAATTTTCCCAACCAAAGAATCATTATTAAGAGACAAAATCTCAATATTTATTTGATGCATTATTTTATAATAATGGGTACACCCTCAAAATTTCACCCACACAAAAATAACAAGTCAAATATCAATAATTAAATTTAGAGTTAAATTTCTACACATGTATAAACAATTATTATTGTTATAAAGCCAAAAAAACGAGTGGAAGATGCATGTACAGAGTGCACTAAATCCCACCGGCACTGACGCGCGTGGGCGATGCAAAAGAATAAATATATAATAATAATAATGATAAATGACACGTCAGTGGGTCGGTGGGTCCCGCCTCCTATTATCTCTCCTGCCCGAACTACCCTTAGTTTCCACTTTCTCCTCGGTACTCATCTTGTCTTTCCCCATTTGCCACTCACTTTTCTTAGTAGTAGTATAATTTTTTTTTTTAAAAAAAAAAATTTAAACTTATTATATATAAATATATAAAGAGAATGGGATATTATTATTATTATTATTATTATTGCTGGAGCTCCACTTTCACCAACTTCTAAACTGGAAAAATGCAGTCTTAAAAAAAGAAGGGTATTTTCGCCATTAAAGTGCTGCTGCAGCGTGCTTGTGCTTGTTCTTCTTCTTCCTCTTCTTCACCACAACACACACTCCCATTTGCTTTATGAGTCGTAGATTCCTTTTTGTTTTTTAAAAGGAAAAATAAAAAAATAAAACGGAGAGATTTATTAGAAACACAGCGTATAGTAGGGCAGGCCATTAGCCATACACTGCACGCAAAGGTCTTTGAATAATCAGATCTTACCCATTATATATATATGAATTATCCACAAACAACTCTTTATTTAAATATATACATATATATATATATTTAAACTGTAAATTATGAGTTATAATAAACTTATAATGGCACCCTCTAAACTATATATAACATCATTTTTGTGTAATAGTTATAATTAAATACAATAACCTTATCATTATAAACTTTTTGTAATCATGAGAAAGAAAACAAAGGAGTTTGTATATTGTTTTCATTAATACTAGAATAAATATTAGTTATTTAATTACTTCATATAAGTATTCATTTGGCTTTAATACAATATATATATATATATTCTATACATTTATATATAAGAAAACAAATACATATTACTATTTAATTATGCCAACATGATTATAAAATATACATGAGCATTTATCATTGCTATATAATAGATTTTGTATCAAATGATTGAAAAATGATATAACTATTGGTCTTTTTTAATAAGATAAATGAAAGTATTTTGAATTTTGAATTTATTTTTTTTGAAATAGAAAATTTAAAAATAGTGGTAGGTCAAGTATTATGAAATAATTACATTCAACACATAATCATTTATTATAATAGTATTTTTATTATAATATTAAATCATTTTTAGTTATCGTAGCCATTATTTATACTAATTTATATTACAATAATTATTTTAAAACAACATAGATATATTTATATATCAAAGGGGAATACTAATTTGATATTAGTTCACAAATACAGTAATTATCTATGGTGATAATAAAACCATATGCACTGATATGAAATTATATAAAATAAAACAATTAAAATGTGATAAAAATCTTATAATAGATATAATAATGAAATAAAAGTTCGTTGTGCTAATGTGCGCCCCCCTTTTTTTTTTTTTAATATTATTATTATTATTATTACGTTATTTTTAAATGTTAGATCATTGAAGTGGTCAGCAATGGCATAATTTGTGTGCTTCGGCTGAGATTTCTATACGGCATTTTGTGGGGTTTGTGGCGCGGTAATTGTTTTATACCTTTTTGCCAGATTACAGTGTTTTTTTTATTCATTCCTGCTATTGTTAATATTATTGGTGCTATCTGATTCGAGTTTTGCTTTGCTTTTGTTTGCTTGCTTGCTTCTTCTACAGTGGCGAGAAGCAAATTATTATTGTTATTCTCCTTTTCCTTTTTTCTGGTTTGAAGGTCAAGTTTTGTGATCTGCAATCCTCCGTTCTTTTGTGGCCTCCAGTGTGATTTTGAGCTCGCCTCTTCGACGGGTTCTGAACGATTTTGTTGAAAAAAAATTGTTCTTGAAGAGAGAGTAGAAAGAATATTCTGTAGTAGTCTTGACTATTCGGATTCAGCTGATCTTTTGAGTCCTTTCGCCCTCACAATTTTGTTGGGTTTTAAGTTTAAGGAAAAAGGGTAGCAAGTGGGGTTATTTTGCTTTGGCGATTTGGGTTTTCTTACGAAGTCGTAATTATTTGTTTCTGAAATGGGTTTGAGTTGTTTTGGGTGCTGTGTGGGAATTTGAATCTGGGTTGCGGTTGAGGGACTGATTAATTTGGGGGATTGCGAAATTTCGGAAGTTTTGGATGATTTTCTTTCTTTTTTTTTTTTGGGATTTTGGTTTCTTGGGTGAATAGAAGATGGGATTAGGAGATGATGGCTTAAAATTGAAGCATCGGAGTAATTCCAAGAAATCAATGGAGAGGAGGAAAAAGGTTGATGATGACGACGACGATGATGATGCTGCAGATATTTCTTGTTGGCTTAAGTTAAGGTGTATTGGTTGCTGTATACCTTCAAGATCTAAAGTTGAAAACTCCATTAGTGGCATCAGCACTCTGGGTAATCAATCAATTAATCATCCCTTTCCCCCTTACCACCTAATGTTGTTTGCAGTGCAGGTTATGGTGGTGCTGATGAATTTTAAAGCTTGTTTTCGCTTCTTTATTGCATATTGTTACTTACTTTTGGTTCATAGAGTGTCGAATTATTAAGTGCTTTTGTGTTGGAGTTCTCTACTAATTGGAGAGCTAATTAAGGTTTATTTTATGTATTGTGAATTCTACTAAAGATTGAGGTTTAATCATTAGAGATGAATGAGTTTGATAGTTCAATGCTCAGGTCAATGATCTGTTCCCTGGTGAAGGAACTTTGGGGTATTCTGTTAGACGTGCCCTAGATGAAATGATGACAAAAATGTCGGGATCTTTTAGTTCATCTTGGCGTGAATATGAATTTAGTGAAGGGAGAATTTTTTCATCTCCATGTATGATTGAACATCCATGGAGTTTCTTTTTTGTTGTTGGTTAAAATGTTGGTATCATTATGATGTTTTCGTGTGCTTTCGTTAGTTGGTTTGATCTAAAACAAGTTGTCAAAGGTGAATCTTTAGAGCAATAATATTTGGTGAAATTCAGTTGATAAAGTTGCCAAAGTTCTCGGGCTGAAAGTTTCACTGCTGTTGTGTATGTTGCGTATGATCCTAGTTAATATAGCGCAGTTCTTTTTCCGTCGATAATTAATAATATATTGCATCGATGTTACCCATCTCTTAACTCCTATTACATGCTTTCCTGTGTACAGAAAGTAAATTGACAAATAATACGAGCATAGAACCACCGTTGACCCCGGCAATCCCATCAACAACCACAAGCAATGCCGAAAGCAATTCTTCCAGCACCAAACTTGAAGAAGAGCTTAAAGTTTCTTCCCGGCTGCGCAAGTTTACATTCAATGACCTTAAGTTGGCAACAAGAAATTTCAGACCAGAATCTCTTCTCGGTGAAGGAGGGTTTGGTTGTGTATTTAAAGGATGGGTTGAAGAAAATGGCACTGCGCCAGTTAAACCCGGGACTGGACTTACTGTTGCTGTCAAAACCCTGAACCACGACGGGCTTCAGGGTCACAAAGAATGGCTGGTTTGACACACTTCTTATTTTTCATTTATAATCGCTGATGGCTGTTTTAGTTCCCTATAGTTCTGACTTTGTACTTTGTTTTCCAGGCTGAAGTAAATTTTTTGGGTGACCTTGTGCATCCGAATTTAGTTAAATTAATCGGTTACTGTATTGAAGATGATCAGAGACTTCTAGTCTATGAGTTCATGCCTAGAGGAAGCTTGGAGAACCACCTTTTCCGAAGTAAGCATATGGCCAGCTGTCTTCTATGTTGTTGCATTTTATCTCGGAAAACCTTGTAAAGTTCGATTTGGCATGTGGATTATACCTGTTTGCTAACTGTAGGGTCGCTGCCACTTCCATGGTCGATCCGGATGAAAATTGCTCTGGGTGCCGCCAAAGGTCTCGCCTTTCTCCACGAGGAAGCAGACAGACCAGTCATTTATCGTGATTTTAAAACATCAAACATCTTGTTAGATGCTGTAAGAACCTCAGTCACGAAATTTGTTGGTTTGCTATGTAGCTGCTAATTTGATTGTCTTCATATTCATCTAACTCTTTTTTCCAGGAATACAATGCCAAATTATCAGATTTCGGACTTGCTAAAGACGCTCCTGATGAAGGAAAAACCCATGTTTCTACTCGCGTCATGGGAACTTACGGCTATGCAGCGCCTGAATATGTCATGACAGGCAGGAAACGGTTCTACCGGCTGCGTGCACAGTGCCTTCTTGTATTCAGTTGGTATCTTATGTGCTGATCATGTTGTGGTTGTATTTATGCAGGACATCTGACATCGAAAAGTGACGTGTACAGCTTTGGTGTCGTCCTGCTTGAAATGCTTACAGGCAGAAGATCGATGGACAAGAACCGACCCAATGGGGAGCACAATCTCGTCGAATGGGCTAGGCCTCATCTGTGTGATAGAAAACGGTTCTACCGTTTAATAGATCCCCGCCTCGAAGGTCATTTCTCCATTAAAGGTGCCCAAAAAGCTGCGCAGATAGCGGCGCGCTGCCTTAGCCGAGACTCCAAGGCCCGGCCACTCATGAGCGAAGTGGTCGAAGCTTTGAAACCTCTACCAAACCTCAAGGACATGGCGAGCTCATCCTACTACTTTCAGACGATGCAAGCAGACCGAGTTAGCGCCAGCCCGAATGGGAAAAATGGCTTCAGAACACAGGGCTCTTTCGTCAGAAACGGACAGCCACATCCGAGAAGCCTGTCGATACCAAATGGCACCGGTGCCGGCGTGCAAGCTTCACCATTTCATCAATCTGCTCAGAATTCACCGAAACCAAATGGTAAACAATAGTATTCCAGTGTATGTTCATTCTCTAAGCTCCTCTTCTGCTCGATTGATTCAATATGTATAACTCGGAAGAAGAACTGGCGAAGAACACATTCCAGTTCCAGTGTGATGATGTGAATTGGAATGGGAATGAGGACCAAGAATCACAATCTTTGTGCGTGCAGTGTAGTGTAGTGTAAATCTTACATGGAACGGAATTGTGTTTTAGGGTGGATGGATGATCTGATGCGTTGATTGTGAACGCCGTAACGGGCAAATGCTGGTTGCTGCTCTTAGGGTTAGAGATGGATGGAAATATGGAATTGATGACTGTAATTACCTTTTCTCCTTGTGACTGACGACGACGACTCCATGAATGCTTCTTATGATGGATGGTTCTTTTCCAGTCACAGTCTATTTTTTATCTTGTGATGAATGCAATGCAGGTTTCACTTTTTGGCAAACATGATTTGTAAACAAGTTGCCAATTTTCTAATCACAAAAAATCCCCTACCACTCAAGGTGCTCAATCAAACTCAATCAAGCTGACCCGGGACTGTTTGATCTCAAAAGTATTGCAGCCTTGTCCAAACTGAGTTACAATAGTGGTTCGGGCCGGGCTGATCCAAACACAATCAAGATTGAAATGCCATCAGGCCCGACCCGAGCCACTTCGCCTGCCACTAACTGAAAGTTAGTCTGATTGGAATTACCAATGCACCTTGTCTGCCATAAAGACAGCGGGTTTACAGGCAGATGTATGTCTATATGTATGTATATACAGATGTATGAGAAGCGTTGGTCTGCTGCATGATGAGAAACATCAAAGCACTCAATTTTATTAGGGTTCTTATTCTTAACGTTCATATCTGCGTTGTTTCTTTGTCCCTGTCAAACAATGTACGATCCCATTCCTTCAAGAATATCCCACTCCCATCCCCAGCATCAGGTTCTGAATCTTTTGCCTTTGATTCGGATAGCAACGGACCTTACACAGGTCTCAATGATGGAAGGATCGTCAAGTACCATGGCCACAAAACAGGCTTTCTTGACTTCGCCACAACTGCCCCAAACAGGTACACAACACTTACTACACTTACAAGCTAATTAAACCATCTGGCATATTAACTTTGACAACAAATTCAAATCCTTTCTTTGTCAGATCCAAGGAGCTCTGCGATGGGACTAATGGGGATGACTTGAAACGAGGGCTTTTATGTGGGAGACCACTTGGCTTGGAATTCAACCACAAGACAAGGGAGCTCTACATCGTCGATGCTTTCCAGGGACTCATGGTGGTCGGCGCTAATGGCGGCCTTGCCAACCTCCCCCGTGGAAGAGACGGAGTGCCCTTCGATGCTCCAGACGCCATTGCTATCAATCCCATCACCGGCCACGTTTATTTTACAGATGTCGGCGCCATTTTCTTCAAAACCACGTAACCAATCTTCCATGGAGGTCAAATTTAAAGCTAAACTTTCCAAACAAGTCTTTACACATCTTTTCTGTAGGAACATGTCGGAAATCCTCCAGAGCGGAGACACAGGAGGACGACTGCTGAAATACAATCCCAAGACCAAGCAGAGAACGGTTGTGCTGACAGGGCTGTCGGTGCCGAACGGGGTGGCTGTCAGCAGGGATGGATCCTTTGTCCTGATTTCAGAATACATAGCCTGCAGGATAAGGAGGCTCTGGCTGACGGGTTCCAGAGCTAATAGTTGGGATATATTTGCACAACTTCCGGGGAATCCCGACAACATCAAGAGAACCAAAACAGGGGATTTCTGGGTGCCTGTCAACATACAGAAACTGTATCCTAAGCTTGTTAGTTTTCCTTTGGGGCAGAAGATTAATGTCCATGGTGAGATCGTGGAGACAGTGAATTTCTACAGAGAGTATAATTCTACGTATGTTACTGAAGTTCAGGAACACGAGGGATCATTGTACGTGGCTTCAGTGTATACTCATTCTGTAGGTGTTTACAGGGGGATTACCTGTTGATGTGATTTTCCAATTAAAACGGAAACTTGAATCTACTTATTGATTGGCGAATCCCTTTAATTGAAGATTTCATGGTAGTCCATAAAGATCTGTCTATCCGACCCCAAGAATCACCATAGACAATATAGGATTGACTATATATAGTTTATGGGCTACATTCTCCAGACATTTCCTATATCAGACATTAGCCTGCCTGGACATGATTTTCATTTCCGCGGCCTTATGGCGAAACTAGTTTTGTGTGAACATTAACATTGCATCAGCATATGTTTCGTGTATTACACGAGGAGAGAACAAATAAAGCGAATCACACGGCATGATTCGCCGGGACAAAAATAAGACTAGAAAACTAGGACAGGAACAACTACTTGTTATGTTATAGACTTATAGTAGCAAAACAAGAAAAGCCAAAAAGATTAATTACAATGGCACTTACTAGTAAGAAGTATTCATTGCTCTTCCTCTGCATCGTCGCCTCGTTGGCTGCTGCAGCTGCCGATGATGTCAATGCTACGCTGGCAGAAATCTACAGGAAGAAGGCTGCAGATTCTTACGACGAATCCCTGAAGGCGTACAATCCCAACCCCCACGGAGCCACCGATGAATTTAACCAACTTGTTGGCAAGTATGCTGCTGTTTATCTTGCCCCGCCATTGTTACTTCAATTTAGTTACAGGCCGAGAATGAAAAGATGATGATCAATGTTAATAATGTAGGTCATTGATCAAACAAAATGTGACGAGGAGGCACCTGAAAGAAGGCGAGTGCAAGGCCACAAATCCCATCGATCGATGCTGGCGCTGCGACCCCAACTGGGCTAAGAACAGGAAGAAGCTCGCCGACTGTGCCCGCGGATTCGGGCACGACACCACCGGAGGCAAGAAAGGGAAGTTCTACATGGTGAATGATCCGACCGACGACGACATGGACCACCCGAAAGAGGGGACTCTCCGGCACGCAGTCATCCAGGAGGAACCGCTGTGGATCATATTCTCGCACAGCATGGTGATCACGCTGAAACAGGAGCTGATGTTCACCTGCGACAAGACCATCGATGGCAGAGGAGTGCAGGTCCACATCGCCCATGGCGCCGGCCTGACAATCCAGTTCGTGCACAACGTCATCATCCACAACATCTGGGTTCACAACATTGTGCCCAGGGCCGGCGGGATGATTCGGGACACGCTCAAGCACGTGGGGCTGCGCACCGCCAGCGACGGCGACGCCATCAGCATCTACAGCTCCAACCATGTCTGGATCGACCATGTTTCCTTGGCCAAGAGCTCCGACGGCCTCATCGACGTCATTGAGGGATCCACCGCCATAACCATCTCCAACTGCAAATTCAACCACCACAACGATGTATGTAATCTGTAGATAAATTGAATCCAATCGATTTCAATAACTATCGAAGTTACCGATTCAATTTCCGGCAGGTGATGCTGCTGGGCGCACACGACAGCGATGCGAAAGACGCGATTATGCAAGTGACGATCGCCTTCAATCGATTCGGGATAGGTTTGATTCAGAGGATGCCGAGGGCACGATGGGGATTTGCGCACGTCGTCAACAACGATTACTCCCATTGGGAACTTTACGCCATTGGAGGGAGCGCTCATCCCACCATCATCAGCCAGGGAAATCGATTTAGGGCATCCAATTACAGATACACAAAGGAGGTCACAAAAAGGGATTATGCTCCCAAGAGCGAGTGGATAAAATGGCAATGGCGGTCGGAAGGGGACCTGTTCAAGAACGGAGCTTTCTTCACGGAATCAGGGCCACCGCTGAAGCATGAAAATAGCCCATTGACAGGGATGAATCTGGTGAAGTTCAAGCCCGGCACATTCGCCGGGAGGCTCACGCGCAGCGCCGGTGCACTCAGATGCCGCACCGGCAAACTCTGCTGATTCTTTCGCCGGGGAGTTCTTTATCATTTTGTACGGAAATGCTTTTCTTTGGGGTAGCCATCGAAACGACGACTGTAGGAACATCTTCCTCCTCCTTCCCCATTTCTTTTTCTTCCCTGCGGTTCTTTGTGTATATATATATCAGTGTAACTGTAAAGGAGATTCGCAGTAGTAGAAATAGAAATCAATTACTCGGTTATCCGAATATTTTCTAACCTAATCAGCCAATTATCAAATACTATCAAAATCCACACCAAACAATAAAACAAATGTAAATCTGCGGCGAGATGAATTCAGTCAGAGCTGCCTGAATGTAAAAATTAGTTTGTTTAATATACACGTTCGACTCTCTGAATGATAACTAATATCTGAGCTAATCAAGAACTCCAAGATCATTGATAAACCCAACAAATAGAATGCATGGGTCTAATGTATTTTACTGAGGTAGGCAAAAGAGAGTACAATAAATATGTAAATTTTATAACGAATTTGAGCTTTATAATGAAATAAAGGGATGTCGAGTCTGGGCCTAAAATCTATGTAAATGTCACACAAGATGAATAATGTATGTCAGAGATTTGAACCCTAGCGGTAACCATCCTTACGGGACTAAATGTGTTATATATGTTCATTGAGAATACTATAGCTTTTGTTAAATGTGTGCACTCTTCAATTTTGTAGAAAATAGTAGTTTTATTTACCTATCACTAATTTTTACTTAAAACTATTTTAAAAAATTATTCTATATAAACATGTACTTCAAAATACAAGGCTCTATCTATATAAATATTTTTAGAATTTTTTATATTATTTCTAATTTTTAATTATCATAGTATGAATTTTTCATCATAAAAAACATCTAATCAATCATTATTTCTTACTTTCAATTCTAAAATTTCTATAACTCAAGTGGAACTTTAAATAAAGTTTTGTGAATGATTTTATATTTGTAAATTTCTTCCATACACGAGCACGGCGAAAGAAAATTGGATCGAGGCTTAGTGGGGGTCGTTACGTATTAGTGAAACACGTGTACATGACCTCACACGTGGCAATCATATAATTCTACCCTTGATGGAAATTTAGTAAACACAGATATGTAGGTTCCATTCTGCCTGGAGCTTAGATGGTGGAATCAAAGCATAATAATATCACAACATTTGGCCGAAGAAAATCATCTCGAGTTTTTTGAGGAAGAAGACGACTGCTACGGCGTGGGCGTACTGGTAATCATGCAATTCTCTTCTCATGCAAATAACATCTTTTCTCGTTTCCTTCATTCTTCATTATCACACCAAGGAGTTTCTATCGGTAAAAAAATAAAAGATGTATTTTTGTTGGAATTGGAATTTGAATGACGATTCACGTCGATCTGAAAGTAGTTTCTTGAAATTTCGTCCATGATTATGGAGTAATCCTCATAATCGTTAATGCATTGTTAATGAATTGGATCTGTAATTAAACCATGAGGAGGGTAATGATAGGCACCTGTTTGAATAAGTGCCTAAACGAAGAATATAATGAAATGTGTATATATATTGAATTGAGACGATGAGTTCGTAGCCTCTAATCTTTGTGTATCTCTGCCCGACTTGTGGCGAAGAAATGGCGGCTGCACAAGAACCATCAAACCGACAGAATTTGCAAAGCTATGATGCTTATTTCGAGATGGTACAAAAGAAAAAGAAGCTACCTAGTTCATTACAAGAGTCTCTTACAGATTCCTTTGCCAAAATTCCTGCATCATTCTTCCCACAAGTCCCTGGAGGCAAAGGTAATCGGTACCATAGACAATTGTTAACCCCCTAGTTTTTTAACACTTGTCAGTTGCCTTACAGTTTGTTTGCTGCAGTAATTGAGATTCTAGGAAACACATCCATTGGCGATGCAGTTAAAATCTTGTCTGAATCCAACATTCTCTCGGCTCCTGTAGTCAATCCTGACTCCAGGGATAATGTAGATTGGAGGAAAAGATATTTGGGGATTGTGGATTACTCTGCTATCGTGCTCTGGGTAATGCAGAATGCAGAGATTGCAGCAGCAGCTCTGTCCACCACCTCTGCAGCTGCTGCTGGGGTCGGGACCGGCGCCGCCGGTGCACTTGGTGCCCTGGCTTTCGGAGCCACTGGTCCTCTAGCTGTCGCCGGTCTTACAGCCGCTGCAGTTGGGGCGGCGGTGGTGGGAGGTGTGGCGGCTGAAAAAGGAATGGGAAGAGATGCCCCGACTGCTGCTAATAAGCTAGGGGAGGATTTCTACAAGGTTATCCTCCACGAGGAGCCGTTTAAGTCGACCACGGTAAATAATTTAGGGGCATGATTCTTTGGACATATACAAATATTGTAATTAGTGGTTACACATTTAAGATTGATTAAATACAATGTTGTATCAGGTGCTTTCGATCCTTAAGTCCTACCGGTGGGCGCCATTTGTTCCTGTAGGTCCGGACAGTTCAATGTTGAGTGTAATGTTACTGCTGTCCAAGTACAGGCTGAGGAATGTGCCGATGATTGAGACGGGGAAAGCCTCCATTAAGAACTTCATTACACAATCTGCTGTAGTGCAGGGCCTCCAGGCATGCAAAGGAAGGGATTGGTTCGATTGCATATCTTCCTGCTCTCTGCCTCAATTAGGACTACCTTTGATGTCTCCTGATCAGGTTGTCATGGTCGGACACGATGAATTGATACTGGAAGCATTCAATAAAATGAAAGACAAGCAAATCGGAGGGCTGGCGGTGACGGAGGGGGCAACAAGAAAAATATGCGGCAACATAAGCATAAGAGATATTCGATTCTTGTTGCTGAAACCTGAACTCTTTTCGAATTTCAGGTTGTTTGTTATAGGTTGGATTCCAATTGATGTGATAAAATTGATATAGTATTTGTTAACGTTTGTGGTCATTGAAATTGCAGGAAACTGACTGTAGAGGACTTCATGAGCGTAGTGTGGTCGGAGACGAATGAGACGGGGAAGACGGTGAAGCCGATCACGTGCAAGGCCGATGCAAGTCTTGGAGAGGTGATAGACACACTTGCTTCCAGGGCAGTTCATCGGATCTATGTAGTGAACGAGGTGGAGGAGGTGGTGGGCGTCATTACATTAAGGGATGTCATCTCGTGCTTCATCTTTGAGCCACCAAACTTCTTCGATAACTACTTTGGATTTGCAGCAAAGGAACTATTGAGTGAGTGATTACACATTAATTGCATGCATGTTGGTGTTGGATTATCATATCATTATTACTTATATAGAAGGATAATATTAACAAGACTCTTGGTTGGGTTTCGATTTGTTGTGTTGAATTTCACTTGCATTTATGTATATGTTTATTTGATGATTTTATTTGGTTTCTTATATTAATTTGTATCAATAATTTCAAAATTCTATCAATCAGATGAAAGTCCATATAAATAAATAATAAAATACATCAAAATTGAATTTACCCTTTTTACAAAATAATAATGTCGCTTAGTGCTAATGGATATTAATTAATGTGGATGACGATGATGAATTTAATTACAATTTACAAGACAAGCGACAGATTGGGCAGGAGGGGTTTCCCCTTAACCAGCCAGCGCCTGATACACTCACTCTCCATGGAATTCATGGTGGCACCTTGTCAGTAGTCAGCCTCCACCTCCCCCCCATCAAATCTAATATTATTATTATTATTATTCAACTCTCGCAGACAAATACAGCACTCATCGTCTACAGCTTCCAGCCACGACGTGTCTCTATCCAAATAATCCAACGGCGGCGCCACCCCCATCCTCTCAATTCGGCACGTGCCGATGGACGATCATCACCGGAACTCGAACATTCATCCTCGTGGCGGACTTCGGCATCGATCTGATCCCTGCTGTTGCTCTCTCTAATGCATAGGTCACCAGCTGCTCTCGCCAATCGGCCATATTCCGATCGCCCCCATCATCATCCTTGGAGCCGTTGCCGGAAACCCGTTGATTCGATCGTTGAGGATATTGAAGCACGCCGACCGCAACTCCGGCGGCTTCGGAAAGAGTCCATTCCTCTACAATGCAAGTGGCAGTGAGAAAGATTCTGACTCGGAACCTATTAAAATTAGGGTTCGGGAACAGATATCTGCATTGGGTATCATTAGGGTTCCAATATAATATTTGAGACCAACAAGACTCGCAGCAATTATAGAGCGCCATCGTGGAATGATCGATCGATCATATAAAGCAAGTTCTGAATACGTTAACAAATATAACTAACGTTGAACACGAAGAGATCAAATGCCAGATTCAACAGTTCATCACAACCATAACTTGACAAGTAATCAACTAAGAATTTACAGCTACACAAGAGGATAGAAGAAGCCTGCCAGGGACCAAAATTATGGGCGCGAACAAGCTCGAGCTCGTTCATGTTACAATCTCCGTTGCGAAGGCAATGGAGAAGCCAAAGCTGTCTTATTCAGAGCTCTGTGCTGTTTCATCGAAGAAGCAGAATTTACTGGACGAGCAGAGGTCTCCTCTGTTTTGGGATGAACATTCGCCTTTTTCGGGTTTTGTAGCTGCTCGAGTGTGGACAACACCTCCGCCATCCGTGGCCTGAGCTTCGGCTCGATGCTCAGGCACTGCACCGCGATAGTTGCAGCAATGTAGGCTCCTTTCTGAGGGTACTGCCCCCCTAATCTTGTATCCATGATCCGGAACAATCTTCTCCGGTCGTTCATATATGGTTTCGCCCAGTCGACTAGGTTCTGCTCTATGCCAACCTTAGTTTTGTCGACAGCACGGCGCCCGGATAGCAGCTCGAGTAAAACAACCCCAAAACTGTACACATCGCTCTTTGCTGTCAATCGACCAGTGGCAACATACTCCGGCGCTGCGTATCCGTGTGTGCCTATTACTTGAGTCGATACATGTGTTCGGTCGCCAGTTGGACCGGCTTTAGCTAAACCAAAGTCCGACAACTTTGAATTGAACTCCTGGATGTGAACAGACATAAATTAGATATTGTGAAGCCATTGTGAGTACGATATGAACTGCGACAACATACCCCATCCAGAAGAATGTTGGATGTCTTAAAATCTCTGTATATCACTTGTTCTTCGGCTTCGTGCAGAAATGCGAGGCCTCTGGCTGCACCTACGGCAACCTTGATCCGAGTAGCCCAGTTCAGGGGTTGAGGACCTCCTGCAATGTACAATTTGGATTAAACAACGAATGTTTCAAGAGTTTCCACAGCAAGAGATACATACTTCTGAACAAATGATTCTCCAAGCTTCCTTTGGGCATGAACTCATATGCTAGAAGCCGGTTGTCCCCGTCAGAACAGTATCCGATAAGCTTAACTAAGTTTGGATGGTGAAGTTGGCCCAGATAATTGACTTCCGCCTGCATTTCACAGTTTTGTGTTACCTAAAACAGACAATGAAACCAATATCACAAGACAAGTATACAACAGTAAACATATGGATCACTAACCAACCACTCTTTGTGGCCTTGGAATCCCTCCGGCTTCAACTTCTTTACAGCGATCACCAATCCGGATCCAGGCTTTGCTGCGGTGAGGGAGTGTTCATCAATCCATCCTTTGAATACGCAGCCAAATCCTCCCTCGCCAAGAAGACTGTCAGGACGAAAGTTTCTGGTTGCATTCTTTAACTCATTAAAAGTGAAGGCCTTAACGTGAGGGGATGATAGGATCTCTGCTTCTGAACGTGGTGTGGGGAGGCTTTCTGCACTGCTTTTCCGACTATACAATGGAATTCCTATGTTGAAAGGAGCAGGAGAATTACTCATTTTGCTGGGAAACCTCGAAGCTTCTAAAGCAAACACAAGTGCATCAGCAAACTCATACATAAATATATGGAACATCACGATATCTAAACAATTCAATCAGTGAAGAGAGTTTTTTATTCTGAGGTTTTCATCATACCAGAAACTGGAATTACAAGGAAAGAAATCGAGGTTATTGACAACAAAATTTATCATATCAATCTAATTACTCAACGTTATGAATTCATTCGTAAGCTTTCCTAAGAATAAATAACAGAATCAGAAGAAATCAACTAACCGGACGGGATACTCAGAGTGGCATCAACTCTTGCCGACGAACTGAAGCAGGTCCCCATAATTATCACCTCTTCCGATCGAGCACAACAACAATAATACACCACCGATCGATCTCCAACAGTTATCGGTATATGTATATGTATATATAAGAAAAGTAATCAAACAGCAGCAGCAGCAACAACAAAAGGCGAAAACGAATTCAAAATCGGTTGGAAATAATAAGAGGTTTAAAAAATTCTTGAAGAAGGAGAAAAGGGGAATGGAATCCTGCATAGAATTCCGAGAGACGTGAAGAAAAGGGAACATTGATAAAGAAACATGAAGGGTGGCCTTAACTTCCTTCACCAAATTGCTGCACCTGCATCGCTTCTGCACTTCACTGCACAGCACTCGTTTCGTTATCCCTTCCCATCGCAGTGAATGAGTAACTCAGTGCTGTCCTACCTAATAAATAATAACTAGTAATAAATACACACACATATATATATATATATATGACAAAATGATCATTTATACCTTTCAACAGCACATCTCCCTTAACCTCAATTATCTAATATATATGTCATATTATGATACATGTGTCCATTATTACGATCTTAAAAGGAAGAAAGGACTACAACGGTCGACCAAAAATCTTGTCCAACCTACAATCAAATGATTTTATTTTATCGAATTACGTACTTAAAAAACTATTAGGACGCACACAAAATTATAATAAATATCGCAACATGGTATATTATGGCCTATATCGTCAATTTCCTTCTAGTTCAATAAATAAACGGAGTGTAAATTTGTTTGAGAATTAAAAGGCACAACTTAATAGCTAGCTTACCAGACTCTATGTATAGAATTTATTTTTGAATATATATATATATAATATTTTAGTTTTTATCTAAGTTTTTTTTTTTTTTTTTTTTTAAAAAAAAATTATATTTGGAATTTGTACACGCGTGTACATATTAGAGTTGGACAGCATTATTCTTTGTGGGGTAAGAATTGGGTGGTGCTTACCCTCACTGGACCCACCAATAACATTCGAGACCGGAGATTACAAAACCAATCGTTTACATCCACGTGTGCATACATCACGAGATGAAACAAATAAAAAATACGCAGAAAGATCATTACACCAGATTGAAGAGGGATCAAATAACTCCTCTTCGACACACCATTGTTGTCACTTTGTTGACAATGTCTGTACAATATTGGCTCATGTCATGTACCCAAAACAATGAGCAGTACAACATATCTATAGATACATATAGATATAAAAATATATAGGCTATAGCTACATCCTTAATAGTAACAAGAAATACAAACAAAAGAATCATCACAAACACACACACACACACACACAAAGCAATAATGCAGATCACAGCGATCGATCTTGATAGTTGGAACTACTAGAATGCTCCGTTGCATTCTAGTCGATCAGATTGCGTCGTGTCAGGCCTAATGGTAAAAACTTAGGTCAAGATGGCTGCATGCAACACAAGGATGAAAGAAATCCTAAAATGATATCGAAAAGAACTCCACACTGGATGATGAGTTCGCGGCGATTCAGAACTCTGCATACGTAGTTTGTAAGATAAACAAGTGAAGTGGATCATAGGCAATGTAACAGGGACCTCTTGCAGGGTGGAGGATGGGAAGCATTCATGATCGGACTTATCGGAGGCGAATCCATTCCTAGAGTCTTCATCAAGAAATGCTTCTCCTGCACATTTTAAGGCCTGGATTCTTTCAGAAAGGACATAAGTAATTGTTGGTGGAATACATTAATGTTGTCAAGAGTTCTTACGCTTTCGGAAAACTGTGGGCTGGGAATTGCTGCTGCAAATGCTCTGAACAATGGCGTGACTTGAAGAGGGGAGGTGAATTCTGTGTAAGAAGCTCCTTCATTGCCTTTCAGGTCACTTGCTGCCATGTTTTCAACTGAATCAGATTTACATATGTCGATCCTTAGATGAGTCTTTCGGTTTATGATAAGAAAGTGTATACTTAATGTAATTCTACCTTGATGATCGTATTGATCCAGCTGCGAATGTTGGTGTTCTTCTGTTTTACTGCCCGGAGTTTTAGATATCAGAGTCGATCCTGTACTGAGTTCGGAGCTTGTAGGGGATGACTCATACACAGCTGACTCACTTTCTTTGTTTCCTCTCAGATAATCTCCTCGAACCTGCGCACATCCATTTTATACATTAAGAGCGTCGTCGTAAGAAGCAATGCAGATCAAACTAGTATCACTCACCATCTGTTCATTCTCAAGGCTCAAATCTGTTTTCTCTTCATTGACTTCAACTGCAACTGAACTGAGCACCTTGGGATCATCTTTTTCAAGAAACGATTGGCCAGGTAAGTTTTCCATAGCTGCAATAATATAAAATGTCAAAACACACAATCTTTCGATTCTAAGTCCATCTTGTATGAACAGAAAAGTCTGCCCAACTCACATCCATCGCATGGTGCCTCAACAGGCAGCTGAGTGGGGAATTTAGCCTCAGATTCTACCGAAAATGAAAGTCTACACAGACATTACCAATGCTATGTTATTTCACAGCGAAGATCGGTCCTTAAAAAGATATTTCACAACAATGTAGAAAGTTTACATTCACTATATACCTTATCCTTTTAATAGGTTCATCACTTTTAGGGCTCCAATCTGCAATGTATCCATTATGAGATAAAACCCTTTTGTTGTTTAAATGAATGTAAGACTCAGTATTGTTTTGTTCTGCTAAAGGTTCCCTCTTTGCCCTCTTCTTGCAGAGAGTGGTGAACCTATTCTTCACAGCATTATCAGTTCTGCGAATAAATAATCGATTTAACTACTAGAACAATCATGCATAGCTCTTGGGGATTAAGGAAACCATACAGCCACTCTGTCAGACATTACCTGCCTGAAACAACCTTTGCGATCTCAGTCCACCTGTTTCCATATATCTTCTGTGCCTGCAAGAATTTTAATCAGTTCAGAGCTTATAAATGAACAGGTGTTGTCCAACAAAGAATTTCCTAAACAAAATACCAGATTGTTTCGAGAAAAAGGACTGGTAAGATTTCACGCACCTCACATAAGAGCTTATCTTCCTCCGGCGACCATCCTCCTTTCTTGAAATCAGAATTTAAATAAGTGAACCATCTGGTTTATGACAGTGCATTCAAATCATGAGCAAGAAGCAATAACAGAATTCCTTGAGAGTAAACAGATTGATTGCTAACTGAGGTGTCTCCAACCTTCTTCGACATTGTCTTGTTGTTTTATCGTTGAATTTTGATGCAATGATCACCCAACTATAACAAGAGTTCAAATTTCACTCAGCTTCATGCTATAAACAGGAAGAACATCTTTACAACAACAATGTATGAACCGGGAAATTTAAAGACTAATGAATCAAGTAATGTTTACTTGTGAGTTCCATGTTCTCGAATCTGCTTTCGAAGAATATCATCTTCCTGCAAAACAAACAATCCAATTGAATCGGATACATCAATTGAGCGAAAACCAGCAAATGCAGAGGGATGTTCGCGAAAAGGATCACCTCCTGAGACCATGAGACAATCCGCCTTTCCTTGTGCTTCTGCTCTTGAGTATTACTCGAATCAATATCACTGTTCTTGTCTACCTTGTGCTTCATAATCTATGGAGCTCTGTGTATTCCTCCTCTTCCTTTTTTGCATGCTCAAAAACAGCAAGAACCATACAGACAGAATAAAATAACAAGAAACCCACCCTCTGAAAAAGATGGTCTTTTGCCCACCCCTTGACCCAAGAAAAAAAATTGGATCCTTTTTATCGCCCTCTGCTTTCTGTGAAGCAAAACGTCGAGCACTTAGAGGGCAAGATAGGATTCCATTCGATAGTTACATGAAAGAATCCTGAAATTACGAATTGCCCTTTTAGCAGCGGCATCGAGATTTGGGAAAGAAGACCACCATACATACAAACACAATACAAGCTGTAAATTGCAGTGCTCAGAAATTGTGCAGACAGATTAAAATATAGAATAAAATAAATACAGAGTAGTAGTTTGAAAAAAGCAATAGAAAATCGAGAAGAACGCTGAAATCCACGAGAGTGAAATTAATGATGGACACCCCACCCCACCCCACCCCCCACTGTCGCCCATCATCATAATCTCTCTGCACACATATGATTAGATGATTTAGATAGATGTTTTGTATCTAAGCCCGACATGTTGGAAAACAGTGTTTGAATGGTCAGACCAACATGCATGTGGGAGCTGGATTAATGGTAGTTTGAAATTCAGTTGGAATTTGAAGGATCAGAATATGTGAGTCAGTCAGATGGAATCTTCATGGAATTAATATTAACAATGCACATCACTTGAGATGAGGTGCGTGCAACCCACGTGATACACGGTAATAATTAACTCTGCTACAAAACTTGCTCGTTTGTCTGACCATTCAAACACTGTTTTCCAGAATTATCATAATATATTCCTATATCTTTTACTCCACTGGTTATTCTTCCCGAAAATGGGGTTGCACTTGTACTGATTTTCAGGCATCATCTACGACGACTATCATACGAGGAGGAGGGAATATTATATTATATACTATAATTAATTAATTAATTAATTGGTTAATATTCATTCAAACATTATACTGTAAAATTAAATATAAGCACTGGTCTGAACCAGCCTAACAACTGCCATAATTAACGACCCTAGTTAAGTGAAGTGAAGTGAAGCCTACAAAAATTGAAGGAGCAGTGGGCCTGGATTTGGGCTGATGAAATGGGCCATCACATATCTGCATTAGATTTGGCCCACTTATGTTAGACCATTATTAAAAGTAGTTTACTAATTAAACCATGATAATAATGACGTAGTAATATTTTAAAAATACAAGGCATAAATAAATATTACAAAAATCAGTAGTACTATTCTAGTAAGGTGTGGAACCTACTTTTTATTTGTTGAATTGGACGTAACTATTATCATGATCATCAATTATTGGATTAAATTGGTCGATATTCAATATAAATAAATGACAACACCAAGACGTCTGTTCATTTCAAATGCATGTGAAAATTGGTCATTTCTGTATATCATAATTCACTAGGAAGCTATGTGTGTATGTCTGAAGCTGAATAAAAATATATAATATGAGTGACTAGTGCACAGTATCAATCCACGTATCATATCAAAATTCCATCAATATATATTATTGTGGACATAAAATTTAAATTGGATAATGATATTGATAATCGATTCTCATCCTGTGACGTGGCATTCATTAATTTATGTGTATAAGAACAAGCAAACAAATAACAACAAAAGATAAGAAATTAAATAACAACAATGACTAGTGCACGTTTTTTTTTTTTTTTTTTTTTTTATTTTTTCCACAATAATATATGCAGTGGCAATGTATATCAAATATTTTCGATATATTAATTAGTTGTGAATTAGGCATCCAATAATTTCCAATTTAAAAGATGTGACAGTTTGTTTCCAATCAATTTTTGTATCTGATTGGGAACAAATTTTTAGTTGAGGAAAGGATCTCATTCTCCACTTTTGCTCTTCTTTAATAATTGATTAAGGGAGATTTTCCATTAACCGGCATACATCAATGTATCTGGACATCATACTTTTTTATTTTATTTTTATTTATTTACCTCCAAAATTACCTGGCCAATATTTTACTATTAATTTCATTAAAATAATGAGCTCGTTCATTTTTTACTATAAAAAATAAATTTATGTTGATATTAATATTGTCCATGCATCACGCCTTATTGGATTAAGAGTCCAGTAAAGGATGATCTAATGGTCTAGGAGTTAGACTTGTGACCGTGGATTCATGGGTTCAAACCTCCGACTCCTCAAGTCAGCTGATACAAAAAATAAATAAATTAAAAAAAAAAGATTATCTCCCACTGAAATTATGATTGAGAAATGTGAATGAATTTAGATTGTTAAAATGGAATAAATATATTCCCATTTCCCAAAACCCCACTCGTTAACAGAATCGAATATATGCCTCCCACAACATACATCTAATATTTATAATATAATATATAATTAATATTATAGTAGTGTGGTAATTCAATTTCATTGACAATATAATGAATTATATTCAATTTAACAATTAAATATATGACATGGGCAAAAAACAGAAGGTGGTGTGTTTTGCTTTGCCTTGTGGGCTTTGATAAGGCAAATAGAAAAAATAAATAAAGAAATTTATATTTTTTGCACTTGAAAGTACTTTATTAGTTGCCGAAAGGGCCCCACTTCCAATCTAAAATAAGCACCCTACATACCACATGGCCAGCCCTTCATCTCTTAATAATAATAATAATAATAATAATAATAATAATAATAATATACTCTATAATTTTATTTTATTTTTTTAAAAAAATAATATTTTTATTTTATGTATTTCCATATTTAAGAAATAAAAATAAAGCAGAAAAGTCAAAAACAACCACTTTTCTGTGGAAAACCCAAAAAGCCGAGAAAAGAGATAAAAAGACATTTCAAAATTCCACCAATTAATTAAATAATAAAGATTGTAATTAGCCCAATAAACCTTTCGCACCGCCCAATGATGGGGCACATGTGCACGTGCCTTCCCACCCGACACGTGGACCGAATTCATTGGACGCGCGATGCAAGAAAAAACACATTGCTTGGTTTTCAAGTTTGTGTGTGTGTGTTTTTTGTCATAATAATAAACAAAGCCTTATTTACTTTTATATCAGTGAATAATAACAATGATAAATTTAATAAACAAATATGAAAATGATGAAAGTATTTTAGGAACTCATCATGGGCACGTATATTCACATATTGCGATCATTGTGTCCTTTCCGTATGTTGGAAGATTAGAATGAATTAATATTAAAATTTTGTGCTAAGACTTGAAAATGGTCACCTATTCAATTTTATTTTATATTTTAAATGTTCATAAAGTAGAATACATACTATTAAATTAACTCCAATGGGATTAAAGCCGGCATTGGCGGCCATTGGTTAAAAAGTTAATTTGGCTCATAAAATATTTATTTATACACTTATAATAAAATTATTTAATTACGAAATAAGAGAAAAGATTGGGTGCTTTTAGGAGCATGGGTTCGAAATGGAAGCTACCCACGTGCGCCGACACGTGGCTCAGAGAGCGAGGAAGGTGTCTCACTCTCATTGGTCCAATCATTACTTATTTTGAATGACTGGAAAAAAGAATAAATAAATAAAAGCTAAAATGTATTTTCATTTGTGTAACTAGTATTTAAAATTAAAAAAATTATGTATTTTTTAATGGACGAAAATAAAAGTATATGATTAAAAATATGAACACACAAAGCTTATATCATATGAATAACATAAATCATTTAACTACGAAATATTATAGAACAAATATATATTTATATTAATATATATATAGAATTTTATGTATGTTTATATCTATTTTCATACAATAATAATAATAGAAACCCACATTTTGCTGGCAAAATCGACTCCATTCTTTTTGTCCAATTTCTTTAATATTTAATATATAATATATATATATATATATTACTTTATAAAATATTAATCAAATGCACCACCGTGGTGGAGTTATGTATACAAATTCAAACGAATTTCTGATCAATAAAAAACATCACTTAATTGGATTGAACAATGGGAATTAATAATAATAATAATAATAATAAATCTATCAGATAATAAAATAATGAGAGTTGTGGATGATTTCATACAAATTAAAATATATCAATTGCCAACTGGCAGGACCACAATTAAAAGATTAGTTGGAACTACATTCTGAGCCATACATACAACTCGTTCTATTCTCTATATCTCAAATCATGCACACAAATAATGTAAAAAAAAATAAAACAAATATATACATTAAATTGAAGTAACTGGATAATAGTCATTTCCACACACAGTCAGTCTATCACGTAGCCTATAATATACCTATCAAATAATATAAACCATACATTATTAACGTGCCTAAAAAAATATCGGACCTGCTGCGACAAGTATTAAATATTCGTTAAACATAATATTTTATTTATTGGAAATATTATTCTTATGTATTACTATAACTTTTTTCGGGATCGAATATTACAAAGATAAATATGAAGATGCAAGCGAATAAAGTCATGTATTTATTTATATACTACTACTATATAGTTATCAAATTGAAATTGAGTTACTTTAGGCAATGGTCAAAAAATTTACGTCCTGCTTTTTATTCAAAATGTTTATCAACTTTGATCTTATCCGTTTACAGCCTCGTCATTTACATCGGGGGCTGACTGTCATTGTTAAGAATAATAAAAAAATAATTTATTTAACTTGGGTATTATAGCTAGGACTTGAAACCTGCAATGCGTTTTTATTTTTTTTATTACATCTATATTTAAATATTTATACTGCTAACAATAAATGATATCCATTACATATAGTCTGATCAATTATATTTCGAGTCACGTGATGTTCATGTATTTTGTTTATTATTTTTAAAATTTTCAAAAAATCTCAAAAAAGTCTATCTACTAAATAGAGCCTTTTAATTTTTATTTTATTTATTTATTTTTTACTATATAGGAAATTTTCTCAAACTATTATCTGAATAGGAGGCTACAAAATTGTTACGAGGTCAAGTACACTGAACTTAGCTTCAACAGTCAACCCATTAATACATTTAATTAATTCTTCAACCCCCCCCTCAACTTGTCTAAATATTACTTTAACCTCGCTCTTTATATTCAACAAAAATAATTAAAACCGAACATATGTAACGCTGTATTAATTGATACAAGAAATTAGGCCCAAGTTAATTTTTTTTTTTTAATTTTCAATTTCATTCAATAATATTATTTAATTTATATATAAATACTATATAATCATAATTTAAGATTTAAAAGAACTATTTAAACACAATTTTATGGCATTTAACACTATTTAAAAATCATATTCTATAGTTATAAAAATTCAAATTCAATATATATTTACTAAAATATGAATTTAAAAAATCAATAAAACACACGTGTCATATCCAACTAGGATTAGAATCCATGTGGCAGGGTGGGTCCTAGTCCACAACGTCCCCAATAATTCCAAACCAAAATTATTATTATTATTATCATTAAATTTTTTTCTAAAAAAGTAAAAAGAAAAGTAAGAAGAAATAAATGGAAAGGATCTAAAAAATAAAATAGCATGAAATAGAAGCAAAAATGGTTCATGTGTTGTTAGAAACCCAATGATGAAAACAAACACCAATTTAGTAATTGCATACCTACTTGTGACACCCATCCTCAATTAATAACTACTTTTATTATAAATAAATAATAATAATAATAATAAAAAATGTCAAATATAGGGACCATTTTTTCATTTTTATATTACTGAGATGTATTTTGCCTTCGCCCACTTATTTATACTAATTAATTAATATTAAAAAAATGTAATTAAAGGCTGCTTGTCTATTTATTTATTTTATGCACATTATTATGACTATTCTTAAAAAAATTTGTATACGTTTGTTTGGAACACCAACAAAACACAAAATACCAATCAGAATTATTATAATATTAAAAAATTGGTATTACTTCACCGAAATATCTTTACATAAAAATAAACTAAAATTACAGCTAATATAATACAAAAATATAAAGAGAGAGAGAGAGAGAGAGAGAGAGAGGGGGGGTGGGGGGGTCTTCAAAGAAAAGATTATGCCGGAAGCCGAAGCTGAAGCCGAAGCCCGAAGCCCTTTGCTTTGATTTGCGTTCGAGAGTATCCATAGGATTTATCCGATTTACAGGAAGGGGAAGAACTGAAACTGCAGTTATCTAAGCATAAATACGGATAGAAAAGGGGAAACACTCGAAAAAGTATAGATATATGTATGTATGTATACGCCGATACCTGTAAAGGGTGAGGGAAAGGAAGGATTGTTGCATTTGGCTTAGTTTCCTTTTCTTTCTTATTTGTCCAATACGTATGTGAGTTCTCTATCTTTGAATTTTTATTTATTTTTTGTGTTGTGCGCAATTACTGTTTTTTTTTTTTTTTTTTCCTTTCATTTTTCCTTTTATGCGCCTTTACTCTCCCTGTACGTTTTTTCAATTGAGGTGGTTTAGTTTGGTATCTAGTTATTTGATTTGACAGTGGTGGGAGTTTCTGTTATCTTATCGGGCTGTGTGGCAGATCTAATTTGATGGCGAATTAGCGATTGATATAATCGGATGAAGGATTTCTGCCTCTGGTTTTGATTTATTGGTTTTTCGGAGATTTGGGTGAATTGGTTTAATGGAATTGGTTGATCTGATTTTGGGGATCTGTTGGTCAGTCTTGAATATAAAGCCGCTTGTTTCAATTGATTATGACTGTTCATTTTTGGGTGTTTTACCCAAATCAATGATTTTTTCAGGGAAGACACTACTATGATTATTTCTTTTTATTTGTTTCTGTAATGGATAATCATTTGACCTGGAATGATTTTATCACGTTTGGATCGATGATGTTAGTTTAATGTTTTGTTCCCTGAAAACATTTGATTCACAAAATTTCTGTTTCAAATCTTGATGTGGGGGAATGGCACAGAGTTCTCAGCAGTTCTTTCTCTGTACTACACTACTTTTTTCTTCTTATTTTTTTTTTCTCATATGTTAAACAGGTTTTTTCATTATTTTGTTAGCCTTTTGTCATTAATTTCTACCTCTGAGTTTATGCATTCCAAAGTTTTCTCACTGGGCTTTGGTTATTTGGGCAGAAACAATCTTTAGAAAGCTGGTGCCCATTTGGAGTTTGGAACCTGAAGAAATGGTGGAAGACCGAGCTTGTTTGGTGTCGCGAGGTTATCCCGGGATCTGCCAACAAGAAGGCCATTGGCCTTGCGTGAATTACCGGCTAGAAAAGGCTGAGGTACAGCAGAACAAACGGTTTCTGGAGGAATCAGACAAAGCTGAAGACGTTGCTGTTTTCAGGAGTGCATCTAAGAGATCGTGCAGTCAAATAGATACAGCTCTATCAATTGGTAGGCTTTTGATATCCCTTTCTGATCAAGCCAGTAGTCAACGGCATGCAGGCGATAATTCTGATTCAAGTTCTTTGATCCCTGCCATTGGTCGTGACAACTCCATTAGTTGTCTAATTAACTGCTCAAGAGCTGACTATGGTGTGATTGCATCCTTGAATGGGAGCTTTCGCTCTCTCATTAGAAGTGGTGAGCTCTATAAGTTAAGGAGGCAAAATGGTGTGGTCGAGCATTGGGTCTACGTTTCCTGCCAGTTACCTGTATGGGAAGCCTTTGATCCCAATCGTCGCCGTTGGATGAGCTTACCAAGAATGAATCCCAATGATTGTTTTGTCTTTGCTGATAAGGAATCTCTGGCTGTGGGGACACAGCTTCTTGTTTTCGGAAAGGACCTTATGTCTCACGTGATTTACTGTTACAGTTTGTTAACCAACACATGGACTAGCGGGATGAGCATGAATGCGCCTAGATGCTTGTTCGGGTCTGCAAGCCTTGGGGAGATTGCCATATTGGCTGGTGGTTGCGACTCACATGGTAACATCCTTAGCTCTGCAGAGCTGTATAATTCCGAGATGGGAACATGGACTACACTTCCAAGCATGATAAAACCAAGGAAGATGTGTTCTGGCGTGTTTATGGATGGAAAATTTTATGTGGTCGGAGGAATTGGAGGAGCTGATATGAATCTCCTCACCTGTGGAGAGGAATACAATCTTGAAACCCAAACATGGACTGAAATCCCTAACATGTCTCCTGTGCGAGCTGGTGCAGCAAGGGAAAATGAACCACCTGCTACATCAGAAGCGCCACCGTTGATTGCAGTTGTAAATAATGAATTATATGCTGCGGATTATGCTGACATGAATGTCAGGAAATACAACAAGGAGAATGGGTTGTGGATTACTGTTGGAAGGTTGCCAGAACGCGCTGATTCTATGTATGGTTGGGGATTAGCATTTAGAGCATGTGGCGAAAGGCTTATTGTAATTGGAGGGCCTCGAAATGCTGGTGAAGGGTTTATTGAAGTCAATTCGTGGACTCCGAGCCAAGGTCTTCCGGAGTGGGTTTTGCTCAGCAGAAAGAGATCTGGAAGTTTTGTCTATAACTGTGCTGTCATGGGTTGCTGAGTGAGAGAGTATTCTTCACACATTGGCAGCGGTCGATGTGGTGTGGTGTTGTATCCTCATCTCTGGATGGATTCGCTCGTTGCTAATGGGTAACTGATCAGGATTTGTTCTTTTTTACCTTTTCTTGTTTCTTCTTGTTTTTGCATCATTTGAATGGGGGAGGATGAAAGGAATTAGCAAATTTTACTCAAAATTCAATTGAATGTTTCCTTTGCGATAGCCTCGAGTGTATTATATATATACATATTTAAAATTTACTCTTATGATTCTTTCTCCGACTGCTATCTTCTTCCCATTGAGTAACATGAGTTATAATTGTTCGTTTATGTTTGGCGCCTCTTTCAGTCATATGCTTAGGCTAGAAATAAATAGGTTGTATATGCTAGTTAGATCATCAAATCCAGCCTCTTTTCACAGATGAATATAAATTTGTTTCATTCTGGAAAGTGCCCTTTGCTTTGTGATAGTTTGGGATTTGTTTTTGTGTGTGGTTTTCAGCTTTCAATGGATGCATTGTTGTGAGTGAATGTGTGGATTGTAGGGGTTGAGCATTGATGACAACTGTACTGACTTCACTGATTGATACGCGTATGTATGTTCTATGATGAAGGATGCAGACATTGAGTTATTTTTGTATTCTGGGACCTTCCCATTTGTTTGAATGACTACTGCAGCATCTTTCTTTCTTTCTGCCATTCCATTAATTGCCTAATAACAGAATGTGATTCTTCCCTGTCCTTTCTGCACTGCCTCTTTCTTAGTTTCTATGCCTTTCCTACCATATTTTCAAACTCTTCTGTTCTTAGTAGATAATAATCTCTCTCTATGGAATCCCCAACTTATTTGTTTTTAATTATGCTACAATCATCATAAAGGGCAGAAATGATTCCCTCAAGAAAGTGGGTAAAGAATTGTCATCATGTGTCTCCCTATGAGAGCCTGAGCATGAACAAAAATATGCTCTAATCATCATGGCCTGTGTCTCTTTAATGAGGCCGTGGATTTAATTAATTCATGATGAGCATCAAATCTTGATTTCAAATTGAGATATTGGAAAAACCCTATACGCATTATGTATGCGTGCTTGATTAGTGACAGGCATCAATAATAGAGAGATTCTTATTATTGTCATGGAATAATAATTAGTGTAGCTAAGTGGGTTTGTGACTATGAAGATAGGGAAACGAAGAAAGATGACATAATTTGAATGGCTGCCCAATTGCTTATTTATTTACTACTTATATATATGAACGATGTGGATCACTCCAATCATATGCATGAATGTTAAAAATCAATCACACAAAACTTAGCTATACACACATAAATGTATAATGGAGGTTGTGGGATTTCAAGGCAATAGACAACAACAAAATATCCAATTTTCCCTTTTCAATTCGTGAGGAAAGGGACAGCTACTTCATAGTATCATTCATTCCATTGATTGGAGTATGTGTGTGTATGAGTGCCAGAAATAATCAATTATTTGGAAACCAACAGACAGGACAGGTGAAATCATTAAATTCTGGACAACCAATCCATGGGAGCAAGCACTTTCAAAAGCAAGTGTACAGAAAATCACCTTTGTAATTAAAATATCCAATCCAAAACTTGAGGAGGCTTCCAACAGTAATAACAAAGTTTAACATTGAGCATGTCAAAGCTTAGGCTTCCTAATTCTTGGTATATAAAAGAAAATAAAAGAAAAGAACACTAGTGAGTGTTTAAAGAGCATGGTGAACGAACCTGTACCAGCTCACTCCTCATCATCTTCTTCGTCGCCACCAGAAGCCTTCTTCGCAGCTGCCTTCTGGTTCCTTCTCTTCACTCTACCAGGACGACCCCCGCCAAATGGACTTGTGAGGGAGAAATCAATATGTTTCTGTGAGTCCACCCTCACCATAAAAGATGGTACGTTGACAACTTGCCTCCCGACCCTATAGTAGAAAATAAGGAGTTTATAATGCAAGTGATATCACATGGTGTATTCAGTGACATAATCCTGTTTGATGTAAGCAAGATGACAAAGACCAATTGGGAGATGAAAAGGTTGAACAGGAATTAGTAAATACCTTATATGCCTTTGCCTGATGAGGACCCGAGCATGGTGGATAGACTTGGCCATACCAGCCTTAAATACAAGAGTCTGTAATCGACGCTCCAGAAAGTTCTCCACAGTTAGAGCCAAGACATAATCAAGCTTGTTCTGGCTCTCGTCCAGCAATCCATGTCTGTTCATCCTTCGTAAGAGTGCTTCACCCTCGAAAATACGGCGTGGATCCTTTTCATCAAGAGTCAAAAGCATTCTAGCATTATTCCTAATGCGGCTTAGGACATATTGTACCCTCCAAAGCTCTCTCTTGCACCGCAAACCATATTCCCCTACAAGTTTAAGCTCAGCATCAAGTCGCTCCTTCTCATAGGGCCGACGAGGTTTCTTAAAAGTCTTTCCATCTGAAATCAAGATACAATAAAGACTTCAGCACAAGCTCATAAAGAAAATGACAACCTTGTTTCTGTATCATATTGGCACTGCTTGCCAAGTGGTAAATTCAAGAACCCAGCTACATGAAAAAGTATTTGGAGCAATGATTATATCTTTATGAATTGAATAGCTAACTCTCCTCAGAACACAGTTCACAGTTCTTTTTTGTAGTATGGTACAAATGATCACTTTCATGGATAGTAATCAAGAAATAATTTAGGGAGAATAACAAGTATATTAGAAAGGAGGAGGCGAAAATTGAATACGCAAATTGCATATTAATGTCTTTTCTTCTTCTATTTCTTAGTAAGATAAACGTTGGACATTTTTATATTATTCATATAAATTTTAGGAGCTAGTTCCGAGAAACTTCAGTATCAATTCCAGACATACAAGGATAGGGCAACAAAATTTCCATATAACTTCAGTATCAGGTCCCTAACTTCAGAATCCACAAATTTCCCCATGGAATAAAGTATAAGCAATACAAAAACTTTCGGAAACTGTGTTACAATTTGAGTAATTCAACAATGTGAAAGCTGCAAAGTGTCTTAAAAAAAGAAAAAAAGAGAGGTAATAATTTATGCCGGTAGCAGCAGGGAGATCGTACGATTCCAGTAAATTCTAAGTCTTCAAACTCAATAACACAAACCACAGGTAATCGCACAGGAATAGTGAACCAGAACACTGATAGATGCCCACGACAAACACTGTAATGGTAGGTTTCAAACAATCAATGACAACAATTGCGCAAACAGTCTCGTTTGGATACAGATGACAGGCATATAGATAGTTTTGCATTTTATTGACAGGAAAATTCAAAGCTTGACAAGAATCCACATTATTGCCTTACAATTGCGGTAAAAAGAGACGTGCACCATAATGGTCCTCCCCCTCCTCCTCCGCCGCCGATAGTATGCTCAGTCGAAACTCCTTCAATCTGAGGCTGCTAATCCCAACCAAGACCGAGGAACGGTTAACTACGACCCTAAACAGCAAAAACCCTAATGGGCAATCGCTGGCCCAATTTACGAATTGGATATGTACATTTAGCCCAATGGGCATCGACGTTTGGAATTAAAACAAAAATTATATATCAGAGCCAGGTTTCGATCCTGGGACCTGTGGGTTATGGGCCCACCACGCTTCCGCTGCGCCACTCTGATTTTTGATGATTGTATATTACAATTTTATATTTATATTTAAACCTAATTGTGTTGATATTTAAAATTTAGCATTATCGTTATTTATTTTCAAATGAAATTGTTTGAATATAATATTTTTATTGAAACAATTAATTATACAGTAAAAATTATATATAAAAGGAATAGGATTTTATCTTATTTAGTGTACACACGTATTTAAACACCAACCAGCGTCGTCCTCACTAGCCATTACAAGACAGTTTTGATTAAAACAGGATAGCAGATTCATACCTGCTTAAGACAACCAACCAAGACTATTCCAACTGCTTTCTTACAGCAAGAGTTAGTTCTCTACTGCACTACAGTCTGCATATATCTATGTGTCTGTTCTGTGATGAAACAGCTTAGTGATGGCTCTTCGCTCGCAGTCCTGAGACACGTCCAAACAATTTTCTTTAGAACAAATTACAGGCGACAGAGACGAGTTCTCATCAATATATACAACACAATACATTGCGAAAACAATAACACTACACAACGTTGTTACCTTGAACATGTTGAGATAGAAAGGTTTGTCAGGATTGAGTCTCTTCAGCTTCAGATAAGTATACGCAAAACTCAGCTGATCCCGTGACGTGAACCGATCCACCTCATTGAACCAAAGGCACGAGAACAAGTTTGACATTGCAGTATGCGCCCGAATAATGAAAGACCCTTCAGGCACATCTACAAAACACACCAATAATAACCCATAATCAAAATTATCATAAAACCGCCCTATTTAAGGATGAAAGGCGTCAAATCAGTGCTCACAGCTCGGGAGAGGAGTATTAGGGTCCGATGCGTCGTACTTAACAAGTCCGTCCGACTGATAAAAGTTGAACTGCTCATCAATAGCCGTATGGTCGTACTTATTTAGCCGCTTATTTTGGAGCACCTCCTCCCAAACACAGTGGCGAGCATAATGATTTGAAATGGCATATTCTGCACCGGCTCGCCACAAAAAGCGTTCGATGATCAGCATTGGGTCTGCATTCAGCCGTAGCTTGCTATCCAACCAAATTGAATACCTAATCACACCAAAACCGAACAAACCATATAAGATTGTTTTGTATCGATAGGGACATGAAAAAGAGAGCCATGGACACTTTTTGTGGTCTGAGGATCACCTAGAAGAAGGAAAAAGACGATGTGATAGAAATTTTGGCACCTTTCCGCTTTTCCGCAAATCTTTATACGGTAAGTTCTTTACGACAATTATCTTCCATAACCCAATAGTTCCACTTTCATCCGGAACATTTCCTTCGGCAGAGAGTTTAGTTAAGCTTTGCTCATCGACAAACATAACAAAACAAACATTTCTCTTGGAGTATTCACTGATCTGCAATTAAAAATTTTCACGTCATATCCAAGACGATGATACACATAGTAATATCCCAAGGCGCAACAAACAGAACACAATAGATTTGCTACCATTTTGCTAGCGGGCCTTCTCAAGAAATCGGAGCTTCCAAAGATGCACGAGGACACAGCAACTCTACATGTATTCATATATTTTTTGTCCTTCTCATTCAAATCAAATCCAGTGCCTAATCCATCAGATCCACTCACAAAGCCGCAATGAATTGTCTGATTCATTGCATGAAACGACTTCTCTCTATTTTGAAGAGTTTGGTGACCTCCAAATCGAGCTTCAGTAGTGTCACCAAGAAGGTTCCTTTCCTCCTTTTCAACATATCCCAAGGAAAAAGGGGCAAATGTAGTGTTCTCCTCAGGCTCAACAATATGAGTTACAGAATTCGGAAATGACACCTCACAAGGAAAGTATCCTGAATATAAAAGTAAGGTAGCAAAATAAATACACTGTGAACATTATCGCAATGATAAGTTCTCCAATGCTTTTTCATGTTTTCAAATCACATGAAAAGTCTACTTTAAAAATAGAAATTCATTGAGAACCAAATAAGAATGGGAAGTCTTCTGGAAACTTTTAGTTTGCTAAACAACAATATAAACAATCATATCAGCACTTAATTAGGTGCTTATTCGATTAAGTGGCCTCAAAAAATTACTCATAAAATGGGAAGCCATCCACCATCAAGTAATACTAAAATGAAATAACTATGTTCTTACGCTGCTTTCGTGGCTTCTTTGGTTGTTCTGATACATTATTTGCACTAGATTTTTCTATGGCATTCTTTAGAGACATCACAGTCCCTGCAGATTTATAGAGTAAATATCAGTAGCGGTGTTAAACAAACCAACTATCACAATTAACTAACCAAGAAAGTTGAAATCATATATTTTAATCACCATATACATGATTAATATAGTGAAAACTACAAGAACATCTCTTCAGCTTCAATACCCTTCAATAAATCCTAAAAACAATAAACCGAAAGCTCAACTTGATGAAGCGTCTGACAAACTTTGCCACACAGAAATAAATTTCCAGCAATTAGGAAACAATGCACTAAAAATCCTTCCCAATGCATGTATACAAATCTATACATACAAGTTGTGCATGTAGATATAAAAAAGACACAATTATCGATAAGAATACACTACACTAATGAAATTCCGACAAAGGTCCTCACCATGAATATGTATCTTTATTCCAAAATATGCAACATATATACATAAGATCACTGCAGGAGACAACAACCAAAAAAACAATCTTTGTCTCAAAATTCGACCAACTCTCTTTTGCCGGCGAGAGCCCCAGAAGGATTTCGTCATTGGATTCGAAGGCTTGTTGTTGAACACACTAACACTGCATCTTCTAGGTGAAGGAAATTCAGTGCTCTTCATATGTGCGATAATGATGTAATGACTCTCAACTATTAACTCATCTGCAATGCAAGAACACATGAGAATTACCAAAATTAAAATGGAAAATCTCCACATAAACTAAAATTCAGTCGAATTCTTACCAAAGCTTCGAAAGCCCCAAACTAAAGCCGATATCTCAATCGGCTCCCTGATTTCTCATTTCAAATTGCCTGCTTTACAATTACAGATGCTATCACAAGCATTTCATTCCCTCCATTTCTGTTGCCCCCAAATTTGTTACAGAAAAACCAATCAAACTTCCCTCGAATGCTTTCATAAGTTACTTATACGCGTTCTATTAACAGCTAGTTGTCATTTCCTCTATAGAGCAGCATCCAATCAAGGATCAAAATACACATCGAAGGGGTCATCCAAAAGATACCCAAAAAGGATCCCGACAAAAATTCCCTAAAATTAAATCGATTACTAATATTAATCATGCAAACAGCCACTATAACATAAACACAGAAATCTTGTGCATACACTCTCTCTCGATTTCACGTACGCTCTGCTCCTTGGACGATAAGAAGTTTGTATAGAAAAATGTGGCCTCCACAGCTGAAACAAGAAACAATTTGTAAAAAATGAGGACAATTTCCGCCCAATCGGAGATCTGTTCTAACGCAAGAACACCGAAGGAAGGTAAGATAGCCGCGGCCGAAGACGATGGAAGACAGCAGACATCGTTCTGTAAAATTTTCGATGTAAATTGCATATCTCCCCTTGATCTAATGTTATTTCATACTTTACCACAAAACAATCAAACTATAAGACTTATTGCCCTCTTAGAATAGTGATAAGCTGAAATGACATATTCGTCCCAACATGTAGGAACTTTTCATTTTGGGCCTTCTATAAGTTCCAGAAATTTGGGCCCGACTTTTATATTGGGCTAATGTTAGTCCATTAATCATCCCTTTGTGAACGCTTTGTTCGTCGGTTTCCCGGTTTTCTGTAAACGCTAGGGAGAGCAGAGGAAGCGGCGACCATGGCGACGGAGCTGGAAGAACTTTTGGGCTTTCTCTCATCTCCTTCTCCACCGGTAATTCTTCTTCTCTTAACCTGCTGAATTTCAAGTTCGGTAGAATTTAGTCTAGAGCTATGAAATCATGCAATGAAGTTGTAATGTTTGTTGTAATTAGGAATTAGGATGATATGAGCATTGTTTGTATGATCTTTTGGTGGTTCTATGAGGATGCAGATTAAAAAGGCTGCGGTGAATATTCTTCGTGATTATACGGGATCCGAGGATGGGCTGCAGGCTCTTGGCAAGTACTCCACCGTTGCCGTTCCTTCGTTGTCTCGCCTTCTCGCTGAAAAGAAGGTTAATTTTTTTGCTGTAGTTTAATGTTATTACTCTGATAAAGAAGTAGAGTACTGAGGATTTAACATATTATATAATTTATATTGTGCATATTAGTCTTGAGTTTGTTAAAATTACAAAAGTTGAAATAAGTGAGAAAAGGGAGGAGAAAACTCGTAAATGAATTCTAGTATATGCAATTTGCAAAGAATTCCTTCTCTTAGGTTTCTGGGCATATAATGTTGTAAACTCTACATCTATTTAAAAAAAAAATGATTTGAAATCAAACAACCTGAATGTGATTAACTATTATGAATGGTTCGGCTGAACTCAGTGGGCCATTCTACCTGGGAATTACAGATGGGATGTGCTGAATGGATTACTGAGTTACTGTCCTGTCCCATGGAAAGTTAGAACACTAATGAGGCTCACTTGTTTATATCTGACGTAGTGCAGTTATTGCTATACTTAATAATTTGATTATTTCTTCAGGAAGTTTCAGAACCTGCTGCAGAGTCCCTTGTTAATTTGTCCCAGAATCCAGATTTAGCTGGGAAAATTGTCAAAATGGATATGATTAAAACTGTCATGGATATTCTTTACAAGAAAGATTGTGACATCACCCACCTTCTGATCATGCTCCTTGTCAATCTCACCCAGTTGGATGTTGGTATTGAATCTTTGCTTCAGGTAGACCCTTAGTCATTAACACAGTTCTGCATCTTATTTACTAAGAAAAGCGTCTTTCAGTTGTTGCATGAGATACTTTTGTAGGTGGAAGATTTATATTTGAAGTTTGAAGCTATTTTGTGTTTTCTTCAATTTAATTATAAAAGGAAATTTATTCATTTTCTAAGCGAGCTAATTGAATTTGGGATGATAAATAATCTAAATACGATGTTGTATGTGAAATTATGAATCAAATGAGTTCAGTGCTTGTACCCATATCTTTGAAGTTGGTTAACTAAATCAGTACATATGATGTTAAATTGTGCTTCCAGATTGATGACGAGAAGATGCATGGTCTGTACATTATGAAGCTGGTGAGATCTTTCTGTGCATCAGCTAGTGATAGAAAGAGTGAGTTTTAGTTTCATTTGACTTTGTTTCCTTTTTGTCATGTGTCGAAAGTTCATATGACATCAAATCACATAATTACTTTGTTTGCTTGTGTAACTGATCTCATTCTTTTGTGTGTCCGTGGCTGCTGTAAAATATGTAATTTACAATTATTTATGTTGATAAAAAAATATATATATATGCTTAATTAATTTTCTCTTATCATCCTTATCAGGCGATCCCTTCGAGCATGTGGCATCTATACTTGTTAATGTATCACAAAAGGAAGCAGGAAGAAAGCTTCTTTTGGATCCTAAGCGAGGACTTCTCAAGCAGATTATTAGGCAATTTGATTCACCAAGTCCATTGCGAAAGAAAGGGGTATTACCTCTAATTTTAACTCTAATGGAGTGGGTGCATAAACATTTCTGTTTCTTTACACAATAACTAGTTGTTGAAGAAGTTTTCGCCAAGGATTTAAGTGCAGAAATATTGTAGGAAATAGCAGTAATACCCAGTGTAGTAGGTTATATGCTTCCAATTTCATGTTTAGAAGCATTGAATGACATTTTAGGTTAAAGAGTTAAAGTGTTTTTTATCAATATATCCAGCTATGCTTTTTTCTTTCAGGTCTCAGGAACTATTAGGAACTGTTGTTTTGAAGCTGAAAATCAGTTGCAGAATTTGCTTTTGACATCAGAATTTCTCTGGCCAGCTCTACTACTTCCAGTTGCTGGAAACAAGGTAAATATGCTGCAAATGGCCATAAAATTACATACTAATTTTACAGTATTGGATAATTGTTGAGCAGCACACAATCAGGAGATCTGTTGGATACAAAAGAAATTCCCTTGCTTCTGCTTAGCATCCATCATAAATTCTGTGTTACATATCCTGTAATCCTGTACAAATGCAAAATTGACTTTTTAAGTTTTACTTGATTTATTGAGCAATTCAACCACAAGAATGACTAGAAGAAAGAGTATATCCTCAGAGCTCAACCCCAAGGATGACCTTTTTAGTCTTTCCTGAGAGTTTCACATGTTGTATCATTATCTTCTGTTTTCTCCATCAACAATGGTTGTGTTCATTCTGTCTATGGCAGGTATATAGTGAGCAGGACACTTCCAAAATGCCACCTGAGCTTGCCAGTGCACTCTCAATTGAACGTGAAGTAGTAACAGATTCTGATATCCGTGTCCAAGCACTTGACGCAATTTACTTGCTTATCTTACAGGTGAAGATTCTTATCTCCTTGCTCAGGCATGAAGCAGTGGTAGATACTGATCAAAACTACAAACTGCGAATGGCTGGCTAAGTTAGCCCACGTAGTGTAATTAGAACAGAGCTATTCTCTGGAACATCTATAGTCTTTTTCATCTACCCGTCTAATGACACATATTTAAGAAATTGCAGGAAGCTGGGAGGAGGGCACTCTGGTCTGTTAACGGCCCTCGAATATTACAAGTAGGGTACGAAGATGAAGAAAATCCCCAAGTAATGGAGGCATACGAACGAGTTGGCTCATTGTTACCAAACTCCCTTTCCTTCCAATAGCGTTACAAGATGCAATCACACGATGATCGATGCATATGTGAGAAATTTTAACGCGTTATTTGCTCTTGCAGTTGGTTCAAGAAAATGGTACGACTGAAGTGGCTTCATAGCTTCCCCTCCAGTATATATAACTGTTCTGGTTGCTCGTTGGCATTTCATGAAGATTTTTCAGTCGGATCAACTACCTATGTCGCGATGTCGCCTCGCCTCCATGTCTGAAAGCTCATAAAACTCAAGTTCCTCATTCAATATATTTACATTGTATTATTAAGGTTTAATTTTTGTCTGTGCGTGTAAGACAGGGAAAGACGGAGGGTTGCCATGAAGCTTCCCTAAGATTAAGATAGGTGATAGATAAATTGTATTTAATTGCTACAAGTCTAATCTATAGAACCTTCGTTTAGTGTATTTATTGAGCACAAGGATGATGCGAGTTTTGCATTAATTAAAGGGCAAAACAGGTGGCGCCATCTAGTCAAAGTCGAACCAATATATACGTCCAAAATCCGGCGGTATCACCCACGTGGCATGTGCCCTTTAGTCAACGTCAAGCCTAAGCAGGCTAGGCTAGGGTCCACGCCTTACCGCTAACTTCTTTATAATGTGATATTTTCATGGAAAGATATCTCTCAAATGTATATATTATATTGAATTTTTTGTTTTAATGAGACCATAATAATAATAATAATAATAAATGAATTTCCGACAAACCCTTGAGAAAACGACATTAGACCCAGGAGAATATTAGACGAGGAGGAGAAGGCAAAGTAAGGGAGGATATGTACCTGTTGTATTTATGTGAATTCCGCCCAATTTCTACACAGTTTTTCACTTTTGTGGAGACTCTATAAAAATAATCCCTGTAGCCGTCAAAAACTGATCCATTCTAGGGTTCGTTTCTGATTTTGAATCGGCCCTTGAAAGAGAGAGAAGGAGAAACCCTTGTTTAAGAGATGGAGATTATGAATGGATTACATGCTTCGGACGAATTGTTGGGGACCTTCATGCCGATACTCGTGTACTGGGTGTATTCAGGGATTTATGTCTTGTTGGGTTCGCTGGACGATTACAGGCTTCATTCAAAGAAGGACGAGGATGAGAAAAATTTGGTGTCCAAGAAGGACGTCGTCAAAGGGGTGCTTCTCCAGCAGGCTGTTCAGGCTGTCGTCGCCACCATCCTCTTCGCTGTTAGTGCTTTCTCATCCCTCTCTCTCTCTCTCTCTCTCTCTCTATATATATATATATATATGTATGTATGTATTTGTGTTCATATGTTTATGTGTGTAATTTTTAGTTGATTTTGCTGCCGTGGTTCATCTATGTTCTCTTTTTTGGCACCGGTCGGAGATTGATATGCAGTTTGAATTAGCACGTACGATTTTATCACATCATCTCATCTCCAGGGATAAAATTTCCATCCCCAAATGGTTAGGATGCTGGATAAGTATATAATCTTGATGTATGAGTGGTTACTGCCCAGCTCATATATATAGGCATTGATGTGCTTTGTTCTTTGTTAATTATGTGTTTGATATTACATGATTAAGGGGTTGTGACTCGGTTTTTGTTTTCAAGATCATAATGGATCGCCGGTAGGCAGATGATTAAGGGGTTGTGACTCCGGTTTTTGTTTTCAAGATCATAATGGATTGCCGGTAGGCGGATGATGTATTTATAAACTGTCCAAGCTTGTGCCTTTCCACTTTTTCTATTGTGCAAGGATTGTAACTACGTGACTGTTCTTTTTGTTTATTTGGTCACTAGGAATGGATTAACCATCTATGTGGTTGCCGAATGTTTTTTATTGGTGTCTGATATGATATGTGATTATATCATAATTGAATCATCTGAGGATTTTATATGTTGTTGGACATCTGATTGTAAATACTTGATTTGGACATTCTTTGTGGAAAAATCTTGAGTTTATTGTGAAATACGAGAGTCTGGGTAATAGGGAAAAGCCTTTCAATGAATTCTTCATTCTTGGAAATAGTTGGAATATAAACCTGAATTCGTTCAATGTAAATTGTGAAAAGCAGATACTCACATCTTCAAATGTTGAGAGAGAACAACTTTACCTGTTTGTTAGTATAATTTAACTTATGATATCTGCTGCTGAAAACAAGGCAATTGCATGTGTTGGAACTTTTATTCGGGTTTTAGTTTATATTCCTCAACTAGTTTCTGATTTGTTTTGAACTACCTTAGATTCGTAAGTTAGTTTGTGCTTCATGGTTTGATTGGATATCAACACAAGTAAGAAGCTCGATCAGTTTGTTATTGTTATATGACTTGGCTTTTGCAATATGCTTTTGTGATTGGATAAAGTTAATTTATTCAATCAGGTGTTGCCATTGGCTTTGCTACATTTATTGGACATGCAGACGTAAATGTTGTTCCATGCGAATACGACAAATTATATAGCTTTTTGAAACTGCAGTTAATCCTCCCGGCTAATGGGAATATTTTTGAGCATTAATGATTAGGTAGAGAAAATGCCAAATGCGTTGACTGAAAGATAACCCCACAAAGCTTAACGTGCACGGTGTTTTGAAAGATTTCCCCTTTTCAGGTTCATATGAAATATGCACGATTGTGAACTTTGATTTTGTAGCGATTTCATCTTTATTGAAATAATGTTCATAGATTTCTCGCAATATTTGTTTGGGTATATCCTTACCACTGATTTATAACTTTGATGACATGCCCCGTGATACTCACTGGTCTTGATTCTTGAGGCTCTGAATTATTTCATTTCATTTATGCTCATTGATAATTTTCATGTCTTTCACTTTTGTCCGGTCTTTCCTACTTTCGGTAGCATTCATGTTGGTGTTGTCTTTTTCATTGCAGCAATTATACCGATACTGTATGTTGTGAATGATCTGTATTCTTCCATGTAGGTCACAGGAAGTGACAGTGAATCTGCTCAAGCACAACAAGCTTCCCTCTTTGTTCTCGCCCGACAATTCTTGGTTGCAATGATAGTGCTAGATACATGGCAGTACTTTATGCACCGGTACATGCATCACAACAAGTTCTTGTACAGGCACATCCACTCTCAGCATCACCGGCTGATTGTCCCGTATGCCTTTGGAGCCCTTTACAACCACCCCTTGGAAGGTCTGCTTCTTGACACTGTAGGCGGCGCCTTAGCTTTCCTCGTCTCTGGAATGTCTCCCCGGGCTTCCATCTTCTTCTTCTCCTTCGCCACACTCAAGACAGTGGACGATCACTGTGGGCTATGGCTGCCGGGAAACCTGTTCCACATCTTTTTCAGGAACAACTCGGCGTACCACGATATCCACCACCAGCTTTATGGGAACAAGTACAACTTTTCTCAGCCGTTCTTCGTCATGTGGGACAAGATTCTTCGCACGCACATGCCGTATTCGCTCCAGAAGAGAAGTAAGGGCGGGCTCGAAGCGCGACCGACCAAAGAGTCTATGGAGTGAGTGCAACCACCTTATTTTTACCTTGTTTAGTTGTGAAGTGATTTCATGACTATCAAGTATATATATATATATATATATACCCATATATGAGACGTTTTAAAGTTACCTTGCTTTTTATTATATATACACATACATATATATTGTCCGAGGGAATGATGAAGCTTGTCCATTGAAGACACAATTTAGCAGACTTTTATTGTACTGTATCATTACCAGAAATGAAATAGCTTTCTAATGTAAAGATTTGAGACTGCTTGCTTATACTGTAATAGCTTTCGAATCGGGGCGATCACGCCTTCTTGTCAGAGTCCCGGTGTCTGATCAAAGTCATGGTAGATTCCAATCAATCCTCTTTCTGATCTTGGCAGGGTTCGAGTGATCGGTGTAGCATGCTCATACACTGTCACTTTAGAATCCTCAGTTACACTGCCATAATGCAGTTTGAAATCGAGGTTTGGAAGAATCTTGCAGCTTGCACCGATCATGGCTGTCCCAGCCATTGCAATGGTGTCCCCTTTCCCAAACTCACCCCTCTGCCACGCTCCTAATATGTAGAAGAAAAAACAGAGACCCCCCACCATGAATATGTACTTGCGAGTCCTTGTTCCTCTGTTCCCTGAATTAAACATGTTCGCCATTGTTGCCACTGCAAGTTTATTACTCAGGCCTAAACATTCTTCTTGAAATTTCTCTTATAAATTGGAATGCCGAAGCAACTGATGGGAAGCATCAAGCACAGCAATTGTATGCACTGCTAGAATTCGAAGATCAATCATCAATCTCAAAATCTCAATTATTACTGGAACAAAATTGAGTATAATGAATTAATCAAAAGATCTAGAAGCAGTTCTTCCATTCTTGAGCAACAAGATGATAAAAAAAAGTACAAACCGAGCAAGAATAAAAAATTCGAAGAAAAGCTGAAACCTTGGCTATCAATTTACAGCCCATCAGCAAATTCACAAGATACAAGCTGTAGAAGATCAAGCCAGAGCACATTCGAATCGTCCAATCGCATCATGTGATGCATTTCTCAACCATCGACATTTCAACTTATTCTTATTTATCACTAATCTTATTATACGAACATATCTATTCGTTAATGAGTATTGAGCAGTGGCTTACTTTGGCTGGAAATTCTACCCTAAAGTCTTTCCTACCGACACAGATTTTCTACTGGATGGTGATGAACAAATAAACCCTACAGGCAAAATCTGGACCCACTCTTTACTGGATCTTCATTTTTAAGCACTGCAAACATTAATGCAGCATTTTTAGCCACGGGATCAAATTTGTAGATTCGAATATGTTCTTTAACCAAATCAAGCCAAGCCCATTTGCTCTTTCTTCACGAAGCCCACAAAACGTACGCTGCTGGTATGTTCTGTCCACTGATGATCTACAGAATTTAAAAATTAGAAACTTTTGTGGATTCGATGGTGGAGTTGTTGGTTTAGTGCCATGAATCCAACTGTTGATATTTGGACAAAACAAAAGGGATGATGCTGAAAGTAGCACGTATTTTCAGAGCCCACGTTTGGGAGGACAAAGCAGCAGACAAGAAAGGCTTCGAACGAGGCTTAGGTTTCTGGAGCTTTTGAAGCCCCCAAGTTTGTGGCATTTGACTCAGTGCATCTCTTCACATTTGTTTATTATTATTATTTGATGAAATTAAAGTTGTTCAGAAAGGAGAGGAAAATCTTCAGTTGGGTAAAACTTATTTGGCAAAATTATGCAAATGCAATGCAATGCAAGCATGCAGAGTGGGGATTCAAACTTTTAGGATATGAGGGTTTCAAGAGACTTGAAGGGCTTTTATAGAAAAGCAAGAAGATTGAGGAAATCCATGCCTTGGTTATCAACAATCAACAGAATCCAAGAGAAGTGGCCTTAGCCTCCCAAATTCAGCCAAGAAATCAACCCCCATGTATAAAATTAATGTAATTATGCATGATTGTTAGTATTTAGTACTACTTTCATAATAAAAATCAAGGGATGTTTATCATTTAAGAAAATTGAAGAACCCCTATAATTAAAACATATATATAGTGATAAATGACTCAGACAGAGAGAAGGTAAAAATATACTATAGGGACTATTAATGATAGATACCATCATCATTAATCAATACTCTTTTGGCAAAAATTTAAAAGAGTGGCTTAAAATATGGTATATTTTATATTATTATCATTATTATAAGATATGGAAGATGGTCAACAGTCAGCCCACAAGTTCTGAAATATCATGACTTTTTTTTTTATTAGGGTTTGAGATCTGTGGTTTTCATTCCTCTCACCACTTTGAATGAATTGTTATTCATACACACATTTTATAAATAATTGTATTATAAATTATTATTATTCAAACCTGACAAGTCAGTGGAATAGAAGCTTGGGAATGGAATAGAAGGTGGCATTTTTGGATCCTGAGATACTGACTCCACTCACAATATTATTATATATATGTGCAGGAAATTCAATTGACAGCAAGCTGAATATAATTTTGAGGTTTTGCATAGGGAGTTGCTTTCTTGTCCTCATTTCAAAGCAACATTTCAAAAACCATTGCAGTAGAAGCTTGCTTTGTCTTGACATGAAAGACAGTAAATGAAGGAGGGAGAACCCGGGACCGCTACTCCAGATGTGGATCCACAGGCTGTAGGTTCATACCTGGTGCTGGTGTTCCCGGAGCTTCCAAGAATCCCTCACATATATATACATACATACAGTTCTCATGCTGGTCTCCTCTCCACGATAACTCACTGCTTACTTCCCCTTGAGATTCCTGGATTTGAACATAAACAAAACGAGGATAATTCATGAGTCATTAGTAAGGAAGAAAATACGAGTCACTGATCTGATTCTAATGGCATACAACAACATTACATACATACATAATACGTACATGAATGTGTGTATATATATATCGTGTATGTATGTATGTATTTATTATCTTGACTTTGGGGTTTTCTTGGTACCTGTTCTTGAAGGGCTTAATTACGTTGCCCTGATTAATTAACCTTATTTCTATCCAAAAAAATCCCAACTTTTTTTTTTTTTCCAAAAACAAGGCTCCTTTAAAGTCACCAGGAAAGGCGGCTGATCCTTCGGGGGCAGACCCCTCCTCGATGTGCAAGCCAGTTTGATTCTTATAATCAGAAATTTTCATTGCTCAAACCTACAGACTAATTTACTCTTCCGAGTTCATCTTCTTGCTGGTGTATCTTTTTTTCAATTCACAGTGAATCTGCAAAGCTACGCCTCTTCTTCTTGGTTAATTTCCACGTACATAATCGGAAATGGAAGATAAATATGAGAATGATAAAGTAGACGAAGTGATGCTGCCAGGTTTCAGATTTCATCCAACCGATGAGGAGTTAGTAGGGTTTTATCTCAGAAGGAAAGTTCAGCAGAAACCCCTCTCCGTTGAGCTCATCAAGCAGCTCGATATCTACAAATACGATCCATGGGATCTTCCAAGTAAGATCATAACATATATATATATATATACATACATCATTTGTGTGTATAATAATACTGATCTAGCATAAAACTATATATATGCATATGCATATATAGATTCTTGTTCATGGTTTTCATTACATTTTTGTTATATTTTGTCACTAGAATTGGCAACAACTGGAGAGAAAGAATGGTATTTCTACTGCCCTAGGGATAGAAAGTATAGAAACAGTGCGAGGCCAAACCGAGTGACCGGAGCCGGATTTTGGAAAGCCACCGGCACCGACAGGCCTATCTACTCCTCGGAGGGTTCGAAGTGCATTGGCTTGAAGAAATCCCTTGTTTTCTACAAAGGCAAGGCTGCTAAGGGACTCAAAACAGACTGGATGATGCATGAGTTTAGGCTGCCATCGATGTCCGACTCAGTTAATCCTAAGAAATTCTTGGACAAGATCATCCCTGCTAATGTAAGGCCCTATAGCTATACCTGTTTTAATCCTTGTTCACTTCAAATCATGCTCATTCACCTTGTTATGAACTGTTAATGTTTTCTTACATGTTGTGAACTTCATTAATTTAGGAGGCTTGGGCGATATGTAGGATTTTCAAGAAAGCTAGCTCAACTACACAAAGGGCTGTGTCTCAATCTTGGATTTCACCTGCAATATTTGACACTCCTACATCTGATATAATGAATCTCCCTCCTGTCAACAGTATTCACTTGAGTTCCAGCAACATTACAATGGCAAATCTCCAATTTGATTTTTGCAATGGTGTGGAACAGCAATCTTCCATGGCTAGTTTTAGTCCCCTTAGCTTTCCTCTCAACAAACCAGTTCATCACATGGAGAGTAAGCTAAGCCAAGTGTCCGAATCAGCTCCAAAATACGGCACCAGCGATGCTTCTTCGGTGTTGCTAGACATGTCGAATTCCATATTCGAAGATTATAATGGAAAGGGCTGCTCAGAGGACGAAGATCCCAGTACACTCCACCAGCAATGTAATGGATTGATCTCAACAATAGTGACTGGGAATGTGCAAGTAGAGATTCCTCCAGGAAACGTCGCACAATTCAACGAACCATGGGGATCGATAAGGCCTGTGGGATATACTTACAATACTCCATTGATGAGCTTACCAGAAGCATGGAAGACAGGTTTTCTGTGGGACTCTTCTCCTTGTCCTAGTGAATTGTCCACTAATTATACTTCTAACAAATGATATAAATAGAAAAAGGTAGGCACAGTGAGTTTAATTCTGTACTCAGGTTTTAGTTGTTCTATTTTTTCTTCTTTTTTTTTTTCTTACACTGCTCTAAGTTTGGTGAGAACAGTGATAAAAAAATCCAATCACTATGTCTTAAAGTTTCTTCTACAAAAGTTGAATCAATGCTTCCTATGGTGTGTGTATGAGAGTTTCTTAAGACTTTACATAATATACCAGTACTGAAATGCAAATGTAGTCAAAAGCAGCAAGAATAGATCCAATATATATTTTAAGCAAACAAGAGGCACATTTATATACTCTATAGGCATTGGAATCTGTGGAAAAGAATCTGGTCTTGTTGTGTAAGAAGATAAATTTCATTAAGTCGCTCCAATTGTTGGTGTCTACATAAAGTAATCCCATTTTAGATATAGCCTCAAGCAAAGTTTTACAGGCCAAAGAAAATAAAGGGTGACTCACCATTCACAACAGAAGGCAATTGTGCAGACAGTCACTATTTCCTAATTACACATAAAAATTGTCAATGAGAAAGAACAAATCACAAAATTAACCCACCTTGATCAACTCCAGGTGCAATGGTGAATAGGAGAGCAGAATTAATTTAATCAAAACTGTAAATGATTAAAGGAATTCAAAAGTGAGTGTAGTAGCCATCAAATTGGCTACACGCCCAAAATCTAACATAGGAGACTCTTACAAGATTCAGAAAAGACTGCAGTATTCCAAAGAATCACATAAAAACACAAATATCAAATCAAACATTGATAGTTCCAAGATGCATCGGCTAATTGTATCCAAAAAATCAATTTCAGCACTACAAAACAAGATCAACTCTTAGTAGCAAGCTTTTCCTTGGCCTTCTGTATCTTCAACACCTTCTTCACAATCTTCTGTTCTTCGACCAAGAAAGCCCTAATGATCCTTCAACAAGAGCAAACAGCACAAAAGTCAGAAAGTCGAGAAATCAATGCAGAAGAATTGTATTACAAGTTATTATAATCACTTGATTCTAAACCAACCTTTCTCTCACAGCAGTACCAGACAAAACTCCACCATAAGCCCGGTTGACAGTTCTCCGATTCCTGGGTAGCCTAGACCTCTTGTATTCAGCAGGTCTTAAGTGAGGAATCTGCATAGATGGGAGATCAGCTCTCAAAATTCGAAAGACTAAAATATATGCCACAATTTCAAAATCAATCAAAACATAAATGGCCATAAAGAATTGCAATTAAGGGCAACAAATCAACAAAAAAGCTAAGATACTGTTAACTGAAACAAATTGGTTTATAGTCACCACCAGAATCTCACCTGTGTCTCCAAAATCATTGATGGTTGTGAACAATGAAATACAAAAAAGATAATGTTCTATAAAATGATACCAAAAAAACAAAAAAAATGCTGAACCATGAGCATGCAAGCATAAGCATGCATAGGCATTAAATTCCACATAAACGCTAAAATGGACTCAGCAATCCAGATAGAACTCCAGATACATACCTAAACCTTCCAACTTATTTAGAAAAACATCCCATAGCAAACAACAACACCGTCAATCAAAATTAAGTACAAAACATTTTTTGAAAATAAAAGTAGAAAAGCAACTCTCAGAGAATTATTTCTTCATCAATGGACCATAATAAAAGCCATATTTTGGTAAATATCAAACAGCCAATGCAATCAAAACTGAAATTAAAACTACGACTGGGGCAATCTTCATTCAGCAAGAAAAAATGAAAGGTAAAACGCTAAAATTTAAGCAGGCATACCCCTTGAATTCTCTTTCCAGTAACAGGGCACTTAGGACCGGTTGCCCTCTTCTTAGTACTCTGGTACACTAACTTCCCACCTTTAAAAAAAATAGAAATAAAAACCATCAATGTGATGAGCAGAATGGAGAAAAAATAAAGAGAAATACAATCTAAACATTACGATAAAATACTAAATCCACCAAATCTGACTGAAAGATTGATAATCAACCCTTAACAAGAATTACAAAGCCATGAGTTAATTACCGGGGGTCTTGACGATTCGGTGTTGGTTTGATTTTGTGGCATAGCTGTGCCGGGTCCTGTACGTTAACCTCTGCACCATCTTCTTCTTCACTCGAATGCACCCGCCCCTTCAATTCTCAGACGATCGGGAAGGAAGAACCCTCTGTTAGTCTAGAGTTACCATTATTAAAGCCCTAGATCCAACGGTGGTGATTCTCCATTAAAATCTACGGCAGGGATTTGAGAGGCACTTCATACTGGGCTGTCATGTTCAGCCCATTCCATTTAAAGCCCGTAATAATTATTAGTGCTACATTGGGCCTAACCTTTCTGGCCCATTCAGTGAAATAAATTGGGCCTAACTATTCCATACCCCATTCGAAGCCCAAGTGGGGACATAAAAGCTCAATTTAGTAGTATTATTATTATTTTTCCCTTCAGTTTTAAACTCACCAAATTATCAATACAATAATTATGTCCTAACTGAAGATTTGGTACCGACCAAAATGACCTAATTTATATACTGGCGTGCCCGAACACGGTAAGCCATTATTTTAATGTCGAGTAAAAAGATTTTCAATAGGAACTATATAACATTCGATTTTAATTAATTAATTAATTTGTAAGTTTCTATAATTAGCTTTGTCCCAAATATAGTAATTAAATAAAACCCATGACTCTTACTTCATGTGATCTACAATTAAACAACAATAAAATCCAAAACCTACCAACCAACTAATCAATGAAAATTTTGTAAGGTGGAGGTGGAGGGGCCTAATATGTGCATCATATATTTTATTTCTTAATTCAGACAGATTCTTCTGCTTCCCTTAAAAGTTCAGAATTATATTAAAGTTTATAAATTGTCAATGAGGACCCCATAAGTTTAATTAGCTGCTAAGTTTGATATTCTAATTTTATTGAGATCAACGGGACAACTTTTTTAAATTTTATCTGTTGTTCAAATATCAACAATTTGTCCAACAATTCTTTGAAAAAACAAAATGTATGATAATTAAAGGGGCTAGAATTGTCATTTTGCAATCATGAGAGGATTGCTCAAGCATGCATTATTAATTAAACAAATAAGAAACAGAAAAGGAAGACAATTTGAACATCTTGAGCACACATTGATTAGTATGCCTTCTAATCAAGAAAAGGAGGACAAATTAACATTTTTTAAATGATATTTATATTGTCAAGAATATTAGTATTTTTTTTGAAGGTACGCCAACAACCCAAATATGATGAATCATTAAACCCTATAAAGCCACATGTACAAAAAAAAATTCATAGTTATCTCATCTTAACTAGCAGAAAGGAAAACATGGATAAAAATCATATCTTGAATAGAATACTTTTAATTTTATACTCACGAAAAAAAAGTAAGGCAATAATAATAATATTGATGGAAGAAGAATGAAAATGAACTAGTGTTAATCTAAATTTAATTTCATTAAGTATATATAATTTAATAGCAGAAGTGCAAAAATGAAGTGGGTTGTCAGGGTGAAGAAGAAGCCCTGGAATGATTGGAGCTCTGAAAATGGATTCCATTGCTGCTGCTGTTTTCGTAATTGTTGTGGAAATGACGGCTGTGATCAATCTGGGTTTCTTCGCTTTTTGATCTGCCGCCGTTGGATTCGTCGTTGGATTTGGTGCCGTTGGATTCCTTCTTCCCGAAGGTGTTCTTGTTGTTGTGCATCCACACCTTAAGAACTCCTTTGCTCACACCAATTTCCCGGCAGAATTCCGCCACCGCGGACTCGTCGGATTTCTGCATTTTCCACCCATTCTTCTCCGAGAAGGAGTGCATTTTCTGCTTCTGCTCCTGGCTGAATTTCGTCCGGAACCGCTTCCGGCAGACCGGATTCTCCGTCGTCGGAGTCACCGGCGCCTGGTGGAGCTCCTCCGCGCTCAGCCCGAACAACGCGTGCGGCGCGTACGAGATCGGCGCCGCCGCCGCCGGAGGAGGCGGAGGAGGAGGATTCGGCGGTGGGGAGGGAGAAAGGGAAAACCTCTTCGGAGGGTGCCGGAAATCCAGGAACGGCGGCGTGATAGCAGCTCTTGGGGAACCAGTTTCCCGGCGGTGAAAATTGCGGTGGCAGCCGCAGGCGGCGCATTTTAGCGAAGTGGGGTCACTGGCGGTGGCGGAGGGAGACGGCATAAATTCACCGCAGCCGTCGACGGCGTGGCCGCCGATGGAAGCGGCGTGATTCTTCATACATTCTTTGTACGCCGTCGCCGGCGGCGGTTGGGTGTAGCTTTTGAAAGCGCCGCCGTTGGTGAAGGGCAGATGCTTCGCCGGCTGCGGCGGGGTATCAATCTCAGTTTCATCGGCGCGGCTCTTGGTGGAAGTGGTGGAGTCCAAATCCATTTTCAAATTTTCCGTCAACTACTTGTTTATGGGAAATTGAAGAACAGATTATATTTATGGGGGTGCGTGGGTGGGTGCGTGGGTAGTCAGGGCAGTAATAACCATATGGTGATTAAATTCATTCAAATCTGAAGACAAATAGTAATTATTATCTGTGGTATTCGGACACCCGTGTTAGTTGTAGTGAAATAAATATTGTAATTAATTTGAGGACGGAGGTCATGTGAAAATTAAATGCACACGTGGCAGCACCAGAATATGCGAGGCGGACACGCCCTGGCCCCCACTCTAACAAATTATTGCAAGCCCCTGCTGCCGTACACTAATTACTCACTACTTTTATCTTGATTATTTGTAATTAAGATACCACCTTAATTAATTAATTATTTACGTAATATATTTACCGAATAGTAATTACTATTATTATTATTATTATTATGGGTTTTACATAATTCACTATAATATACATTTCATCTTGTAAAGTTAAGTATAACAAACACATGTCATCATACAAATTGCAATTGCTTTTTTAAGTCATACAAACATACAATCATATATAAATAATTAATTGCCTGCTAAAATGTATGAAATTAGGGTTTGTTTAGCATGCAATTAGGGTTTTGACTCTTTTTATTTTATTTTTTTCTAGTACTATATTAGATTGATTGCATTGAACTACATATCTAAGTTATAATATTTAAACGATGAAAAAAAAAATCAAAATCAAAATCATATCAAAACATATGGTGAAATAAAGCAAGCACCATATATATATTTTTGAATCAATCGGCATTCAATTGATTGTACCACCATCTTTCTTTTGTAGTAAATTTTCTTGATATATTGTTCTCCCACATACCTCAAAATATTTAATTACTGCCTTCAAATTTATCTGTTTGTTTTAGAAGATGTTTTGGCAAGTGGATATTAATGAAAATTAATGTATAATCAATTGAAAACTTCAAAGTATTTTTACCTTCTTAGTAAAAAAAAAAAAAAAAAAAAAAACAATTGTTTAGATTAGAATTTCATTCCAAAGACATGAATATAAATATTTTTTGTTGTTGTCTAATTATCTAGCCGAAATTAGTTAAAGTTTTCCAACCCCTCTATACAAAGACAATAATTGAAGCTTCCCAAATCATTCGAAAAACACAAATATCTCAGTGGGGTTTTGATTAACGACAATATCTTTAAAAAATTATTAGTATTTGCTGTTTTAATCCTAGAGGAATATTAAATTAACACATAACTAACTCTCACAAAATGTAGTAATTTTTTTTTAAAAAAAATAAAAATAAAAATGAAAGGTTACTAAGGATGGAATGCTGAATTTAGAGTGGACTCCATACCTAACCATATTTCCATTTCGGGAAGACATAGATCAGATATGCTAAAATAATTATATAATTTCACTTTTGGGTTAATAGCTTCATTAAAAAATTTTAAAAAAAACTTATATGAAATCTTAGAGCATATCACTTGTTTAATCATTGTAGTTTGACTGACACGTAGTGGGGTTTATAGCCATAATTCAACCATATATTTTATTACTAAGTATTATGTACGAACTATATATTAAAGCTTTTTTAATTTTAAATATAATTAATCAAGTGGATAGCCAAGTGTCGATCTTGAATTACTTTTTTTTTTTTTTTTTTTTTTTCATTTTTCATGGATAATTGAAAAGTCAATAAGAATGGCTTTTCGGAATCTCAGACTAGTTAAATGAATTTTAGATTTGTATTGAAATAATCACTTAATTAAATATTGGGTTAGTATAAATTTCCAAAGCAAAAAAAAAAAAATAGTGTATGATTTATTACAAAAAAATAAATAAATAAAAATGAAAAGTTCCAATTGGTTGACATGTCAGGCAGCATGAATTAGTGCAAGATGCATCAGACATTTTGTAAATTAATAATTGAATTTATTGTCGTTTCAGAAATGTTGTCGTTTGGGAATGTCCGGTTAAATTATTGCCTTTTTGAATATGAAATCGTCTAAGATTTTCAATTTGGAAAATGAAATTAAATGGGTTTGGTTTTATGGCTCAAATTATTTCAATTAATAAGTTTTTTTATTATTTATTTTGATTAGTAGTAACAAAATAATTAATATTAGTGTGAATAATTACAAAAGTTGGAAGTGACAGATGAGGTGTATGGTTAGGATGTAATATCTTTAATTAGTGGATTTGGACATTGTCATTATCCTTAACAAGCACGCGCAATTTCCCCATTTTTCATATGTGAATGCATTGATTTTTCATCAATTACTTGAGATTTAATTTAAATTTCATTTAAACTTGGTTGATTAATTGTTTTATTTAAATTCTAACTAACATTATGAAATTGCCAGCTTTGAACCGTTATGCATTCAAGTCTCAACTACATTTTTTTTTGGGGGGGGGGGGGTGTAATAAATATATATCGTGCTATATGATTTGATAATAAATTAATAAAATATTTACAGTAGAGTGAGACCTCTTTGACTGTCTTTCATAAAAATATATATATAAATGGTGGATGTAATATTTGGACATTGAAGACTTGAACGGCAGCAAGAAAATTGCTTGTGTAATGGAGTATTAATTTTTTTTTCATAAAATGTATTTGTATTTTTTCACTAAACAAACCAATCTTATTGTGTATGGAAAAAAAAAAAAAAAAGAAAAGAAAAAAATTGTGTTTGGAATTTGGGTTTTGAATTTAAATTCAAATAAATTGTTAACGGTATATTTGTTGGCATATAGATTTTTGAATTTTGAATTTTAAACAATAGGAGTAAAATTTTAATTTTGAATAGTATTGGACGTGAAATAGATAAGTATTAATATAATTTTTAAATTTAAATGATTTTTATAATAAATAAGCTAAAAGAAACAAATATTTATTTTGATACTAGTATTTTTTGAAAAATAAAGTAAAATCTTCAAAAAAAAAAAATAAAAATGAAACCAACCAAATGTTTTGTTTCTAGAAATTTTTATTATTCACAATATTTTTTCCCAAAACATCCAATTCGATATATATGGTTTGGTTGAGTTCAATATACTAATCAACAATGCTATTTTAATGTTAAGAATAAAACATAATAGAATGAGTAGAATAAAATAATGACAAAAATATAAATAATAATATGGGGAGTGTAATAATCTTCATGACTTACAATATAATAATATGTGTTTCCTTTGGTTTGGTTTGGTTTTTTTTTTTTTTATAATAATAACATATATGCATATATATTTGGATAACTGAAGAACATAAATTAATTGAAAATACAATTAATGGTTATTGAATAATGATATTTGGATTTGAAACAGCAGTCAACACCCAACTGATCAATTAATCAATTCTGTTGAATCATATTGAAGAATTCAATGAAACCTACCCCATAAATACATTTTTCTCCAAATTCCATAAAATCAACTACACAGTAATTATACTTATATTTAAATTATTTTGTGTTGTCTCTATAAATGTATTAACAATATTCATCAATCATGCTAAACAATTATATATACAGTTTCTGTGATGGACAAAATTATTCATGTTCATGAAAGTAAATTAATAGTATAATAAAAGTGTGAGTTACAAAGTGGTGTGTGAAAATTGCAGATGAGCAAATAGCATCCATCCATTTGGGTTGAGAATTTATGTCCTTACTATGATGCCATGCCAAGATAAGGTTGTAATAATAATGGAAGTATCTCTCAAAGTAGCCAAATTTTTAAAAAGAAAGAATAGTATATATGTTATATACGGATAAAGATAAATATTACTCAAAAAATGACATATATATATATATATAAAAATAATAATCTTAATAATTATTCTGCCTCTGCCTTTAATTGACCGATTATTACTTTGGTTATAAATAGACCGCTGACCATGGATTATTATTATTATTATTATTATTCGAAATATTATTGTTTACGCTGTGGAGACGACATGAAAACAGTATGGCATAATAAATGAGTTTAGACTAATATAATTAATGACCTCAATTATGGCGTGACTCGAGGGACTGCTGCACCTTCATTCTCCAAATAATCAATCAATTCGTCAATTAATCAATTAAAGTTAAGAGCCCAAGTATGTATCATAATCAAACAGAATTCGGGCAGGCCCATCAGGCCAGATGGAGACATCATATGCCCACAACATGTTTGTCCAAATGCGTGACTGAATTACTTGTCCAAATTGCAAAGCTCGTCTAGTGTAGGTAAGGAAGGCATTATATAATTAATTAATTAATTAATAATTTGTGTTAGATATCATATTCATATATATATATATATATTATAATATCAGTGGCTTCTTTTGCGTGGAGTTAAAGCATGTTTAAATTAGGGTTTTTGCAATAGAGTAAGTAGAGAATCTGGTTGTCATGTCAGGATTAATTTAACACAATGCAGGAATTTCTCGCACGTGTCACCTTATATTTCGGATTCCATTATTCTTACCTAATCACAGATTTTATTTTTTCTTTTGGCATTCCACTACATACATGCATACGAGCATAGATTAATAACTTATGATTCGAGTGTTGTGTTTATTACAAGTTATTTACGTACGTACAGTAATACAACAAGTTGAAAGAAAAAAAAAGAGCATGTTTTTCTCACAACCCATGGCAATTCGATCGAATGTATGTATGACATAAAAGAGATTCGGACAAACTAATAAGAAACTCTTACAATGATATGATGATGATAAGAGAAATCAATCCCAACTGATCAAATCCGTCAAGTCGAAAACCTCGTATCGTATGCCCTGGCTTCTTTTCTCTTGATCCTCGATCGGATTCTTTATGGTTGAGAAGTTGGCTTTTGCAACAGCTCCGCGGATTCGGTTGGTTCTACGACATATATACAACACATAGCGCTACACAAAATCTTCAACGCGAAAGACAACGAACGAACCATATGGTACACCTTAGGGTAGTTGAGGTCAGGTCAGCACGCCTATGCCCGCATTTCTGCGTCTAAATCGTCAGCAGGCAGGCCATTGCTAACTTGGTCAAGTTCTGTTGTGGATAGGATCCGACCCTCTTCGAACTTTTCTCATGCTCGAATGGTTCGAGTCGAATTCGCTATTTTCCGGCACTTGTTTCTTTTTTGTACTCAAGCTGTTCTTGCCATGTCCCTTCAGCAAACGCCAATGATCCCTCCCTAATACTACTCGATCCGCTCTACCTTGTCCGAGAGCAACCCCGCCACTTCTCCCATCGTGCAACGACAACACAAAAGCCAAGACAAAAGCACAAACGAACAACGCAAGTACCCTAAGGATATACACAACCATGGTGTCTTTCTTTCTGAGAAAGCGCGAAAAAATAACAACTTCGGGTTTTATGACTTGGTTGTAAGAAGAATATAAGGAGGGATCGATGTTGTAAGAGGTGTAGGCAGCCCTGTGTCTCTTCCTATGTTCTATTCCTTAAGTAAAAACGAAGGGGAAGAGAATTGAATTGAATGGAATGCATAAAGATTAAAGCGACAATTAAGGGCCCAGAATCCATTCTAGAGTTTCGGATTCACTCCTAATCATGCATCGAAAAGTTTTAACCAAAATTAAAGCTGCTTCTACTGCTGCTATAGAAAAACAAAGTAGTAATAAATATCATTGAGATGAATAAAGGTGATTGGAACAACACCCTCAAGAAGCTAAGCATCTTTTCCAAATTGTTTACTTCTGGTTTTGAGCAGCCACAAAAACAGTCAGGCGGAATAGAACATCTTCTCTCAACACACAACATAAAGAAAAGATCCAAACTTTAGCTTTATATATGCTGCTGTTTAATTTAATTTAATTTTAAATTTTCATGCATCAGTAATCAGAGATAAATCACATGCCGAGAGATTACTTGCTTCTAGAGTGTTAATATTGCAAGATTCGGTGGTGTCTCGAAGAGACAATATGCGGTGGACCTAATTGAACAGCCTGATGTCGAAAGATCACATGAGTGAACTTATTCCCTGCCTTCTAATATTCTGAACTATGTTCAAAAGTGTTTTTGTAATCTTTTACCAATCTAATCTATGTTAGGCTAGAATGTACAATACGTCAAGCAATGTATGCCCCTGCGTTGCTGCACGCAGTCGTATCCGCTATAGATATAGAATCCTATCTATCTATCTACATATTGTTCACCTGTTCTACTTAATTTAGGGAGAAATGAACATTCTCATTCTGTCAAACAAGGCACAGATTTGACTGTTTTACGCCAATTGGTCGTACAGTCTACCCAAATGGGTTCAGTTCAGTCTAAGATCGATTGGACTAAAATTTGTACACACATAATGACAACAAAAGGAAGAGAAACATGTCATTGTCATTGTTTGATCATCATTGGACACCTTTTGTCACCAACAACGGTGTAAAGGGCAAAGTAGAAGTTACCCTGTGCGAGGATTGGCCTGTGCTGGCGTAGCTGATGCTACAATTAGTCCTCTTCTTTCGGCAGCTTGAACAATGATGGCTAACCGCGCAGCAGACAGAGCTGCAGCCTCCTGATCATATGCAAGACACTATTCAATCTTGAGAAAAAGACTTGATGATGGATTGCATTGTTGAAGAAAGATTATTACCTGTCTTTGCCTACGGCGCTGCAGGATGTTGATTGCCCAGATCATGATGTAGCAAGGCAGAAGGAACCCGACTGCCCGGAGCAATAATAGCTGCATTCATGAAGTGCTTGAGGCAATTAATGGCCATACTAACTGCATCGTGAATTAACACAACTGATGAAATAATCACTTACAGAGAAGAATGTTGATGCGTCTTCAGCCCCATCACCCTCTGCATCACCATCATCGGCGAGGGATACAGCATGCCGCAGTAGCAAAAGAGCCATCAACTATGAATGCAAGAAATCAATACCAAATTGCAAGAAGTGATGACAGAAATATCGAAGATTATGATTTGCAGATGCGAAGACTTACAATTAGCACAGCTGATCGACAAAAGGCTGTGCCACTTGTGTTCATGCCATTATAGTCATCGTATTCAGATTCAAGAAACTGCCGCTCAGCATCAGCAATGGCCAGAAAACGAGGATCGTGTATATCCATTGGAGCATCAGAAATCCGCCAAACTCCGCTAAAACATCAGGACAGTCAAGCTGGAACTAAAACTATTCTTTACTAGTCAAAGAAAACCAGCACATACCTAATGTCAATCGTAGTCTCGTCAGATGGAGGTCGCGGCGGCGTAGTATAACCTGGCTGATACGGCTGAACATCAAGAAGAGGATTGTTATATACACAATTTAGACAAAGGTACGAAGAGGAATCATTCAGATCATATATGCCTACCTGATGACAAATCTCGCAAGTAATGTCTCCCTTCTCGTCGCACCAGTGCTGGACGCATTTTCTGTGGGCATACTGCATTCAAATTCATACAATTAAGGTTCTGATCGCAAGAATGTATCAAAGACAAGATAGAATGACAGAAATTGACCATAAGACTCCAGCTACAGGCACAAGGTCGCTCCAAATTGTCGAGGGAGTCCTCCTCCTGGCAGATTCTGCACTCCCCCATCCCTATCAAAGGGGCCTGTTCATCTGCATCTTCATTGTCTACGCCCACCGCCACCGTGCCGCCTGGCGGCGGGGGGTCACAAGCGCCGCCGCGAGGAAGCGATTGACTTGTCCCGGCGGCCTCAGGCGGTGGTAACTGGTCCACATTCACCACCAAATGTTCGCCCATTTACGGATTTTTTCAAGCTTCCGGAAACAAAAACCCGCAAGAAATCCTCGACGCAATACGCCAACACAAACCCCTCGAGATTACAATCGATTGAACGCCCACGCCCTTTTCCGAATTATTCACAAAGATTGTTATTGTTATGACTATGTATTTTCGACCATAAGCTCTGCTTTCCTCTTTATTCGTCGTTTTTAAAACCTGCAAGTTAAATGAAAACGCCTCACGGAAATTCAACGTTAAAATGAAAACCCCATTTTTTGAGAATGGCGTAGAACAACATTTTTGGGGAATCTATTCGTTCTAAAAACTGACACCTGTTAACCAAAGAAGATAGAAACAACCGATCACGCTGGAATATGCAGCGGGATCAGATAATTTAAATTAAAGAACCCAAAACAAGAGTAAATAGACATACGCAATCAAGAAAAATCTAAAGAGAATGTGAAAATTGGCTATATATCAGGGAAATTGAAAAAATACCTGAGAAAAGAACCAAATTTGGGAACCAACGGAGAAAGAAATCGCGAATCTATCGCCCAACCAAGGAGAAAATTAAGGTCGAAATATGTGCTGAGCACTTATCTAGTTCAGTAAGCGCGTTTTGGGATAATATAGAGATTTCCTTTTACTGGGTTTGGGATTAGTCTTCTCATTTCTCCTTCCCTTTAAAGCTTTAACATTTCATTCTCCCCAATTATTGTTGAAAGAGGTGACAAAAAATGTTTTAAAAATCTCAAAGAAACCGTGCCTGATTGTGTCTCTCTCCATCGTCGTCGGATTTGGGTCCCACCTACGGTGACAGACCTTGTCTGGCTTTCAATGACGGCGTGCAATGCAAGGTCCATTGATTTGGAGTCAACGGAGAACTGGTTTTGTCATTAATAAACACAATAACACATGTGTCTGAAAGCAATGGATGAAGCTCCCGGACCTCGAACCACATATGAATCCTCACCATTCACGGTATGGTATGTGGGTCATCCATCGGTGGGGTGTGTGATTTCTTGTACTTTGTGCAAATCGTGAGTTGGTATATCTAACAGCTTATTCAAGTCTGGCATCCATCAAACCAACTCCTAGCTCTTAATGTATATGTGTGTTAATTCAAAATTTGCTGTTCTGCTCTGATCTTAGAGAGATTGGATTACATTCAGATGTTCAAGCCATGGCAGTATGAATTTCATACATGAACAGAAGGATGTAAGATTTCTGCTTCAACACGACCAAACAGACAGACAGACGCCATTATTGTTATGGAACATGACTGATAATTTATTTATCTTTCCCAATCACACAACACATTTCAAGAACTAACTATCAGTTTTCAACTGGTGGATTGGGCGTGTGGCGATTATTTGCTCCCGATCCCGGATAGTCTCTGTTGATCTCTATCTCCATTCTTCCATGCAACCACTCATCCTCCGGAAAAGAAATAACTCGAATCTCATGCACATCGATCTCAGCAGCAACACCTGTAATAAACCATAATCAAGAACAGTAGACTTATTGTCAACAAGATGTCAGTAGAAGATTGATTTGATTACTTGAAAATTCCGGGACGTCGAATGAGGAGATACAGCAGTAGAGAGCTACTATAACCACAAACAAGCGGAGACCAATATTGGCTGCAGCCATTTTTCTACAATTAATTACAGACAGAATTGTCAATTTAGCAATGCATAAAATTCATGTCCTGTGGAACCAGACAGGTTCTCTTTATATTCATTCATGCATTCTCTAATGGAACCCAGAAAGAGGAAAAGCATCCTGTTATGGAGGGTTACCTAACCTATCACTCTCCTGCCTGACTAGCTTAAAAAAATATGCACTGTATGCTGTCTGCTTTTTGATACACTGTCGTGGGATTTAGCAATATGATTAATAATCTTATATTCTTGGAACACTGTAGTGGAGCACTTTCCTGCAGATATAGATTAATGTCCAAAATTAGAAATTATAAATATGATATTGGATCTAGATGATGAACGAATAAGGTTCTTCTTTTATTCATGCCCCTTAGAATGAACCAGAAGTCGGTCATTACTTTATAATTTGTACTTAGTATAATCAAATATCAAAGCTTAAAGCATTCAGTGGCCACTGTTAGATGTTAAACCTAGCTAATTAATCAATGAAGGCAAGAACGTCGTCTTTTTCTTCCCAAAATATTCATTTATCAGGCCCATCATCCATTAGTATATATACGTTATGAGCTTTTTAATTGCCCGTGTGGGCTAAACAGAAAAAGCCCGACAATATAAAAATAACAAAAAAAAAGGAAAAAGCCCAACAAGCGGATTTTCATCATCATTAACGTCTTCGTCTTCTTCCTCCTACCTGCGAGTGAGAGATCTGAAGGTACTGCCGATCCTGAACCATCACGAGGTTGATGGCAGGCCAACGGATGCATGTGATGTACGCCTTTATAATTGAAGTAACGGAATAATTGTTCCGTGGATTATGGTCAGACAGAAGTGAAAAGACAAGGCAACTGAACAATGATGTAATAATATGTATCTCGATCGGGTCAATCTGGGATCGATTGTTAAAAAATCACGGACAGTAAACGTCTCAATTAATTAATTCAAGTCATATATGAGATCTCAATTTTCAATGTCCTGATGCCCTGCAACAAGTTTAAGTTTTAACCACACCATCAAAGTTATAAATCTAAAGCTAAAATTGTTCATAAGATCGATTGATAATTAGAAGCGGACAAAAAGAAAACAGATGGATGATATATATATGTGGCAAGAATGCAATTTTGGTGGCAGTATTTTGTGGGGTTAAGATTGATCATGTGTTCGGGGCTGGGCGTGGAGATTGACAGTTCAATCCCATGTGGGTAGCATGAACTCTTCTCCAGCGGCAGAAGCAGAGCAGAAGATTCTGCTGAGGCAACCACTGTGCAACAGTTGCCATATTCAATGCAGTTGAAAAAGATCGAAGGGGTTGGGTTTGGTTTGGTTTTGGGGTCTAGGACCAGAATTTGTGCCTGATTCTTGCAGGCCCATGACAAAGGGATGTCCACTTCTTACACTTGTTCATAGTATTTTCCCTCTCTCAACATCACACCTTCCACCTTTCCCTTTTCAGCTACAAACAGAACAAATTATCACAGGCCAGTGGTCCAAATTGCCCCCAATTGCTACTTTTTAATGTAGTTGATATGTATTTATTTGTACATACAAGGTGGATACATGCGTGCTTCTGCTTGTGCTTGCTTGCTTTAATTTGTGTCACATTCTTCTTCAAAGGAATTAAATAAGTAGAGAGAGAGAAGACAGATACAAATAAATAAATAAATTGATTAATAATTGAAAAAGAGAGGAAGAGGGAGATGAGAGGATTTGGGATATGACAAGACAAAACCCCTCAAATGATTCAATCTGATGATAATGAAGTTGCAGAGAAGAAGTAAGTTAGGCAAATGAGTTCAAACCTGATGATTGTTCTGGCGATCTTCCTATTACCCAAATGAATGAGTTTTCCACTGTTTTTCTTACAAACCATTTGACTCCCCAACAAAATGGCTGGCTGGCTGGCACTGTATTAAATTGGCAAGACAACATAAGAAGAGCATTAAACGGGGCTGGCTGTTCAGTAATGATGGATGATGAATCAAGATATGATTTTTTTGCTCTCAGGCCATCTCTTTCTCTCCTTTTTCTTTTTTTATTTATAATATTTTCTTCACAGGGCTCCAACCCCAAGAAAGTCTATAAATGGTGGTGCTAGCTTCTCCTCTGATGCATTGGGTGAAAATTCCTGTGCTGATGCTGTGAAATCTGAGGAGTAATGATAGTGAGACTGTTGATGGATTGCTGCACTCATGAGGGATGATGAGTAGTGTGGATTGGTGGCTTCCCAGCCTTTGCTGTGGCTGAAAATGCCCATCATGTCACCGGGGCTTGTGCTGCTGCTTCCATTTCCATTTCCATGGGGACCTCCTCCTCCTGCAATTCACAAAATACACAATTCTAATTACAATCCAAGAAACCAAAATTCATGAGCGGCAGAAATGGTTTTCTTTCTCTAAGCTCCTCCTCACAAAACATGATGAATGAATGGACACAAAACAATCAATGGCATTAATTAATTAAAATGAAAAGAAAAGAAAAGAAAACCTGGAAAGAAACCAAGGGATGCTGCCTGTGGTGCCCAAAGCCAGCTGTTGTTCGCCATTGCAGTGTTTCCGAAGTGATTATTAATGGAGTCCATAGCCATCGATCCACATAAAAACCCATTGCCGGAGGAGCCGTAGACAATCCCGCCGCCGGCAAATGGTGATTCAGAAGTAGGGATGGCTGAAGCAGCAGCAGCAGGAAGAGGAGGAGGAGGGACGTTTACAATATTGGGATGGGAGACTTGATCACATTCATCCTCCTCCATTCTTCTGAAAACAAATTGTCCCATTTTCCTCCTCCGGTAGGCGCTGGATTGCTCTCTGTACTTCCTCGCCATTATAACATGCCAATGGTTCTTCACGGCATTGTCGGTTCTCCCCGGGAAAAGCCTCGCAATCATTGCCCATTTGTTTCCGTACAGCCTGTGCGCCGCCATTAGCCTCTCTTCTTCTTCCTCAGTAAACGCCCTTCTGTTTATCCTGGGATCCAGCTGATTGAACCACCTCAATCTGCAGCTTTTACCTTCTCCCAACCCCCAATTCAGTTAACCCCAAACATAATTTTAATTATTACACAACAACAATAATAATGATACTACATAGAATTACTAAGGAAGAGATGGAATTCGATTAAATTAACGTCGATGTCTACCTGATCTTCCTTCCAATTTCTCGGCAATGAGATTCCAGTTCTGAGGGCCGTAGAGACCCACGAGCTCCTTCAGCTTGGAGTCTTCCGCAGGCCTCCAATGGCCTCTTGCGCAAAGCTTGGATTGTCCGGTGGAACTGTTGTTCGGATGATCCTTGTTGGTCAACGGCTGCATGTCGGATTCCCGGTCGTCTTCTTCGTTCAAGCTTGCATTGAGATCAATCATCTCCACATTGAAGTTGTCGCTGGAATCGGAGGCTTTCTCCTCCATTAAAAAACCCCAATCCGATTTATTAGAGCCTAATTCCGTTTCGAAGTTGGGAGGGTTTCTGCAGGCCGAAACTCCCAAATCGGAGAACACCATTCCCACCATTGAAGAAGAAGACCCTAAATTTGGAGACGAATAATAACAATTGGGGTTTGTTCTTGAGATTTGTGGCGGAGCAAGATCATATATATCGCTGCTGCTGCAGCTACCCAGCTTGTAATTGACGTTGCACCTGTCCATTTCCATTTCCATGTCCATGTCCATATCCAACCAACCTAATCTATTAATTAGTTTCCACCTCCACCACCTCACCTCAGTCTCTCAAATAAGTTGTTTATTTCTGTTCCCTTCTGACAAAATGGGAGCTGCTAAGCAACTGCAACTGCAACACGGTCGCACATCATCAATTAGGATGAGCTGGATGACGAAAAGCAGCAAAAGATTTTGGAGAGAGCGAGTGTTTCCAGATTGGGAAGTGAAAAAGAAAGCGATACAGTAAGAAAAAAAAAAAGAAAGAAAAAAAGAGATCTGCCTACACCAGTAGGGAGATCGACTCCGAAAAAATTAAGCCCTCTGGGAGCAGAATGTAGAACTGTAACAGAAAGGGAGGCAGATGGGTGGGTGGGTGGGTGGGTAGGAGGAGGAGAAGAGAACAAGGAGCAGTGATGGAGAACTTGTAAGGATGATGATGATGATGATGTTGGTGATGATCTTCTCACAGTGATTGCCCACACCAGGGACTTTTATTTCTGGTTTTATAGCCTCCTCTATTATATATATACACACCCTATATATATAATTACATACGCCTCGTATGCCTTGTCAGCTGTACCGTGCATACGATATTTTAAAAGAGATATAATTAGTACATAATTAAAAATATATTAGTAAAAATAATTATCCTACCATATAAATAATTATAAATTAAAATTAAAATAATTAATTAGTTTAATTAAAATTTTAAAAAAATAAAATTAAAAAGTTAAAAAAAAAAAAAAAAGGCTAACATGGAGATAGTATATACGACGGAGGGAGTATTTTTTATTTTTATATGAAATAAATATATATATATATATTTGTTTGTTTGTTAATTTAAGTTGAGTGTTTATTTAAGTGTGTATGTGAATAATAATTGGTAGCAACTACCTCAACAAAAATTAATTAATGACTTTGTTTGTTTGCAAATTATAACCTGATTTACGATTATTAATCATTCAGAAGCAACTGTGGATATTACATATTTTTCTCTTTACTTGTTAGCATTGTTGAAAGTCAAATTGCAATTTATAAATGTGGCAGATTATTTGTTTTGAATTATTTTGTCACAGAATATATTCATACATATATTTCAATACTCTTAGATGGTTTGTTATGGATGAATAAACTGAATAGCCTTATGTTTACTAGTATTTTTATTTTTATTTATTGCAATCATATTCTATATTCTGTGTTGTATTATCATGTATTCATATCTAAATGGAGACAAAAAAAAATTCATATATCAATACTACAAAATTATAATTCTATTGGATAAAATAAATATACCCTAAATGTTATTACCATACCTAAATGGAAAATCCAACTTTTTAATATAGAAAGGTTAATGATATTATGCTTTATTCTTTTGAAATATTATTAGTATTTTTTTATGAAAATAAACTACAATAATAATAATAATAATAATAATAATAATAATAATAATAATAATACAGCGAACTTCGAAAGACATACCCATTCATGTGATTGTAAATTGATCCGTACATCATTTTCGGAGTCTTTATGATGTTTTTTTTTTTTTTTTTTTGGTTTTTATTTTTTATATGTTTATGTTTTATGAGAAATGCATGCTTTGGTTGTATATTTTTTTTTTTTTTACTATTTTTATTTTCAATCTTTTGTTAGTTTTAAGTAAATTTTTTGTTAAATATAATATTTTTAATACTACTGATGAATATAAAAGTACTTTAACAAAAATATGTAAAAGATTACTAATGCTATGAAAAAATAGTTATAGGAGAGGGAAATTGATAAACAAATTCATCCACCTAAAAATAAACAAATTCAAATTTTTTTTCCTTCTCCTATAAATATTTTTAATGACATTAGTAGGTTTGAAAATTGAGTTTTACGTTTTAAATAAAAAAAAAAAATTTATATCAAAATAGTAATTTAATATTTAATTATTATATAATATAAAAACTAAATTTTTAAAATCATAAAATTACAAATAATAAAAAAAATTGGGACAAAAACCCTGAAACTAACATAACCTTAAAACCTGTAAGTATTTGATTTATTTTTGGATGATACATATATCTTTCTCCTTATTTCCCCCAGATAGATAGTTACTTATAGAATACTGTTACTTTAGAGACTATAAATTTGGTAGTTTATTCGATCTGTTGTTGAAATTTTGTTTCATTATAATATTGTTTGGTTATACATATAATAGTAATTTTAAAAATTATATTAAAGTATTTTAGAATTTATATGATGATAAATACATTTAATATATTTTTTTTTAAAAATAAAAACTATATATGTAGGATGCAGAATAATCATCTCACCTACAAATTTATTATGACGCAAATAGGGACGAAATACCTAGCTTAAACCCTGATACCATGTCGGATGCAAAACGTCTGTCTCACTAAATTTGAGTTTGGATTGATCCGATAGACGGAGCTACGGAATGGGCTAATTAATTTTTCTTTGCGAGAGACTTGTCGGTTAGACCTTGATCGACCACAATTTCCAACATATACATAATTTAATTTTGTAATAAATATATTTTTATTTTGAAAAGATAAAAAGTAGAGATCATGAGAGACATATATATTTTAAAAAGTAAATAAATATTTGATATGAAAGTATACTAGTCTTAACCCCGCCAACCCAATCAATAATCCAACAAATTAAAACTTTTCGTTTGTTTTTTGAACTATTAATAAGTACTCCTATGTTGGCAATCAATAACTAAATCCAATGTTGGTTATCAGAGCTTAAAAAGTGGGCTTAAGTTATTATCCCTTCCTTCCACGAACTATGTCCACGTTGCCATTTCTGTCCGTCTCATCATATACCATGTCACTTTCATTATTTTAAAAATGATTACACACTTTAATCTCATTTTAAATTTTTTTATTCTATTTTCTTTAAAATTTTAATTAAACTAATTAATTATTTTAATCTTAATTTATAATTATTTATATTGTAAGATAATTATTTTTATTAATATATTTTTAATTATCTATTAATTATATTTCTCGTAAAATACGGATGGAGGGAGTAAGTATCAGTAAAAATAAAATATGTTAATAAAAAGAAAATAGATAGAGGAGAGGAGTAGGGCTTAGACTGTCTGTCTCAACAATGACAAGAAAGAGTCCAACTTGATGTCTGCCCTGCCCTGCTACCTGCCCGACGACGACTACAATTCAATTCATTTCTTTCCTCTCATTTACAAACACATACCAACGTACAACTACACGTATACACACATACATACATATATATATATATATATATAATCACTCCCACAGGCCAGCCACAGCCACAGCCACAGCCATAGCCAAGCTGAGGCACACAAACAAACAAGCAAACCCTACCCATTGATTAATTAATGAATATGTACATATAATATATATATTATGTGTGTTTGTTCTTAATTGATTGTATGTCCTACAGACACCAACATTATATATATTGTCAATCCTAATAAAAACCATGCCTTTCTCCCTCCCTCTCCCTCCCTCTCTCCCTATCATCATCTATCTCTTTCAAATGTTCTTGCATCACCCCACCCCACCCCACTCCAGTGACTAATACTTTATTATGCATGAATAAAATTATACTTAGCTTGCGTTGCGTATCCCTATTGTAGAAAATTAGGAAGAGTTGCATGCATTTATTTTTTAAAGAATGATGATAAAAGAAACAGATTTAATATTTAAAAAGGAAAGCCAAGTAGCCAGTAGTGCAGAAGAAGCTTGCATTAATTTATTATATATTGATGATTTAATGCAGGCAGATGAGAATGTACCAAATTTTTTCAGTGAAACTGATCCCATGATATCTATCTGACGAAGAACATTTTGGTCAATAAACCCTTTTAATTTAAAACTGGGCGGAGTACAGTATAATGATATTTTAATTTAATTTTTGTTTTGTTCTGTATGCCTATCTCATCACTCTTTAATTCACTCACACAAACACATTAATTACTAATAAATACACACCAAAAAATTGAAAACTTATTATATACATATATATATATATGGATTAGATTGATTTGCCCTCAAATTTATTGCAAGCCAGCCAGAGGGGTATTATTTTTATTACCATTTTAGGTTTGACCTGATTTATGCACAGGATGGTATATATATATATATATATATATGTTTTGTTATTGCAACAACAGATTCTTAATTACCACAGTAATATCCGATCCAAGCATGCATTCTTTTTCATGTGACTACTGAGTACTGACTGCTGTTGTCTGATACTCATACACTCTCTCTCTCTCTCTCTCTCTCATCCAGACATGACATTTTTTACTGCCTGCCAATGAAGAATTAATCACTAGTCATTAATTAATTACAATCAATACAGTTTGGTTAACTAACTCACTCAACTCTTGTGAGGGTGGCCGATTGAGAATTGAGATTGAGATTGAGATTGAATCCACACCGTAGATCGTGCATGATGATATATGGTGGTAAATTAAATTAAATTAAATTATATTAAATGTGTGAGTGGAGGAGGAGACAAGGACAAAGAGGCAGCAACAACGTAGTTTCCATCTTTACTGACCATAAGATATTTGGTGTAAGAAGAAAAAGTTAATAATCTGCTTCTGTATATATACGTGTGGTGTGTGCATGTGTTGACATGAGAAGTGTATATATATACATATATACTTTGTAAGTATTGATTGATTAATTTATGAAATTTAGATCACTCCAAATATATGCTTAATTTCATTTCAGGAAGAAAATTGTTACCAGCTGTGATTTCTTTCTTGCCTCCCCCCACGTGTGTCTTCAATTCCTCCTGACTGCACTGCACGTGTGAACCCTAATAATTTTGACTTTTACAGTAACAATGATTGATGGGAAGCAGTCCACTTTTTCTGAACATCACATATATCAATATTTTTGCTGAAATTTTGTCCTATGATCTGATCCTGATCCACTACTACAAGGATGATATAATTTTACTCCATTATACTTATATCATCTCTTTTCTCTTTATTATAATTATGCCTTTTTAATTTTGTGTCTGCTTAATCAACAAGAGTTTAGGTTGTGGAAAAAGTAATCAATTTATTAATGAATTCTGGTTGTCCGTACCAAGTTTGTTAGTCTATCCACCAAAAACGCAAGCATAACCCACTTATATTGTTTGAAAAAAATATTGTCCTAACACAAACATGTGTGCTGACTGACCAAGAAACACATATTAAAAACAAAGGGCCTACAAATGCATATATATAAAACAATTCAAACAACATCATGTGTGGAAACCTTGACTCTGCTAATCCATGTCCAAGAAAGATTATGGAGAAGATAAATGAAGAGTGACCCACAACACTACAAAAATAGGTTCTACCATGAGATTCTGTTGAGCCTGTTTCCCTTGGACACATATATTGCATTGTTGCCCATGCCCACAAGAATAAAAATGGTCACAAATCGAACCAATTATAACATGGGATTCTAATTACTACCCATGACCAAATTAATTAAGTAATTAAGTATAATGGCAAATATACAAAAAAGTCCCAATTCCAAAAAAACAAGAAAACATCGATTATCAGTTTGTAGGGCAAGAAAATTAAATACAACATTAATTGATGTCAAGTGAGATACATAAGCTAAAGCATATTATGAGAGGCAGTTAGGTTTGTCCATTGACCATGGCCAAGTGTTCTTACATGTTGTTGTCTCCTTATTGCAGCTGGTGGGGTTTTTAAGTCTGTTGTTAGCCAACTTGTAATTGTGGTTTCGAATGCTGTGGATGATGCTATTTCAGTTAACAACAAACACCTTCAATAAATTAATAAATTATTGTACTAGTCTATATATATATTACAGTGTATGTTACCACCATTTACCAATTAGCCAAGGTAGGGTTTTTATATCAGCCATTGAATTAATTAATGAATTGGGTCTAACTAGCTAGGGCACGTCCAAGAGGGTGAAGATCAGTTTACATTTGAAAAAAAGATGAACAGAAATGAATCCCATATATATATATATATCTATATAACACATAGCACATAGCACAGCAACAAGTGCAGTGTAGTGTAGGGATGAACAGTGGAGGAGAAACAGTATCCTGACAGAACTCGTTAGGGCAAAGGAAGACCTATAACATACCAAATGAGGTTAGTGTGCTAGGCAGCAAGACCTGAGCAAAATCAAATTCAAAATTATTGTTTCCATTCCATCCAAATCAAAAAAAAAAAAAAAAAAAAGGGGCCAACAGAGAAATGAAGAGAAGAGAACAGGATCAGTAATTGCTTCCATCTTATCAAAGGACACCCCAAAGCTCATTATTGTTCATACATGTGGATGCCCATCTCCCAACTACCTCTCTCTATTTTCGATTTAGTTTCTATACCACTTTTCAGATTTATCACAGCTGTTGTTTTTTTTCGGTTTTTTTTTTTTTCATTATTATTATTTTTTTTCTAAAAAAAATAAAAAGTCCAGTCATATCATATCCATCATCACTGGAAACCCCATCCTCTTTCTCTTTGTGCACATCAGTGAAAATGCCCACAATGACAGTGTCAACGCCAACAGTAAAAATAATTGTTCCATACATCGTTTTTTTAATTTTTACTAGAAAAGGTAAGTACAGGTTGGGAGTTTTCTGCATTTTGTGCACAGTAAATGCCAAAGAGGAGTTTGAACAATTAATTCATTTAGTGGTGAGTTTGCATACGAAATGAAACTCACCATACCATCCTGCTGCACCTATGGAATTGATTTTTCCATAGGGGTTTTAATTAAACTGTACTCCAATGAATTGTACAACCGACTAATTAACCCTATTCCCTATTTGTCGATGAACTATTTTCTGTTTAAGATTGTTGACGTCAACAGTTTTTTTTATTTTTATTTTTTTCAAATTCTACTACACCTACTTTGCACATTTAACACTCTGTCATGAAGAACACTGCCCCCACTGCAATTAGGTTAAGCCAGCAGGTAAGGGGTAGTTTTGGAATAATACAGTTTCTTGGTACAATGATGGAGAGACACAGACACACCATGGGCCAGACAGAGTCAGCAGCAATTCTTGATTGGGTCTTGGTGTTGGACCCCAGCTCCCTGGACCTGCTGCCTGCCTGCCTGCTAAGCATCAATTGTAATTTTGCAAACATTGTAGAAGTATACACCCATGTATCTGTATCTATATGTGTATGTAATTTAGGAGAGACTGAAATGGGTGGCAGCCCACAATAATTTGGAAAGATTTGACATTTATGCTCATTGACATGTAAGATACAGAACCAGAAGTAAGCAGGTCAAAAGAGGAAATTAGATGTAGGTGTGATAATACTGACCCTTTTCTCAGGAGTAATTTATTACTGGCAAAGTGGCCATTGGGGTTTTGATCATTTCCAAGAAATGTCAGGCCTGTTCTGTTCTCAAGTAAGCATTCCACCGAAGATCACAGACGTGTATGTATATATATATGTGTGTATCCTCAGCCCTAACTGAATTTAGGGTTTTGTCCTTGAGTTTCCATTGGAGGAACATATCCTATATATATATATACATTTTTTGTGGTGATTTTAGAAACCGTACAGTTCTTGCAATGTGCAGGTAAGCCTGCTGCTACCCTATCTGCTGCACATAGATATGTATATATGCATACACGTATTAGTCGGCCCTTTGATCTGAAACTGCCATTTTAAAATATAAACTCAAGACGACGTGTATAAATAATTATGTGGGCTTAAAGCCCAATTTAGCCCATCAGTGTAATTTGGGCTTCGAGACGATATTGGGTGTGTAATTTAATGATAGGTCCATTTAAATGTAAGAAGCCCAAAAGGACCGCCGATGAACATTGCGGCAGTTTCTTGTTTGTTTCATATTGATCTCGATTCAAAATTTCAAAACAAGAACGTCGAAGAAGGGACCATTAAAAATTAGCCCCCCCCTATATCTCGACTCTGACAGAGATATACGATACCATACAACGTTAACAATTTAATGATGTTTGTGACCACGAAATATCTACCGGAATTGGGCTCCGGCGAAGGTCTGGCCGAAGGCCCAGTTGCGCGGTGCGACGTTGCGCGAGACGACGGTGCGGCCGTCGCTCGTCGTGACCTTGAACGAGAGGCTTTGCCCGTTGAGGTTGGCGTTGTTCTGCCAATTCTGTCCCCAGTTTCTGGACATGGCCTGCCAGCGTGGATTCGACCCCTTAACGGACGCCGCGTGGACATCGCCGGCGCCGCCAACGTTGGTTATGAGTACAAGGTTGAAGTAGGAGTGGCCGTTGATGGTAAACCTGATGCCCCCTTTCCTCTTGCAAGGCACCCTGCCCCCATCCAATTCAAGTCAATTATAATGTTCAATAATGGAATTAATGTAATAAAATAGGTAGTTGTTACCTTCTGTAAGAAACGGGGACAATTCCAGCTTTGTACTGAGCAATGCGGAGGTAGACAGGCTGCGCCAGGTCGAAGTGTTGGAGGGGCGGGTTGCACCACCCGCCGGAGTTGCTGGGTAGGGCCGGGTTGGGCGGGCAGAAGTTGGTGCCCGTGACCACAACGGACCCGGGCAGGCACCATTTCCGGTCTCCGGTGCACCGGATCTCGAAGCATGACCCGCAGCTCAGGCCGCTGTTGAACAGGGCTGTACTCAACGCTGCCGTGTTTGTACCATACCCCTGAGCGTACAAATTCCCATACCCACAAGCACCCCCTGCAGTAAAAAAACAAACAATATAAAACAATTACAAATACAAATACAAATACAGTTATTAATGAAATAAAGTAAGGCAATTAAGATTACCCATTGTTCCGGTGGCGTCGCCGCCGCCGTAGAAGGTGGCGTGGGCATTGATCCAGCCACCTCCGGCATTTGCAGAGACGACTGAAGCCAGGATGAGAATGATGATGATGGGCAGTTGAAGAATCGCCATTAATGAATGAATTCGCAAGGTGGGCTTATGAAAAATTGTTGCGATATAAATATACAGAGGGAGCAGGTTAGAGTCAGAGAGTCAGAGTCAGAGTCAGAGGAAGACGACGAAGAAGAATCCCTCGGGGCGTGGTGTGAATGTGATGAGGGGACCGTCTGATCAAACCTGCTCAATAAATTATCACTGTAACTAAATAATTGATGATAAAAAAATTGTGCCAAATCTCTATATTATATCTTTATTCAAGATCTACATTTTAATTTGTGTAACTGCCTAAAAAATTTCACTTCGTACATGTCGATGTAGATCCAGGTTCGCATTAATTGAACATTAATCATGCCATGTGTGTGTGTGTGTGAAAATATGAACTTTGACAGAAAGCCGCCTCCTCCATTTCTCCTCAACTTCCTTATTGCCTTATTTTAATCTCCAATTTGACTTTTACCCTTTTGTAGTTTTTAAGGTTTTGACTTTATTATATTTATTGGGAATAGGAACCCTTTTTTTTTCCCACTTTTCTCCAAAATTGGAACTGGATTCTGAAGCTTAACCACAAGAAATAGTTCCCTTCACTTCTCCAGATATTTTTTCTACTGCATTACCACAATTAACTAATTTTAGACTAATTATTTGCTAGATTGATGATTCATCAACAGTTACTGGTAACATCTCAGTACATTATTAAGTAGTGATATTATTTGATCCCGACATCAATATCTCATTAAAAAATCCCCCGAGGTTTCCAAGATTGGATTCGAAATTAATTATACGCATCATTGAAAACTGGTCAAAATTGATCACTGACACCGTTAGCAATAATTGGGCCGAGATTCTTGCTATTATTATTACTGGTAGATTTTTTTTACATCAATCTGATTGTACTTATTTAGGTACGGTAATTTTTAAAAAATATTTTTCTAATACGTGTGCGGTTAATATAATTCAGCTTTTGAAGAAAATAAAAGTCAAACTTACACACAGTTGATTACTTGATTACATAATTTATTTACCATAATTGCTATAATTGCTTACGATGTTGTCCATAACCCTATACATTAGCAGTTGTTTTTATTCCTAAATAGGAAATTATATACAAAATGAAATAAATAAATAAATAAAATCTTAGTAAAATCTTAAATAGCTGAATTTATTATTTCCACGATAAGGGCTCGCCGGCCGAGGCTGGCGGTGGAAAGGGACAAGGGTCACGTGCATGGATCCTCACTATACCCTGTTTGGCGAGTTTTGTTATTTCTGATATTGTGTTCGCTCCCTTTTTATTTTCCACAACTGTTTTATTAATTCTACCAAACATGGCCTTGAGGGGACAATAATGTCTTTTAGCAGAAAAGAAATAAACGGTCGATAACCAACCTATCGTTTTTCGGAAATCTTATTTATTTTTTTTTTGGAACTTACACCCTTTTTGACACGTATTTAATCAAACCGATCTGGACCGTCCATCTCTACAGAATTTCCCTTTTCTCAACGCAAGAATGTGTTTGATTTGTGTAGATGCAATATTTTATTAAACATGAATTTTGTGTGTATATAAAAACTGATAAAATCAGTGGTCAGACAGCACATGGGTAAAGTAGTAAAGACAGGAATTTGTTAGATTGTTTTTTGTCACGAAATCTTCTTCGAATTTGAACACAACAACAAACATTTCATCACATTACATTGCATCATGGTATGGTATGAAGAAAGAACACTATTACATTTGTTTCATAATTTAGCTCAAGATCAAGATCACTTCTCCTGATTTTGCTTCTCTGAACTATGGGAATCACCACCGCTGCTCAAAGTATTGTTCTCATTTTCATCGGCGGCCGCACTTCGATCATCCCGGATTTCGCCGGGATGGTTTAGCCTGTCCGAATTGCAACCATCTGATGACAATGCAGATTTAGCTGTGAATCTGTTTATTTGCAAAACAACTTAGTATGAATGACAGGATGCTTACCTTCATCTTCCTCATCATCGGATGGCGCATAGGCTGATCGGGACCTTGCTTGTGGATGTGGCGTTGGCTGTCGAGAAAACAAATTCGATCAGACAAACATTGATGATCAATAGTAGTAAAGAATTCGATATATCCATCGACATTCCGGATCAGTTGGGACAGCCATCTAATGTGCATTAACAATATTCTCCACTAGAACAATATTAAAAGACACAAATGGTCTACAAATTTTGCTGTCCATTGCACAAAAATGTCGATCAACATAAAGGAGAGTATCCGATACCTGCAACTTGGGCCGGAGAGCCTCCACCGGTCCTTTGCTTTTCTGCTAAACAAACTTACGTTCAGACATGACTCTGCATTTGGTTAAGGATTTTCTTGTGTGTGTAAACGAAAGCTTACCTTTCCCAAAGCCCAATCAGCTGAATCAAAGAACGCCCGCTCGCTGTCCTGCCAACACAGATGTTCAAATCTTCCATTACTAACTCAAAGTTTCCGATCATCATCCAGCATTCAATAGCATAATCAAAACATGGGAAGATGGACGATACCTTGGAGATTAAAGGAGGCCTTTTAGGGAGTAAGCCACCATACTTTTTCTTGACGATCTCTTCCTGCCGACACAAATGTAAGTTTCAGAAACATCAGGATTAATGAGATTTTGCAAATTAAACCAATGTTTACAGAAGAAATACCAATGGTGTTTCCTATAAGCATATATACCTCCTGCTGCTTGGAGGGCATTTGGTGCTCCTCCGATGGAATATCGACATCTTTTGCATCGTCCGGCAACGAAACTTCTGCCTCATCTACTTCCATGGCGGCAGCCGACAGATTAATTTCCTCTTTGTCATTCGCATCAGCCATTCTGCTCATAAACAAATTTATTAACAACATATCTTCAACTTTAAAAAGATGAACAATCAATTCATCAAAAAAGCAGCACACATCTGCACAAAGTAATTGTACTGATTTTAATAGTAGATTTCAGTGATCACTATTCATTCTGTCAAATGATTGAATTGAAATTTCAATACACAGCCATAGTTACAGACGTGTTATAAGTTAAGAGTTGAAGCTAATATCGATGAAAAAAGTGAAGCTCTATCCTTGAGACAACTTCCATTTCAATAATTTTACATAGGCTTAGTATTGAAAGAAGAGAATGACGATGCAGATACCTGACTAGAAACTGGAGGAATTCTGGAGAAGAAGACGATCGATCAAGACAAGAAGAGAAGCAAAGATTGCGTTTTTTCACTCTCAGGAATAAAAAAGCTGAGCATCAAAACTGTGCACCGATGCTTTGGGCTTCAAGTCCCCGTGAGCCGTCGAGCAAACATTAAGATATTTGATATGGGCTTGAAGTATAATCTATTTAGAAATGGTTTACAGCTTTGGAAAAATGGTTCAAGAATCTGTCACCGATGGGCCTTTTTAATAACTTCTGTGTAAATATGAATAGAATCTGGTTCTTGAGGTGATTCTATGCACTATATGTATGTATGTATACATCTTAGTTTCCTTCCCTTATGGGCTCCACACCTCTATCAAACATGGGATTTGCTTCAACCTAATCATCCATATTTTGATGACCATTTCAACCATTTTATAAACTCCATGATTTAATTAGCGAAAAGATTGGGAAAATATACGTAAGGGGTGTCATACATTTTTTGTTTTGTTGGGATACTAACAGTCACAGAGAGGCTGATTGTTGCAGAAAAGGGATAGGCATAATCGATTGGGAATGCGTAGCAAAGTGCCTAGAAGTCATCACTTTCCCCCATCCCTTATCTATAAACGGAATCTCTTGAAAAGTTGACATCATCTCTCACCTTTGTACCATATTAATAAAAAATGAATTTCTCGTCTCTCTTCTTCCTTTCAGTCTACTTTACCCCTTTCTTTTTGCACTATATTTTATTTAAGTGAGTTGAATGTGTAATAATAGCCATAATATTTCACTAATTTTTTTTTGATCTATTAGTACTTTATAACGTTTTCTTGAAGAAGTGGTTATAAGAGATTTCTCCCCACAGCAGATCTTGACGTCAATGCCAGTTGTTGGGATTTTTGAATGGCAACAGCAGTGTACATGGTGATGCTGATGTTGATGCTGTTATATATACGAAAAGGGATATCAAATAATACCTAAAATCTGGCTGTTGTCAACCGCATTCAAATGCTGAATCACAGAATCATCTCTCTCTCACAGTGATGGGCACTGTCCACGTTGGGCTTCTGAAATGGAAATATATCAATTATCAAGCCTTGGGTAATGATATAATAAAAATCCCCGAGTTATTTTTTCAAGAAATATTTTAGTGTTCAATGTTCACACATGCGCTCTCATATTTGATGTAATTTCAAGTTTGGTCAGACAACCTTTTGCTTAATTGGGATCATGTGTCTCTCCATTAATTCAACCATTCTTAAGATTTCATATACATGTATATATATGTCATATCAGACTTTTGAGTAACAGAAAGTGAAATCTATCCCTTGCTGCAGGGGAGAGAAAGAAGCCCTTCTTTCTTCAAAATTTGGTTTTTGGCTCAATTGGCTGTTTGTAGCCATTGTTGAGAAGGATCAATTATCATCAATGATCTTTTATGTGAATACGATGCAGGAGAGATGCAGCCAAGGATGACTTGCCGGCGAACTGACATTTTCCTAAACCCATGCTCTTAACACTGTGAACGCATGGCTTCTATGATTTTTCAAAATTCTGTTTTTTGATTCTACAATTCCTTTAGTTTTTTTAATGGGGTGTATAATCGGCAAGTTCTTCTTGGCTACATTTCTCTCTCGTGTTTATATGTAAGATCTTCGGTGACACACATCAATGGTGGTTATGTTGACAGGAGATCAAGATCCAACCAATATTGGAAATTATACTAGGAAGTCGAGGCCAATGCTGTCTGCACAAACACAATGTAAGTTTCATAATCCCTTGTATTTGAGCTTGCAAAATAATTTCCTGATGAAAGAATTTCGATACACTGGCAAGCAACAAGCTACAGCAGCCACTTGTATATATATATATATATACGTATAAGTATATGTCTAAAATCTTGGTTTAATCATTCAAGCCAACAGCTCCACGAGTTTGTCTATTGATTCCAACGTCTTCTCGTAAAACACGTAAGATTCGTAAACCTTGGGAGTCCGAATGTAGTGATCAAACTGTTCCAAGGATTCAATAATAAGTTTAATAGAATTCAAACACACACACAAGCATGTATGTATTGGATCTGACAAGGTCTAGGTATATGTACGTACCTCAGCCATGTTGTCCACTAGCTCATTTGCAGTCCGGACATAGGACTTTCTGCGGCTTTCCGGCACCATCTCCAAGGCAGTTTTCATGTCCTGAGAAAGGTAGGATTGCTTTACTCGTATGTAGAATATGATATACCTCCATGACATGGTCTCCAGCATATTCCTGAGGGAATGAAGTCCTTCAGCTGTCTGTCGAATTCTTGCCACTGCATCCTCAGGCGACAGCCCAGGCTGGAAGAACTTTTCCAATATAAAGGATCGTGTGCCCCAATTCTGAGCTAGTGCTGGGGGAGTGGCTTGATGCAGGCTTGATAAAGCCACTGAAGTGCTCAGGAATGTGGTCAGGAATTTTCTTCTTGGGATTGGATTTTCTTGATCATTTGACGATGTTGTTGCTTGGATCCTTGGCAGGAGATGGTGGTGCTGGTTTGCAGCGGCGATGCGGCTGTGGAATGCGGTGGCTGTGGAGTTTGGAATGGCGGCCATGGCTGGTGGAGCTTGTTGAAAACAAAATTGGGATTGGGGCAAAGAATTGTGGGATGATATGTGGTGGTGATGTTTCTGCTCCGACATCAACATGGACCTCTGGTTTTGGTGACATGTAATATTATTCAATTATCCTCTTCATTTTTGTTGAAAGAAATTCGACAGAGCATAAATAAATGGGCCTGAATAAAAGCGGGATTTTGAGCTTGCTCATTAAACGGCGCCGTAGCAGAATCAAATCCCTAAATTTTCTCACTGCCGAGGAGGCTAAAATCTTGACTAATTCGTAGTTCCGGGTGTCATTTGCGAAAAAAGCTTTTGCATCAAACAGGCAAAATCAGGGCTCTGAATCTGTTTTGGAATTTGAGTACGTCTTTGTGTTCTTAAAGTTTCTTGTTTGGGACTGACTGCTCAGTTGAAATATAAATGTATTTACCTCGTGATTTTTCAGTCGAGTTAATCGCTATATGCAGTTAGGGTTCTCATGGTAGCTTTGACAGTCCATTAGGTTGAGGATCAAGAATTTGTGTATCTTGGTATTATCTCTCTTATATTGGCAGCACGCAATTGCGGATTTGCAGAGTCCTGCTTCGGTCTTACAGTTAAATAGGAGCTCATTTGAAGAATTGTAAGAAATTCCTGTTCTATCGATTGATGGTTTCTTGCTTAGGATTCTTTTTAAGCATCCCACCTTCATCTCCCCTTCTGTTCTAGAGTTACGAATCAATTTGGGTTTCTGCACTATGATCTGACAATGTAAATGTATAATAACCTTGGCTGCAGTGCATTTGATGAGATGAATTTTGGAAGATTTCACTGACCCACTTATGGTAGCTGTGCCCACACACTAGTCATTTTCTACGATTTGCAGGTGATAGTTTCTTATCAATTCATAATCCATTTGTTTGCGATTTTGCGATTCTATCATTTGTAATTTGCTCTGTGGTTGAAGTTCAGTGTCGTTTTGAATATTTGATCAGTAATGCTTGATCAAATTATTTTTGTAGACAAATTGATAAGGTAGATTCTTTGATAAAAGGAAAAAAAAAAAAGGACAAATGAAGGAAGAAGAAGCTTCTGGTTGCACTTCACCTCTCTTAATTCTTCTGCCTTCTTGAGCTGTAGTTCCTTGTTATGACAATGTGTGTAATGAATCACTACAGATAGGGTTGAGGTACATTTCAACAAAAAGAAAGTACAGCTATTCAAAACCATATCTCCAACTAAGCCTTGTTAACATCCCACAAAAGTCTGATCAATAATTGTTGCCAATTTGGTCAAAGTAGAGCTGCAATGGCACTATCTACTTTCGGAAGAAAATGACATAAATTGTGATATTTCAAAGGACACAGAGAAAGGGAAGAAGCAATGAAAACCAATAGATGGATTGAAACTATTGTACATCTGTAACTCTGCAATGCATTAGTTGGGATTGCAATGTTTTACAGAACTTGATCACTATTTGGCTAAACCAATCAAACTATTTGATATACATATTCGATGGCCAGATTATCTGAATTGTTGATGAAAGCCATTGAAAGTAGTAAGTTAAGAATTGCAACTGACTAATGTTTAAAGATCTATTCTTTTCGATTTTTAATTAGATGATTCTGAGGGAGTAAAAATGGGACCTTTCTGGTTTCTACTACAACACACTCAAGATAGATTGTAAGTGTTCATAAGTGAAAAGATTGTTAGAACTGCAGATTCATATTCTTGTTACCGCCTGAGAAGATGTATTTTATTGACATGAAGGTGCCATCGAAGTTATAAACGAATCATATAATAATAACACAATTATGGAAGCCCTTTGTGAATACATATACATATGAAAATGCTGGCTGATGTTCCAATTTATCTTTAAATAAAGAATGATAGAAAAATATTTCCTTAATTGATCGACATAAGCCTAGATTCAACCTAAGCTGTTACGACATATGTCAATCCGAATTCAGCCTGATCCTAAAAGGGAATTTTGTAGATAGTGTCGATGTCACTTACAGGACAAAGCATGCTATGATAAAGTTCTTATCCTTTCAGTCAACCACATCTCTAGTTCAATTATTATATTTTGTGTCATGCTGCTACTTGCAAGCTATTGAATATTTTTTTCGATGAATCTTTGGTTCTAACATATATTTTAGGACTTGATTAGGTACTTATGTATTGCCAGTCAAAGAATATTTAGTTGGAACGATAGGAATCTTTTATATCATTTCAAAAACAAATAGCAGAGATATTCTACAAGTAGATTAAGGTTCATCTGTGACCTAATCACACACTTTTAGATCAGAAAATTCTGCAGCCTAATATTTAAATCAGAACATGGACTTTCCTACAAGCATTTCTGATAAGGATTGCAAGATTTTTCCGAGTCGACAATGACAGCTTTTGCCAATCTTTTGTACACTTGCTGCCTTTGTTCTTCATCCCCAACTTGCTCTTTTCTTCCAGCAATTCATTCATTCATACATGGGGTTCATGAATATTGCCTGGCTCACTTGAAACTTTGTGTCATCTGTGTACGGTATCTGCTCTTGCCCTGGATGATTATACTTCCCGGTTGATGATGTGTTGTTGTTTGTTGTTTCTTGATTGTTGAACGACATATTGCAGGCGTTTCCTTGCATAATTTGGGACATTGTGGCCATGTAGTCCAACTCCCACAGATTCGTCAGCGAACAAGTTTTTGGGAACATGTAGGCCTGGTGTTCGCTAGCATCGGTAGCAGTTTTTGCAATTTGAGCAAATGGAGGTTCGACTGTTTGATCGGTAGATTTCGTCACATTCTTTTTCTTGTAGATTCTACACAGCACCCAATCATCTAACTGATATCATACCACATTAAAAAGCACAAAGTTATTTCCAGTTCTTGATTGATGCTTAGATTTATATAAATGGCAAGTTTTGATGCAACTGAGGTTACCCTCATGGAGGAGGCATTTTGCTTGTTGGGATGCCCGGTCGATTCGCTTAAACGATATTCGTGCATGATCCAATCGGTCTTGACCCCCTTGGGGGGCCTTCCCATGTAGAAAACAAGGGCCTTTTTCACACCTACATACTTTGATCTGCTGTAGATGGCTTTGTCTGTGCCGGTGGCTTTCCAGTACCCGGAAACAGCTGCCCGGTTTGGGCGCACCCCATTAGGATATTTTCGGTCACGAGGACTGAAGAAATACCATTCGTTCTCGCCAAATTCTGTCTTGTCTGCAAACATGAGAGTCAGCACATTGTTTTTATTCATGTTTGTTTGTCCATATTTAACTAAATCGATGATTATCAACAGTAACCATAACGAACCGGGGAGCTGCCAGGGGTCGTATTTGTAGATATCGACTTCAGGGATGATCGAAGACGGGCAGGGGCGCGACGTGGCCTGGTTCCGGAGATAGTAAACGATGAGCTCCTCGTCTGTTGGATGGAATCTGAAACCTGGGGGTAGATCAGAGGTGTTTCTTCCTATCATGTTTTTATGGTGGTAGAGAGAGGGAATCAATCTATGGTTATTCTTTGTAATTTGTAGATCAGTAGAATGAAGGTGTGTGTAGTAGTAGGAGGAGAAGTAGAAGTATTATTACAAGTTACAGATGTATGGAGGAGAGGGATGAGAGTGTTTGAAATGTTTGCAAGAAGATGGCTGTCCATTTTATATGTGAAGGATTCGTGTCTTGATTTGGATTGCATCACTTCTGATTGGCTCTTTCTTTGACTCTCTTTCTCTCTCTATATTATATTTGCACTCATTCATTCATTCTTGGTAGGAATGGACAAATAGGGCATGGCCATATCCACTTCTTTGCTTTATTTTATTTTTATTTATTTTGAAGTGGATAAGATTTGGGTATGTAAATGTACGCATTGTATAGTTGTAATAATTTATGTGTACTCTGATGCATCATCGTAAGAGTTTTGTGGGGTAAGCCTTTTGTTTCTGTTCCTTTGTGATGCTTTAACAAACCGGATTCTTACATTCATTCCAATAACCAATTTGACCATGCCATGCATAATAATATACCTTTGTTTTCATTTATTTATTTTCCTATTTTTTGACTAGTTTGATTTATTATATAAAAGTCTTATTATTCGATTGTATATATACTAGGGGTTGATTTTTCATTATTCATTGATTCTAAACTGTATTCACATTTATTATAATTATGGCTGCTTTTTTGTAACAAAAAAACTTTTGAGAGCATTTCCTACTAAAAATAATATTATCATTATTATTCGAATTAAAATCAGTCAATAACGTGTAGATTGTAGATTGCTTTTCTTTTATATATATATATTTCCTAGTACAGAAATTAATAAAGAAGCTTTCAATTTAAAAATGACATTCTAGTTGCCATATTTATAATTAGATCATATATGCTCTTGTTATAATTCAATTGTGCTTAACAAAAAAGAAGAAGATACTTTCATTGAAAATTAATCCTATAATTCAACTTCGTATCGATCTAGCATACCCTTTTATTTATTTTTTTTTTTCACAAATATATGTAGCATAAATATTCAAAAAACATACTCTGCCAAAATTTAATTAATTACCAGCCACCTTAAAATTCGACAGGTGTCACCAACTACTTCCTCAAAAGATTAAAATAAATTTTACTTGTGGTTCCTATGTAATTAGGGTTCTTATTGGAGCACATCACCTTCTTGATTTGAATATTTCGAAAAATATTATATTACTATAAATTATTGTGTTTTTAATAATATATTTATGTATATATCGTAGATAAATAAAAGTGACTTTGATTAAATTATATGTCACGTCTAAGTGGTATGGATTAACATTATCTGGTCGACACCTGGCCTGGCGTGGTTGAATTGTGTTCTACCTGATAAAATTGAACATAATTATTTTATTTTATTAAATAAAAGGGATTGGGTCAAGATAATTTTTTAAGAATATACCTTTGAATCTATTGGTTAAATATTTAACCCTATTTTCGACTTTAATCCTTGGGTGTCTTTTTAATTGTATTTAAATTGACATGCGTATGGGTTAGTGGGTTTTGTCTTTATTTGATTACTTATTTGGAAATTTTGGGTTCCATTATGGAAGCCCTTCGTGACACATTTATTGATGTCCCGTGCATGTCCCGTGGATAACACGTGCACTTGTTATTGTTTTTATTATTATTAATTTTTATAATATAGAGTCCGCAGTCGAACCATGTATTGTACATATGATTCCGAGTTTGAATCTATGAGGTCATCTATCTACTCCACACCTCAGACCATTTGTAATACTTCGGATTTGGATCAGTGCTAAATCAATTTTCGTAAATGGATGAAATTATTCAAGATTAAATAGTGATTAAAGCGGATTGACTAAATTATTTGTGTAAATGATGTGTATGAATATATATTTTTTTTTATTCGAAAGCTATATTAAAAAAATTTTAGAATCAATCAAGTTCATCTAAAAATAATTTGAGGATAGATGACCTGAAAGCACTCATCTTGACCTGTGACTAGTCTCGATCCTGAGGTTCGACTGTTTTTATTGTTTAATTAATACTATTATGTTCCAAAGTTTGTTCTTTCATTATTTCTTTTTTCTACGAGGTTTTTTATAGATATTTTTTATTTTCTCGCAAAAAGTCAATATTCAATATTATATTATCGATACAATTCTCTACATTTCATGGCCTAGGCACTGAGACCCAGTGACGAAACCAGCAGTAAAAGTTTGGGGGGCAAAAATATCTATTTTTTTTTTTATCGATTCAATATTTTTTTTAATTCATAGCACATCCGGACAAAAAAAAAATAAAAAATCAACAAAACTACATAAAATTCAATATTTTTTATTATAAAAAAATAAAACTTAAAAGGCTAGAAATATAAATTAACAAACAGATAAAATTTTTATAATTTTTTACATTATAAAATAAAAAAATAGGAGGGACAAATTACTAAAAATATATATATTTTACTATTTTTTACACTAAAAAATAGATATATTTTGAGGACTAGGGTCAATGACCCCCCTAGCCCTATGTAGATCCACCTCTGCTGAGACCATGTCGGATGTTGAATGATCGTCTTACCTAAAAGTTCGAACTCTCGGGGAAATTCAGTAATTAACCGTTTATCCGCAAACAGGATCCCAACACGCCTTGCAAGTGGGGTCTGCGAAACTTGCACAAGACCCCACTTGCAACTGAGGGGGCGTGTTGGGGACTCTGTTTGCGGATATATGATTAATGACTGCGTTTCTCTAATAGTTCGACTTTTTAGGTGAGAAGGTCATTCGAACCCAATTTATATATTATTATTTCTAATTTAAGGTATTTCAAAACTTTTACTATATTTTTTTAACTGTATATCTTGTTGGGAGTAGACTCGTGACCGTGACTTTCAAGGCCTCAAGGTCACCTGCTACACACGATTCGTTTAAGTGTGACTTATCTTGTCGGGTTTGTGAGAATACCTCAATTTTGATTTTTAAAATATCCATATATAACACTGAAATAAATATATGTGTAAATTTATATTTTAATACAGTTGTTTGCTTGTTTCTCTAATGGGAATACGTATACATATAGGTATATATGTTTAATTAATTGTCGCTGCTTTACCAACTTATGTCATAATTATTTTATTATTACTACATTATCTACATGAATGTGACGTCATACGCATGTATAATGGGTTTCGTAAAGTCCATCATGTACTTTATTTGTTAGTACTATTATTGCTCTCATGTCATGGGAGTTAGGAAATAAATTATAAACTTAAAAATACTAATTAGAGAAGTTTCCACTTATATATATGCAATATGAATATGGCAAAGTTGTATTGTTATTATTATCATATTATATATACTTACTTCTTTGGAACAAGAATTATTCAATACGTTTACGTAAAGCAGGTTTAAAATAATCAGTTTAAAATCAAATCGAACCACCTGTCTTGGTAAAATGCATATGTAAATTTGTCTCCTTCGTTGCCATCCTGTTTCCCTATTGTTAAAAGTTTTTTGCACTTTAATGGTTGTTCCATTATTACATTTTAGGGTTTGATCTGGGTTGAATTAGGCCCAATTGTTTGGGCTGATTGATTTGGATGTAATAAGCCCGAGTTCTGGAAACGGTGGGTAGTTGCGGTAAAACCTAAACTTGATTTGAGGATTTTGGTTCTCGATTCTCGATTTCTTCTTCTGGTATGGCGTGGAGAATGGCGATGTTGAGGAGCGCTAGAGAGGGGGCGTTAGGAGTCCGGCGGTGGGGGCACACAGCCGCTCAACCAGCGCCGCTGCAAGCTGCTATCGACGCTCCGATCAACAATACCACCACCCTGCCGCCGTTGGTTTTGCCGGAAGACGGAAATGATTGCAGAATTGGTTTGGAATTTCCGAATTTACCGTTCGTCGGCGGGTCCATGGAGCTCATGGCTGTCCCCAAAAAGAAAGTACGTGGTGAATGATTTTTCTTTGAATCTTTGTTTGCTGGTGATATTCTATTTTTAATTTATTCTTGATTGTTAGCTTTCCTCCTCGTTTATTGCTTGCTGCCTTTCTTTGAGTGTTTTCACTCGTTAGGATTAGGGTTTAGGGTTTAACGAAGCATTCACATTTTTTTATGGATTTGGTTTGCATTTTTCGATCGTAAGCATGTTTTTTTATTGACTGAATTTCATACTTAATGATGTTTGGACTGGCCAAGCTACTTTAGATGATTTTACCGTGTTAAATGGAGAGGAAGAAATGAAACATATATAGATCTAATTTGAAGGGAACGTGCATATCTCAAGGCAGCATGAATTATGTCAGATCGTTTAATGATATGATTATGAGGTCTCTATTGGGAATGTTGTATCGACCTTAATGTTAATCTATCTGTTCTTGATGATCTAAAGGGTAGTCTTTTTAATCCAAATTAAAACCTCTCAATGGTTGTTTTTCTGAGTTTCTGAAGAATGTATTTCTGAATTTCCAGTGGGGCAACGATTGAAGTTATCCTCTATCTATTTGCATTTGTTTGTTTATTGCAAAATTTCACATTCTTCTTTTGTGTGTTTGGTGTTCTGTAACAATCAAAATTGATCGGGAGACATTTGTTTGAACAATGTCATTGTTCTTTCCATTGGCTTATCATGATTAGTTAGAGAATCATTGAAATGATTAGTAGAATAATGCTGTTTTTATAAAATTCCTATTGCAGGTGAGTCCCCATAAGAGAGGTATTCGGAACGGGCCAAAGGCTTTGAAACCTGTGCCAGTTATTGTCCGTTGCAAGTAAGACTTTCAAGTTTTCTTCTTCAAGAACTTATTCTGAATTTACTATTTGGAAAAGAGAATCATTTATCTGAGAGAATGTGGCTTTACAGCCTCCAACTTTATTCTAAAGGGGGAATACTGAATTTTCGCAATTTCTTTTCACGGACGTTATTCTGAGAAAAATCCCTCACACACACACACATACACATCACACATATATATATGTATACATGTCTATTCAGAAGAATCACTATTACATTCGACATCGAGCATTTCCCATGTTCTTTAGATAGCACACCTTTTATGTGTTTCTTTATCTTAGCCGTGAGATTGAACCTAGGCAGCCATTAATCCTTCTTTGTTCATCATCGGATTATTTGTGTGGTTGATTGTTGGCAGGGTTTGTGGTCGGGTAAAGCTTCCACACTTCTTCTGCTGCAGCGGGATAAAGAAGAATCCTGGTGAAGAGTAGCTAGAAACTGCACTGGATTTTCATTTTCTGATTTGCTGCCTTCTGCTTCTGCATCTGTTGTCCACAGCTATGTCCAGTGCTGCATATTGGGCTTCTATACCTTTTTTGGAATGGGCCTTGTAATTCTTAAGGTCCATGCTCTCCTCTTATTGGACTGTAATGCTAATGTTTCAATGATGAGGATTTTAAATATAATCCCTAATTTGTAGGTGGATTTTAAAGTAGGGCCTTCAAGACTTGTTTTTTAATAAAAAATAATTATTTTATTTTTACGGAGTACAATTTAGTACTAAAGCATTATTTAAATTTAAATAAAATTAAATTATTGCTAATTTTCTCTAGATATATATAAATATATATATGGAAACGTTGCAAGTCTGTTTCTATATAATATACTCCAATAAGTCAAAAATTTGATACTTGTGTGGCAAGATTGAAATTCCAGAGGAATAAGGGCACGTCTGAAAATTCAAAAAGTGAAATAAATTAAATTTATATATAGCGAAAAGGTTCAGAGAGAGAGAGAGAGAGAGTAGGGTTTAAGAAGAGCAGAGAGGTATTGAGGTCAGCCATGGGGGACACATCGTCCACGTCTTCCAAAAACCCTAGCTCCACCGCTACCATGGATCCTTCAAATTCCTTGCATCCAACGGGTTCAATTGATCATCCGAAAAGTCCGGAATCCAAGTTCGGAGATCCACCTGCAGATGCTGAGATATCGAGGACGCTGGAAAATCCGGCTAAAGAGATGGATTCGGAAGGATCGAACCGAGGAGCGGCCGGGGATGAAGGCGGCGAAGGAGAGGAGGAGGAGGAAGAGGAAGGCGAATGTGGTTTTTGTTTGTTTATGAAAGGGGGTGGGTGTAAGGACGCGTTTATAGAATGGGAAAAGTGCGTGGAGGAAGGAGAGCAGAACAAAGAGGACATCGTGGAGAAGTGTTTTCAGGCAACTGCTGCTCTGAAGAAGTGTATGGAGGCCCACTCTGATTACTACGCCCCGCTTTTGCAGGCTGAGAAGGCTGCTGAGGAGGAGGCTGTGAAACAATTGGAGGAAGAGAAAGAAAGGTTGAATAATCAAGAAAAGGGAAGTGAAGCTTCTGATGTTTCCGAGAAGAAGGAATCCTCTTGATCGATTTTTGAGGTTTGTCTTTGTTCTATACGGCTCTCCAGCCTTTGATTAGTTGGAGGCCTCGGATTAGAAGAATTTTTTTTTTTTTTTTGAGGTAATTTAACGGAAAACTTTACTGGTTCTCACTGATCAATTCATTTACTTGGAATAAATGTGTACTGAACATTGAATGAAAATCACGAACCTCACAGTTTTAGTTGCTTTTGGCGCACTACATAGATTCTTTGAAATAAGAAGAAATTGATGATGCATTGGGTGTTGGTATTTTGATTTGGAGATTCAACAGCACAACATTTTCGCCATGAGATGTTCGATGCAGGTGGTCTAAGGTTGTATTCCTTGCTTTTCTTTCTCAGGTGTTATTTGGAAGTAGTAGAGTGAGCAGGGTTTCTGAGTTAATGTCATGACTCAGTTTCTTAGCATCTCTAGTGTAGCCTCGTATCACTGCCTTTTTGGGTTCCCTGTTTGTATTTGCTCTTCTTTTTTGGCACTCTGTTTTAAGTCAATGCATCGCTTTTGCTAATCAATCTCTTATGGAAGAGATTTTTGCCAAATAAGGATATAACATTATTTACTTGATGCTCATTTTAACAACCTTGCAATTAATTTTATATTGTTAAAGCATATCAAGAAGTTGTGGAACTGCCTGCCATTTGAACAAGAAAATAGATAGCTATGAACAGAATGCACGTCAGAAGTTTAAGCCCTAAAAACACAACCCCTCATTTCTCTTCTCATCCATTGTTTCACCTGCTTCTGTTGTGATTCCCTACAAGCTTTCTTGTTTTTTTTCCATTCAAGCCTGGTTTATTAATGGTGTGTTGTGCTGCTTTCAGTCACTTAGCCTATATAGAAATAGGATCACATTGCAGGGGTCCTGAACCTGAGGAGATTTCCGACCGATTGCCTCACTGTACTTGAGTTGAGTTGCTAGGGCCTGATGAGTTGCCACAACCCGCGTCGTCGCACAGGCACTCTTCAGGATTAGCGTAGAAATAGTCTTCTTCTTTAGGCTTGTCTGGGATGACCTTTCGGCGCGTTGGCTGTCCCATTCTTTGTTCATGGGCCAGCCGGACAGCAGCTGAGAACTCGTCCCACACTAGTGTTCCATTCTGGTAAGAGTCCAGCAGTTCCACAATTTTCCTTCGATCCAATTGGAATGTTTTCTTGTGCCCTTGATACCTCCGGTGGCCTTCAGCCACCCTCGCCATGTTGCCGTCGTATGTAGGAACAAAAACATCGCTGGCTACAGATACCATAAAATCCAGCGCTGCCATTTGTGACGAACGGTTTTGGAACTGCCTCAGATCTTCAGGATCAAGCAGCATTTCCTTCTTCACCTAAATCCATGGAAGCTCAGTGAATCCCAAAACAACAAACAAATCACAAGATCTGCACATATTCAAAATTTAGACATTACTCACAATCCTTGGAAAGGCAGCTCTTAGGGCTGTAAGCCTCCTTTCGCCGCCATAGATCTCGCCCGATGCAATGTAGATTTGGGTGTTTTTGTCGAAACCCAACGCCCGTAGAATCAAAGAAGTCTCTTCCGGAGTGAGAGGGCATAGGCCCTGTGATCTTCGTTCTTCTGATATGATCTCTTTCTCCTTCCACCATGGAAATGCATACCTATCGATCCAACCAAACCATACACAAGTAAAGAAATTGAAGTGTGTTCAAACTAAAAACAGAACAAAGGGATTGACAATTCTTTATGAACATTCTATCGAGAGTTTGTAATTACCTCATTCTTTTGAGCTCTTCGGCTTCTTGATCAGTGCAGCCATGAGTGCAACCTGAGAAAGCCAACATATCCATCTCATATCGTAAATGCAATGCCACGTAAGGTCCCTTCCCCCGTATAATACGAATCAATTTGTTTCCAAACTCCTCTATTTTAGGCGTGAACTTTAGCCCCTGAAAATTTACACGGCATCTCAGCCTCTGAAGCTCCAAAGAGATCCCATTGTTCGACAGCCGGGAATCTGTCCTGTTGAAGTGTATCACTTTGTGCTTGCGAAAAAGAGGCAGGATCTGCATTGTATGTTCAAAACTGATCAAAATGTCCACATAAAATTCTCAATCGAATACAGGGTATAAGTACAAGAATCAAAACATCCCAAAGCATTGCCTTGTCTTCAGAAGTCTAAGAATTTTAGTAAATAAACAAAGTTTCCCATTCACCTGTTGCAAGTAGTATTGCTCATTGGACCAACTAACAGGCGGCATCTCAAGAGGTTGATGTTCATAACGCGCACTGAATTTCTTCGGCAGCCTCTTGATTATCCGAACTTCATCTCTTAATGAATTGATGAAATGGCTCACATCAAATATATCCTCAAAATTGCTGCCCACAAACCACATCATTTCAAAGTGCATAAATGAGGTATGAAACAACTATTCCATGAGGTAATAAGTACCTAGGATCAGCCCAGAACGATGTTTTGTCAAGCTCAGGAACAACCAGCGTAAGATTTAAAAGCCGAGCAACAGCCACCATGTCACAGATCTATAACAACAGATTGCTAAATCACCTCCAAAGTATATATGCCAAAAGAAAACACAAGACAAAGACTAAGTTCTAAGTTCTAACCGCGGAACGCATCTGATTCAAGCCGCCATTGCAAGATACTCTTAGAAAACCATTGCTCGAGTAATTCCCTAGCATTACACCAACCAAGAATCATTCCAAACTAACTTGACATTGAATTCACAACACAACAACAACACAATAACAAAAGTATCTCTTAACTACAGCATCCAACTTGAAATATGATCAACACTTCCTCTCCACTGATAATGAAGATGGTAATCAATTAGTGCTATTGCCAGTCACATATTCCACAGTGCATTATCTGTAAGGAATGAAAAGTTAAAAGACAGAACTCACGGGCAGGAACAGGAGGAGGAGGAGGAGGCAATGAGGGTTGGTCGCGAGCAGACATTTTGGTGAAACCCATGAATCTGGAAAGCAAATGAGGATGCCATAGATGCCCCACTGCCACAAGCTGAACCAAACACGTCCATATTAGGATGGTGGAACAAACCCTAATAAACCACACTTGAAGCCGCGTCCTCGGCATCACCTGCCCCAACAATGGCGGCACTTTCTCCATACTCCTCTCTGATCTAACGCCAATCTCCATTTCGCCGGCATTTCCACCGCCGACATCTCATTTTCGAACCATCCTTAGCATGACATAGAATTCGCACACAAACACAAACATTTTCATGCGCCGGATGTCGAATGTGCGCCGTGGTGTCCCAAAGATTCAATCTTCAAAGTACAATGTGGGATTTGATCGGAAGCCCAGTTGCAAAAACGTGGAGAAGTGGAATAAAACCTTTTAACGCTTGCTCGAATTGCAAAAGCAAAAACAAAAACTGATTCGAGGCACAGGATTGAATATTGAAGATTGAAGAATGGGATCTCAAGGAGGAGAGTGAAGAAAATGGAAAATCTGGAGAGATGGAGACGAATTCCGTAGTTTCACGAGGAAATTTGTGTCAAAATTAAATGGGGAAGGAGTAATTTTCACGAAATGAATAGTTAGTTCAGCAAAATGGTTACAAATGTCGAATTAACTGCACAAAATTCTCTCCTATTTTCAGCAAAAAGCAGGCAAAAAAGAAAGGGAGAAAGATTAATTAAAAAGCAAACAATTTTCTATTTCAAAATTAGTATTCTTCCTTTTTCGCCCTCCACGTCCACCTCTCTGTATTTTTGGATCAGTTGAGGAACAAATGCAGATCATTACTCCTCGAGTGCCCTGCTGAAGAATAATAAAAATGTATGTATATATATAACACAATTGAATTAGTGGTAGGTCCCTACATTCTTCAATCATTACATATATATATATATATACGTTTCCATCACTTTCTCTCGAACCCCAAATAGAAGTTTGAATCTTAAAATGATAAATATATCTATATATATGTAAAGGGGATAATGTTTTTATTGTGCAAGAGTGAGAATTAATTCAATTCATACATACAAGAGGAAGCATACTTACAATACGTGTAATTACCTCATTGGCTACATCCCTCATGATTCGCCCGCTCTCTAGTCTCTTCTTCTGTCTGTCTGTCTCCATTGAATGATGGTTGGATCCATCGATCGAACGTTCCTTCCATTAAAGATTTTTTGGATCGCTGAGATGAGTTTGGAATTCCAAAGATGGATTCTTTCTCTGGTTTTGGTTTCAGGGTTGTTCTTAGTGGAATCCATCCGATTCGATTTGGATTCGGGGCACACCCGATGCATCGCGGATGAGATCAAGGACAATGCAATGACTGTCGGAAGGTACCACGTTGTCAACCCTAATGAAGGCCACCCGTTACCAGACACTCACAGAGTCACTGTTCGGGTACTGCCCCTTTTTCTGCAATAATATAATTTGTAAATCAGTATGATGATATGTAAATGTCCCATTCTGGGTAGGATTTGTTTATGGTTTTTTGTTGGTTCAGAATATAAAGACAAATGGGGGTTTCTTGATATATATACACAGATTTGGTTCTTGATTATTATCATTTTTGAACATATATATATAGGTGACTTCAGAATATGGCACAAGCTACCATTATTCAGACAATGTGAGTGATGGGCATTTTGCATACCAGACAGTGGAGGCAGGTGATTACATTGCTTGCTTTTTTGCTGCTGATCACAATCCTCCTGTCACCATTACAGTTGACTTTGATTGGAAGTCCGGCGTCACCGCTAAGGATTGGACCAACGTCGCCAAGAAAGGTTCTGTCGACGTAAGTAGCAGAAGCATTCGTTGTCACAATGAATACAATACAAGAACCTTAGTTGTATTTTATTTGGTTTCTGTTGTTGTTCTTCAGATGATGGAGTTGGAACTGAAGAAGATGCTCGATACAGTCCAATCCATTCACGACGAGATGTTCTATCTACACAACAGGTACTCTTTCGGAAGACAAAACTTAATTGGATTGCAGTGAATGATACTTACAGTTTTGATTGTTGCATATTTCAGGGAAGAAGAGATGCAGAGATTGAATAGATCTACAAACTTCAAAATGGCCTGGTTGAGCTTCCTGTCCCTCGTCGTTTCCCTGTCTGTCGCAGCAATGCAGCTTTCGTATTTGAAGTCATTCTTTCAAAAGAAGAAGCTTATCTAACTCTTACTTCTTCTTCTGAATCACTTCTATGGTTTGGCCAATGCTTGTAAAATAGAGTTTTGATTCAAATAGACAAAGAGGGATTCTAATAAAACTCCCCAAAACTTTATTTTATCTGCACTGTAACTCAAAAATAGGAATGACACACAGGTTAATACATTTCACAATATCCTTTACCAGAGAATTGCTGCCTGCATTAGTGATGATGAAAGCTGTGTAATTAAAATTTAAAACATACAGAAAGGGTGGGGTGGGAAGAAAATACACACCAGATAGTCATACAAAAAGACAATGATAGCCTATACATCGGATGCTTAACAGCATGTTTACAAGAAAGAGAGTATCTTAACGGTTTAGTGTTAATCAAAGTGCTCATTTTGGAACACATTCAAACAAGAGTTCGAGGACAGAAACTGTATTTTAGCAGCACCATCAATTCCAACTCCATAATCCAAAATGCAGAATGTTATAAATTTGTTCCCAAATAACTAGTCTTTGTATAAATGGCAGCAGCAAAGGATATTTAATTTGCTATCTATCTCATGCCACAAGTTTTGGGTTGAAAGGAGGTTACCAGCAGTTGCAACCATGTTTTACTTCAATATCCCTTCACTACGATGAAAAGATGCTCCAGTGATGATCAGAGGGCATTGATTCCTTCATTTTTTCGAGTCTCTTTAAAATTTCCAAGAAGGCAGGTCTCTTGTTCATGTCAGCTGACCAGCATTGTTCTGTTAACCTGAAAATTTTTTATTCCTCCATTAAAACATCAGTCACATAAATGTTTGTGGCAGATGCTGCTATTCATGAGTTTCTGCAGGGCGAAATTTAATAAAGCAACAAAGCAAACATAACATGTGGTGCTGTGATTTAGATCTTGGATGCTAAATTCCATGGTATTGTACTCAATAGGTACTTACTCCATCAATTCAGGAGTAAAACCTTTTGCCCTGAATATTGGCCGGTGACCATCTGAGACGTGTCTGGCTGCTTCATATGGTTCATAATGTGAAAATGGAGGGGTGCCTTCGATCATCTGAGAAAGGTTAACAGCACTTCAACTCAATATCAACCAAATTTTAGTTAATCATATGAACATTGCAAATATCAAATTACCTCGTATAGTATCATTGCAAAGGAAAAAACATCGACTTTCTTGTCATATTTCCGGTGCTTGAAGACTTCAGGCGCCATGTAACGATCTATTGAAATTATAAATAAACGATAGGGCAGTATTAGTGATGATTGATTGAAATTCCAGGTGCACATTTAACTGCTTGTATGATGATCACTCACAACTTCCTGTCTCCCCAGTCAATTTGTACACATCGTGTGAATGCCGTACCCTAATGAGCTTGCTTAGGCCAAAGTCGCCTACTTTTAAATGGTCAGCATTGGAGTTGACGAGCAGAACATTCCTGGACAAGAACAATGTTTAATATAAAAGAATACTGTTCATTATAAATAGTACTCATCCCCAACTTTTGATTCTTTCTACAATTCGATCTTCAGAATGCGGTTCAGAGATGAGAGCCTCTGAGGCAGGCAGCAGAATTATAAGGGCTGTTTGGAAGCTATAATAGTATTCACTTTGCCAAGAAAACAAATAGCTAACCTTGGTTTGAGGTCTCTGTGTATTATTACATTTGGTTCGCTGTGCATATACGCCATGCCTCTGTCCAAACCATATTATGACGTCAGTGTAGTTCATATTACATAACGGTGAATAAAACAACAAATTACAAGTATACAGAACCATCCTATACTGCTGTTACCTGGCAATATCCATTGCAAAATTAATTGCCGTTGCTGGATTCAGAGCCCCCTTTTCCTTTAGATGTTGATGTAGATCACCCTATAAAAAGTATAGAAGTAGAAACATAATAAGTTCATTGTAGAGTCAATACAGCACACTTCCACTAAGATATAACATGATTCTCTCACCCCTCTCAAGTACTCTGTGATTAACATTAAGGGCTTCTTTTCTGTAACAGCTCCTAAAAATTGAACAATGTTTGGATGGCGAAGCTTTACTAGCAAGTTGACCTCATGCCGGAAGTCCTGACTGCATGCAGTTAAAGAGAGAGCAAATTTACCTAAGGACAGAGAAAAAAGGTAGAAACTAAAGAGCTTGTGAATATTATATAGTTTTGGCTGCACTTGTATTTTCCTTGATAAAGACATACTCCGATTGAGTTCAAGCATGCAAGGACGCTTCCGACACATTTGTATGAAAATATGCATGGAAAATGGGTAGTCAGAATTGTGCGAACAAAAAGACATACACCACTAATCTGTCATCTGAAAGGCTTGGAAGAATGCGTTTGACAGCTACTGGTGTTCCCCTCCAGGAAGCTTTTACTATCTCACCAAAAGAACCCTACAATTTGCGGGAAATAAACAGTGAATATATATATATATATGCATGCAGCAGAGTAATGGGAGGAACAACACCTTAAGTTCACTACAAGAACATAAATATCAGAAAGTTTATTATAAAGGCCACACAATATGGAGCACAACTGCCTGAACCATGAATCAATTGGTTCTTGACCATGCTCTTCCAGTATAAAAAAGAGAGAGGTGAGGGTCTCAAGGGAAGATGATTAAGCAACAGAAATAGCACGCTTTTTGACTTTAATACAGTGGCATCACACAATAAATGAAACAGATGCTACTGTGGTGGTGTGGTCCAATCAGAAATGCAAGAACTTCCAGACCTTGACACATACAGCCATATAAAACCAACAAACATCTGTAATGGATCCTCTAATGCAAGCTTGTTTCGTGTGCATCTCAACAGTAAGTATGTCTGACATAAAAAAAAGTTTACCTAGTTGAATATGGAAAACAAGGACACTACATGTAGTATTTGATTACACGTGTAATATAACATGTCAAAATGTTCAAGAATTTAGTAGGTAACTTCGATAAACGTTATTGAGTATGTTGAGTAATATAATTAGTATTCATGTATATGCACCTTCCCAACAAGAATTGCACTTGAGAAGTCCAGCTCATCAGGATCTATCTCCCAGTCACACTTTTTTGGTAGAGGAGGTGGCAAAGGTTTGGGTTCAAAATGACTTCCATTCTGTCCCTGCAAAAAGTAGTAATCCATATGAAAAGGTAGCAATGGAAAGAGTTTCCATATACGAATGAGCAATAATGATGTTATTTGAAATTCAACAATCCCATTTCACTTTAGTATTATCTCAGTGTTGTCAATGAGGGTAATCGGTGTGAATATGTTCAACACCGTTCTTCCAAGAGGAAAACACAGTAAATTTTATAAATAATCAAGAATAAGAGCTAGATTAAGGTACTTAGAACTTACATAAGATAGTCCACCATGGGATTTTAATAGATCGATCATAGCAGATTTTTTCGCTCCTTCTGCATCAGCTAAAGGCTGTTTCAAAGATGTAATATTCAGACAGAAACCCAATTATATGAGCCCAGACAGAAGCAAGATAAAGGATTTGAAATACAGATTTAATTATGAGCCTCCAAACATAATTACATTTTTGGATACCAATTCTGCTGTGAACCAAGGATCAGCTCAGCTTCTATGCTAGGAAAAATTGATGGCAACTAAATTGTGGAGCATGCTAAAATCCATAATTTGGGTATCATTTTTTCTTTATTCTCACTAGATTATGTGTCCTTAAAACAACTGCATGAAATTTTGATTTTTCTTTTTCTGCAAACTTAGAGAATTAATTTCCAATTATTTTCAAGCAAAAACACTTCCATTATTCAGTGAATTCTTTGGCAATAGTGATATCTTAAATTGGCCTAAGGATGATAATCTTCGAGACCTTACAAAATCATCCATATGACGACAACAGTGAAAGTGTGAGAAGGATTGACCATATAAGTCTTGAACTAAATGCCCCTTCTTTTTTATTTTTAGAAGCCACTTCTATTCATTTTATATATGCATATTTTAAAGACCATGGAAGCATCATTGCAGAAATGACCTTATCATGCCTATAATAATCAGGCCTTCTTTATGGTGAACATATTGCGAAACTTAAATATGTCAAGAATTTCAGTCGATAAAAGCAAGTAACAATATGTTGAAAAAGTTAATAATAATAATAATAATAATAATAATAATAATAATAATAATAATAATGATAAAACATGAATATAATTATATATATACGATCATAGGTGAACCAACATTCTTGTTTGTTGGCAAACAATTAAAATAGTACAATTCGAACTCAACTCCAATTACACCTAAACTGAACTATTCTAGTTTGGCTGTCACTCACACATAATATATCACTGAAGTCATCAACTACTGAAGACGATCTAATGCGACAACTCTTGACAAGTACCAAATATCCTAAACAACAGAAATGTCAGCAGAAACTTTTAGTCGTATTGAGCTTTCTCTGATAGAATACGATAATCACACGCAAGTTTGCAACTGTTAATTCCTACCGACAATATGATTGCCAACTATCACAAACAAAGCTCACCCCTTTCATGATTTCATCAAATCACTTCAGATTTTGAATCGACTTTGCTACTTAAGGCAGTGGAGTTAAAAACTACAAATTAGTTTTTTTCCTTTCCCCAAGAAACCATTTATTACTCGATCCATTTTCTTAAAGAAATTGAAAGAAGGAAATAGAAAAATAAAAACTAAAAACCAACCAGATCACAGAACGCACAGTTTACCAAATTGCAGCAACCAAGAAGACGGAAGACTCGTATCAACTAAGCCAAGCACCGGAAAATGAAATATCTACAAAATCCAGAACTATGTAGCTACAAAATTCGAGGACAACAATGGATACCGTATTTTTCCAGCGATCCTGGGCGTTGACATCTGCCTCGTATTCCAAAAGGCACTTGGCCACATCGATCCAGCCATGAATTGCCGCCACGTGGAGAGGAGTTCGATTGTCATAGTCTCTAGCCTGCACAAGCAATCGATCTTCCTCGAGGAGCTTCCTCACCGCCGCCGCGTCGTTCTGGTGCGCGTGCCACAAAATCAGAGAAGTCCGGCTCACCCGCGCCTTCTCTTTCTTCTTCTCCTTATCCACCCCCGCCGTCGGCAGCGGCGTCTGACCCTCTCCGCCCGCCGAATGCCCCGAGCTCCCCTCGCTTCCGCTCATCCGGTGGAATTTGGTCCGGTGTCGGCTTTGAGTGTGAAACCCGCCACCAAATAACCGTTTTATTTGGGCACAAGCTAAAATATCCACCCCACGTAAAACGGACCTCTTAATTTGAGAGCTCCCGGGACTCCGCTCCCGACACCTACGCACCCAAGCCCAATTCGCTCAAGTCCCCTGCTCCAGGATCTCCCAACGACCACACTTTGTCATCCTTACCTCAGTAAAAATTATCTTGTCAACACAACTTTGACTTCCAACATTTTTTTACCACCAAAAAAACATTATTCTCCACAGTAAAACAGATACCAATTTCTTCATTAACATAGGATCACAATCTCAAAGAATGTTCAAAAGCCTATTTTGGTCCTGGGCTGTAGCCCACTAACTTCAACCCATTCTAATATTGGGCTTTTATCACATGGGCTATTGAAAGGACTGCCATAATTGGTACCCAATGGTTTAAAAAATGTTACAGTTTCCATATCATCATCTATAATGAATTGGAATCTCTGTTTATGCTATGGATTTCTTTATTTGTTTAGCACAAATGGATACATACATGGAACAGAGTGATCCCCTCAATCCCATGCCTTGACACATTTTTATTTACATCTAAATCTTTGCACATTAAATATGTAATAATTAATTTTACATTGGGGACTCCAAAGAAAACATTATTATTGTCATCTGCAAGAGAGGAGCTGAGGATGGCCAAACTGGACATGATGTGGTCCTACTCTAACAAACCCAAGGCATTGTTGTAATAATTTTGTCGACTCATCAAGTTCCAACCAAATAGAATAAATATTAATGCACCTAATCAGTTTATATGTATATTTGTTTATATTTATTTTTTAAGAAAGAAAGGAAAAGGGCCCAATTTTCGAAGTGCAAGAAGCACCAAGTAAAAATGTTGGGAAAAAGTTGGGGGCAAATTTTACATGAGGGATAATGTGTGACCTAATTCTGAAACAAATTTAAAGAATTAATTGATTCTAGGATTAGGGTTTGTATTTTATTTAGTTTTTAATTCGTGGGGTTTGGATTGTGGAATTAATTGTGGCCACCCCTTTTATTTCATGTTGTGTTGTTCAAAAGTGATGATGCCTTTCGGTGTTGATGAGATTAAATCAAGACCTGTTTGATTGACAATCATATTTGTAGTAATACTTTATGTTATTTTATTGTTTGTGTAATTTATCATATAACTTTTAAGTTAAATTTATATGTACATATATATTGTTTCTATTTAAGATTACATTAGCAGCTAGTAGCCTCAAAACTGGTAGACTTTTTGCATTACTTTCTAATCAAAGGTTGAACTTTTGACTACAGACATTGACAATTTGGAATACTTCCATGAAAAATGTCAAACTATGCAGACAAGATTACAAGAACCACATACATATCTATCTGTCTATATATCTCTACTTTCTATACATTTAACAATTTTCTTTTTCCTTTTTTTTATTTTTTTTATTTTACTTGATAAATTATTTATATAGAAAGGAATCTTGGGCCTGCTCAAAAACTGTCAAACACTCCAGTTCAAGCATTCTCTTGTTTACGTTTCCTTTTTTCTTTCTTTTTTTTCCCTAACATGAAAAGAAAAAGGAAAAAAAAAAAAGAAAAAGAAAGATGGGTTGTCCTAAAACCAACGATGTGTTATCAAATGGTTGATAGATATAATTGAGCCCACAATTAAACATCTAATCAGGACTAAAGCAACGACAATCATGGCGATTGGCACAATAAAATGTTCATTGGATGCAACAATGAAAATGAAAGTGATGATGAGATTAGGACTTGCAAGAATGAATTCAATTAGGACAGCAGCAGTTAAATTAAAAAGGACAAGATTAAGATTAACATCAAGATTATTACATTTAAAAATAAAAAAATAAAATCGAAAAGCTATAAGCCAACATACAAAGATTTAATTTTTATTTTTTTTTTAATTGAGTCAAGACTACACTAAATGGAGCCAAAAGGCAGAGGACAGAGGGACTATGATATCTTCTGTATTGGAGTCAAAAGCATTACAATTATTACAACTACAACTCCAACTCCAACTACAACTAGTGCAGCAGTGAGCTTGCTGCTGCCATTGCAAAATACACTTCACTGCTTCTTGCAGTTGCAGACTTGCAGTTGCAAGATCATACATACATACATACATACAGACACATTCATATAATAGTCTTATGTTCTGGATGCAAAAGCACGAATTCTTTTTGGGGTTTGCCAATAGAATAATGCTCTTCTGTCTTCACTAGTACCAGAAAAAGTTTCCCTCTTTTTTATTACCCGGTCCACCCTTTTCATCCCTCTCTCTCTCTCTCTCTCTCTTTCTCTCTCATAGCCAGCACAGTAAAGCAAAGCAAGCCTTTCAGCAGCAGTAGTAGTAGTATTCTCTATTCACCACTGTCTTAAAACAACTGCCTTCAGTTTTCTGATAAAAACCAAGAGCCAAAGAGAAAAAGGAAAGCCTTTTCTTTCCTCTCTTCTGTCCCTTCCTTCTTCTCCTTCCTTCATTCCTTTTTCTCTCTTTCATTCCTTTGATCTTGATTTATATTTAATTCAATCCACCAACAATATTCCCTTCTTCTTCTTCTTCTTCTGCTTTGTAATAAATCAAATTCTTGCCCCTCATGGAGGAACAACAGTGCAATACAGGCAAGAAATGCAATAGAGCCTTGAGGGGGGACGAAAGAGCTTATGGATATCAGTATCAGTATGAGTACCAGTATCACCATTACCAGCTGCTGCAAAACTACCACAGGTTTGGACATTATGGCTTGGGTTTGGGCTACCAAACTTCCCCGGCTTTGCTTCCTTTGCCTCCAAGCATTCCTCTGCAGCTTGCTGTGGCTCCACCTTTGCCTCAAAACAAAACCTTTGTGTCCAAAAACCACCTTCAGAAGCCCCCATGGAGACACTCTCCTCCCCCAACTTCCTCGAATCACTGCCAGCCTCAGCACTTCTCTGGTATTGGCTCCTTGTATTATGGCTTTGCCTTTGTTTGTTTCTGCACTCAGTCATGTGATTGCATGTTGGATTTTGTTTGAAAGTCGATGGGAATGATATCACTTTTAGATGATTTCACTTTTCTTTTCCCGGTTTTAATTCAATTTCTGCATCTTCATGCTCTTTCTTTCTTTCTTTCTTTATGGTTTTTTTTTTCAGTATTTTAATTACCGACTGAAAATAAATGAGACGACAGGCAAGTAGTAGAGTGCTTTATTACAGTGTTGTCTATGTTTGATACTCGTGTGAGACCTACATATTTGTAGCATATTGTATTGTAGTTGTACTCTCCATAGCTGCTAATTTGATGAATGAACTGTTACGACAGATGTTCAACAGAAAGCTTGTCTGCCCTATGACCAGAAAAATGGAAGAAGAAAGATCGACTCTACTGAGCCCAAACCATTGGCAGTTGCTAGAAGGCCTGATTGTGGTGGGGTAGAAGGGAAGATTATAAACCTTGTTGCTAATCATTTCTCAGTCCAATTCGATCCTACACAGAGATTCTTCCATTACGATGTCGAAATATCTCCGAATCCATCCAAGGATATAGCCCGAATGATCAAGCGAAAACTTGTCAACGATCATTCCCAACTTCTTTCAGGAGCTTCTCCTGTGTTTGATGGCAGGAGGACGTTGTATAGTCCAGTGGAGTTTAAGGACAACAAGCTCGAATTCTACATTAGCCTCCCGATATCGATTGGAAGAAAACATTCGACGAGTTCTGTCCTCCAGCTGCATCAGCAGAACAAGATTTTCAGAGTGAACATCAAGCTTGTATCCAAATTCGACGGCGAAGCCATGAACAGATTCTTGACGAATAATGGCGATGATTGCCCTCTCCTTCCTCAAGAATATGTCCATGCATTGGATATCATGTTGAGGGAGAGCCCGACAGAGAAATGTATAGCTTCCGGAAGGTCGTTCTATTCGAGCGCCATGGGAGGGACTAATGACATTGGAGGAGGAGCTGTTGCGCTTAGAGGTTTCTTCCAAAGCCTAAGGCCAACACAGCAAGGTCTTGCACTTAATGTGGATTATTCGGTGACGGCGTTCCATGAAAGCATCGGAGTGATCCCTTATCTGCTGAAATGCTTCGACTTTATGCACGACGCAGTTCAAAACAAGAGGAGGATTTTGGTGAGCGAAGAGAAGAGGGAGGTGGAGAGGGTGCTTAAGAACATGAGGGTCTTTGTTCGACACAGGGAGACTGTCCAGAGATACCGTGTTTATAGCTTGACTGAGGAAGTTACCGAGCATCTATGGTTTCCTGACAGAGACGGCAAGAACTTGAGGCTTGTGGACTATTACAAGGATCATTACGGCTACGATGTGCAGCACAGGAATCTGCCGTGCTTGCAGATTAGTCGGAGGAAGCCATGTTACCTGCCGATGGAGCTTTGTGTCATTTGTGAAGGGCAGAAGTTTCTTGGAAAGCTCTCCGACGATCAAACTGCAAAAATCCTCAAAATGGGATGCCAAAAACCGGCAGAACGGAAGGCGATTATCGATGGAGTCATGGAAGGACCATTCGGACCAACAAGGTAGAACTAATATATGGCTAGTTTTCTTGCATAGTTTCCTATCTGCTGAAACATTCGATCATTGTTGTCTGTTTGTTGATCCAGTGGGAATCAAACGAATGAGTTCAACCTTGAAGTTTCGAAAGAAATGACTCGACTAACTGGGAGAATTCTTCAGCCTCCCAAGCTTAAGCTCGGACACGGTGGTCATGTAAGGAATCTAACTCCTTCAAGACATGATCGACAATGGAACCTTCTAGATAGCCATGTCGTCGAGGGTGCTCGAGTAGAGAGATGGGCGATAGTAAGTTTCGGGGGGACGAATGATCAGAAAGCCGGCATACCAAAATTCATAAAACAGTTGTCTCAAAGATGTGAACATTTAGGAATCTTTCTGCATAAACACACTGTTGTTAGTCCACTCTTCGAGCCAATGCACGTGCTCGGAAACCCGAAACTTCTAGAATCGAAGCTCCGGAAGATTCACAAGGCTGCCATGAACGATCTCCAGCTCCTCATCTGTGTTATGGAGAGGAAACACAAAGGATACGCGGACCTTAAACGAGTCGCTGAAACGAGCATCGGCGTGGTAAGCCAGTGCTGTCTGTATTCGAATCTCGGCAAGCTAAGCTCGCAGTTTCTCGCAAACATGGCTCTCAAGATCAATGCCAAAGTCGGGGGATGCACCGTAGCGCTTTACAACTCGTTGCCTTCTCAAATGCCGAGACTCTTCCGACAGGAGGATCCCGTGATCTTCATGGGAGCTGACGTGACGCATCCCCACCCGTTGGACGACGTTAGCCCGTCAGTTGCAGCTGTTGTCGGCAGCGTCAACTGGCCCGAAGCGAACAAGTACGTCTCGAGAATGAGGTCGCAAACGCATCGACAGGAGATCATCGAGGATCTCGGTGCGATGGTGGGAGAAATATTGGACGACTTCTACGAGGAGCTCGGCGAGTTTCCGAAGAGGATCATCTTCTTCCGCGACGGAGTGAGCGAAACTCAGTTCTACAAAGTGCTGCAGGAGGAGCTGCAGGCTATCCGGCGTGCTTGTTCGCGACACACCGGATACGAGCCTCCGATCACGTTTATGGTGGTGCAGAAGAGGCACCACACGCGGCTGTTCCCGTTGTTCGACCGCGATAGCTATAGCCAATTCGCAGACGAGAATGTGCCACCGGGAACTGTTGTGGACACGGTGATCACACACCCTCGGGAGTTTGACTTCTACCTGTGCAGCCATTGGGGCGTGAAGGGGACGAGCCGGCCAATCCATTACCACGTCCTATGGGACGAGAGCCGGTTCACGTCCGACGAAGTGCAGAAGCTCGTGTACAACTTGTGCTACACGTTTGTGAGGTGCACGAAGCCGATATCATTAGTCCCCCCGGCGTATTACGCGCATCTCGCGGCGTACCGGGGCAGGCTCTATATCGAGCGTTTGGATTCGGGCTCGATCTCGCGATCATCGCCTCCCAAGACAGTGCCTTTACCTAAACTTAGTGACAATATCAAGAAACTCATGTTTTACTGCTGACATTGCTAAAATGTTTTATCTTGTTTCAAGTGTTTTGTCCAAATCCACACCTCAAATTGATGAAATACTAACTACTCTAATTATTGAAATCAAGGTTGTTTCCGATTGTTCTTAGTATGAAAAACACAGATGCATGCTTGTTAATTAACAAACATCATATAAAACAAAAGGGCAGAAATGAATTAGTCTTTAAATTAGCAAATATATACATACACATACAAACAAGGTGAAACAAGACATGATGGTCAGAAGGAAGGATGAAATTTTGTATGTACATGCATGCAGGGAGGCAGCAGGAAGAAGGATGTAATAATAATAATAATAATGATATATAAGTATTTTTGTAGTGTATGAATGTGTGTTTGTGTGTACATGCAAATGCAGAGGCAGAAGAGGCAGAGGCAAGAGGAGAGGACAGGGATGGATGGAAATTTTGTTTGGTAGCAGCTGGAATAAATGAATTCAGATTTGTCATTTTGTGAGGATAGGATAGCAGCAATAATGAGAGAGACTGATGAAGAATTAATTTGGTGGTGGGATGGAACTCAAACCTACCATTAATGAGGTGACATTAATGGTGGAAGGAAGGAGGGAGGGTTGGCTTTTGTCAACAAAACTTACCAGACCAACTCAAAATAAAATTTTAAAAATAAATAAATAAAGAAAGAAAAAAGAAAAAAGAAAAGAAAAGGTGTTGCTGCTGCTGCTGCAGCAGCATTGCATCAAGTGAAAGACAAAACAGAAAGAAAAGAAAAAAAGAAAGACACCACCCAAACAAAGAAAGGGAAAAGATCTACACTATTATGCTAAAGTTTTAATTATTACTATGACCTTTTAATTTGAACAATCTCAAATTTGTAACATATTTTTTATTTTTATTATTTTACAATTTTTGTTAATACTATAATATGTAGAATTGTAATAAAAACAAAATAAATATAAAAGGAATAAAAAATTATGTAGGAGTATTATTTAAGACACTGTACCAAAAGCAAAAATAGCAAACAAATTTATGAGTGGTCAGTCTCAAAGAGAAACAGGGGGAATCCTCAGAATGTGTCATTGGTAAGAAACCGAGTTGTCATTATCAGAATTGAAGAATGAACAGAACAAAACAGAGCAGAGTAAGAGAGAGAAAGAGAAAGAATCTAGGGGCACTTTTGGGATATGAGGAAAACCACAGAAGAAAGAAAAAAAATTACACACTGGTAGTACAGAGAAAGAAACAAAGAAAGAAACGAAGAAAAGAAATCAGAAAACTGACTAAGACCTGCCCAGCCCTGCCCAATGCATTTATTTTTATGCTCAGTTTTGAAAGGTGGGAAGAAATTCTTGGGAGCTCCTGGACCTTCTGACAACATACTTGGGTCCCAGTGTTTCTTGTGGGCCATCAGTCATCTCTCCCAAGATTCTATATATGTACTGAAACAACATTTAATTGTAATTGAATATTTAATGTCTTACAGAAATTGATTCAAGTATGTTGACACAGAGGGTTAATGAAAAACATAATGGTAATGAATCTGTTTGTTGTGTACCTGGATAGGATTAAATGATGAAGAATTTTCAGCACAAAGCGTGAAAATTTACAAAACATTACACAAAATACAAACTTTTTAATATTCATAACATCTTTAAAACTCTCTTCTAAAATGGAGTCTTAATCTGCAACTGGAATAATCCAATATTTAGACAATAGAACTGCACCATTAGACTTGGGATTCCTTATCAGTCTGACAAGCTTGATATCTATATCATATACAACTACAAGCATAAAGCCAAACATGATTTAGTAAGTTTCTATACTCAGAATAAAGAAATATTAATTGTATGAACTTTTGAAACCTAAAGAAATCCAAGCAAATGTTGTAAGCTGCTACTCATCAGACCACATGTATCTTTCTTATTTTGAGCAGCATAATTCTTATGCAATGTTTGCATCAGCTGGTGTATTTATAAGTTTTAGAAATATCAAACATTTATAACACAAAGATATATTAACAGAGAATTATCATTTGGGGCTTTTGTTAGAAAGGATGCACTGTGTTAAAATGATTAGAAAATGTCTTGTAATGTGTCCTAATTATAATAGTAAACATAAATGAAATTAAGCGTCTATTATATAGCCATATTCTACTATATTATATGATAATGGTATTAATTAATATTATTAAATAATACTATGAAACATATCTTGGAACTAACTCTCCAGTACACTTATCATTTCATTTTCATTTATAAAGAATCAGTGGAAAAATCCATCGAGAATCAATACCATCTAATGCCTAATCTAATAAAAAGTACAAGCACCATCTTTCACTTAAACTTAATAGCACAAGTTCACCAAGCAAAAAAAGAATACATAGACAATATACATTGAACTATAAAAAGCAGAATGCAAAACCAGATCACAAGTTAACCTTGCTCTCTTAAGAGCATTAGTTTCAATTTATGAGCACAAATTACCAAGTAGAATAATAATACATACTACTTCTAAGGGTTAAATTATCTTGTATTGCACTATCTAAAGAGAAGCATGTATCTCATTATATGCATATACTGAGGCACATATATTGGTACCGATAAATGAACAAATCAAATTTTTGGATCTTTTTCTGTTGAAGTGGCATGACATTGCCAACATATGTTCATATATCTTCTCATATGGAGTAAACAATAATGAACATGCAATAAGTATTGTTACGTTCCTGTATATCTTATTAATAATAAACGAGTTCATTAACTACATTTATCGATTGATATCCACCTGGGTACTCCTAAATGAACATTATGTCATGTAGCTGCCTAAATTGTTCAGCACCATCTCCTTTCTGCAGTCGTTGAAATATACAACACATAAGTTTATAAGTTTGTTGCCATGGTTTACAGAAAATAAAAGCTTATTCAATGAGAACCAAGAAGAATTTTTATTAATCAAAATTTTCATCAGAACCTAGCTAAATTCTACGAGGATTACTATCTAACAGGAGAGATTTTCCAAAATTAACAAAGCAATAAAACTATAGCAAATAAAAATCATTGCCCACAAGATTGGAAATACAGTGAAAACAGGATCAACTAGAGTGGCAATATACAACATACCATCCGTACGATTCTAACAACCAAGAAAAGTATAAAATTATAGCATGTTGTTATTAATGAACAGAGAAAAAGAATGTCAAATAATAGGGATTGCTTGATAATTTGCATAAGAAATAGAAGAATAGATATAAGGTTATTGGTGGAAACTGAGATCTGCCAAAAATGAAATCTGATGAGCATCTCCCATAAGTAGGATGACACAATGCTTATATTTAAACGCATTTTCTTGCTTCACACACACATAATCCTCAATGAACATTAAGAATGCTTAAACCAGTGAAATGATTTCAGAATTCCATCATTATGCAGTTGCATTTCCAATAATGCAGAAATACATCTCTTAGTGTAAAGGTTGAAACTTGAAAGCAAAGCAAACTCAGAGTACCTTTTATATATAATCTCAGAATCCTTTCAATGTTACTAATCCAATCAGCAGTGGAATTGGAATTTAGAAACCGCTATAAGTCAATTGGAGACCAAAAAAAAAAAAAAAAACTCGAAATCCTTCCTACCTTATAATATTTCTAGGGCACCGCCGTCCTTACCCTGCTGTCTTCAGTTCACAGTGGTGGCGCCCAAAATCGACCTGCCATCGCCATATTCGTTGTAGGAGGAACTAGAATTATAATGGGCTGGGCCCGCGGGGCTATGTCGCTATTCAGTTTTAGCAACTTTGGATTATATCGCATAGAAAGCCTATTCATTAGTTTGTATTGTTTTTGTAATTGATTTTTTTTTTCTTTTTTTTTTTTTAAAAATTATATTATATGTAGCCAAAAAAATATTGAATTTGTAGTTAAATTCTATATGTACATAAATAAAAGATTAGAAATGACTTAATAGTATGAAATAAATTCGTAACTTCTAATTCCCGTGGATCTCTAGGTCACAAAAATTTGTATGGCAAAATATAGTAAAATTATTATGTTATAGATATATCTATGGAAGCAAACTTATACTCCCTATTTCCCAAATACCATGTCCAACGTTGCCGTTTCTGTCCATGTACCATGTCACTTTCCTTTTTTAAAAAATGATTACACACTTTAATTTCATTTTAAATTTTTATTATTTTTTTAATTTTAATTAAACTAATTAGTTATTAATTTATAATTATTTATATTATAGGATAATTATTTTCACTAATACATTATTAATTATCTACTAATTACACCCCTCATAAAATACGGTGTTTACAGTGTAGCTCTTAAAATACGGTGTTTACAGTGTAGCAGACACAGTATCTGATACGGAGGGAGTATTATTTGTGGCAAATAATTTTTCAAATAAATTTGAATGCATTTAGACAATTTTTGTCACAAAATTGGCTATGATTGTTATTGCCTAATACATTATTATAACTAATTTCACGGTAAAACTACTAGCTTTATATTCTTCAAGGGGATGACACTATTTTTTAACTCAACATATTATATGTACAAATAACACACAATATTATTACATCAACGGAAAAATCGTTATGTATGCAGTATAAGACTATAATATTGTTGTTAATTTATGTGTTATATTTGTATTATATTAACATATACAATATATTGTCTGAAAGCACACAATGATATTTTGTTATATATGATGTATTTGTATTATATTAACATATACAGTTGTACTGCAATGTAATAGCACAGTTAAATCCAGCCCAGCCATTCCCCAAATTTTCCATAGATAATTTTATAGTAATATTAATACTTTGTTGTAGTGTTTATTGTCACGAAGAGAAGCATGCATCTGATAAATATCAATAATTAATTTAGTTTACTTTTTCATTAAAATTAAGTCAAAAAAAGCTCATCTATCATCTAGAGAGCTAGCATTACAAAATATAATGGATAAACATAATGTATATACTACTAACACAAAACTACCATGCAGCATGAATTTTCAGAATTTTCTAAAACGATGACAACGACGACTTGTAACCTTGGGGTGGGGCGTGTTCATTAATTATCCTC